ATCCCCCCAACCCCAATAAATCAATCCATGAGCCTTAAACCGGTCATCACACTTCCTAGTGACCAGCTACTATCCCTCCCACCCCTCCTCCCCTCGCACCCCCTTATTTCGATGTTTTTAATCTTCAACGCTGTATATAAACAAGGACATAATTACGAAGAGCATCAATAGTTGATAAATAGCCAGCAGAGCAAGCCAGCTATAAAAACTATGCAGATCTACATATCATTCCTGTATGCCCAGTGGCGTTTTATCGTCATGAGACTGAAAGAAGAAGAGGATATTATGAACGAGCAGTCTCATAATGATGAAGAGTTAGCAGAATATAAGTATGACATCTCCAAACTCTTCAACAAGTTCAAAGAAGCCGAATATGACGACGTTGTAATAAGGAAACGTCTATCAAAACTTATAGCCAAGGCCGAAGCTGAAGCCGAAGATTCCTTCTCTTCCATCTTCGATGAAAGCTTTCCGGACTTCCCGGACTTTGGCTGTGATGAGGAAGTGGAAGATGATGAAGTTTATGTAAGATTATTTAAATTAATAGCCGAAGCTGAAGCTGAAGCCGAAGATTCCTTCTCTTCCATCTTTGATGAAAGCTTTCCTGAATTCCCGGACTTTGTCTGTGATGACGAAGCCGAAGATGACGACGTTTTCGTGTTTAAAAGACTTTCCAAGTTGATAGCCGAAGCTGAAGCCGAAGATTCCTTCTCTTCCATCTTTGATGAAAGCTTTCCTGAATTCCCGGACTTTGTCTGTGATGACAACGTTTTTGTGTTTAAAAGACTATCCAAGTTGATAGCCGAAGCCGAAGAAGATTTCTTCTCTTCCATCTTCGATGAATCCCCTCCTTTTGAGGAACTCCCCTCTTTGATCTGATATCTAAGATGTGTTTTTATTCCTATAACCAGTCGTGCTGTATATATCAGATTTATTATATGTATTAATATATATATTTAAGACAGATTTATATTTTTCACATGTTAGATAGTCAGATATAGAAATAGATTTTTCAGTTCATGTCAGTTTCACACCGAACATTTTAATAATCATTTTTAGTGACAAAAAAATATAACAATTCAATGATTTTAATAACAATACAATTAACAATTAATGATAAGAATACAGTTTATTTTGTGTCTACCTTTATCTGTGGAGTTGTTGGGAGTAGTTTCAATGTTCCTGGTAACGACTGTCCATTTCCGTTTCCTACTTCTGCTAACTTAGATCTAAAATAGAATATTTATATTTATATGTTGAAGGATTCTATGATTGCGTATTAACTGAAATGATAAATATGTTATGTAGAGAGTAAAAATCAATGTTTTCTATTTGTGCATAATTTTGCATATTTTTTCTCTTTTCTTTTAGAAACCTGTATTTTCAAAAAAAAATATTATTTAATCAAATTTAAACTTCACAATTTATATATGTATTTATATCTTTGTGTGTGAATAAATCTTTATAATATAATAATATTTATCAGTGTGTCACTTCTAATCAAAATTTGAATTTTTGAATTTGAATCCGAGATTACAAAAGTTATTTGTTCAAAATAAATTCGAATATGAGTAATAGAAGAACCGGCTTACACCACCGTTTCTAAATTAATAACTGATAACACATTTTTTTGAGACGAATATCATGTGGATAAATTTAGTCTTTACTATCTTCATCACCCTGTAGTTCATAAACATGATTTTAATAACTTATGTTACCCTCTGTTCCAACCCTTACGCTGAGTATCCTTCCCTTTCCCTTATACTCTCTCACCTCCTCCTTACCATTTTCCTGATTTATCATCATTCTTATGTTTAATATGTACAATGTACATTGTTTTTATCTGCAATTCTCATTCGTTTATAGTGGGCCAACCAATTAAAACAGCCTACTCTGGTTAGGCGGGTCCAAACTACATAGTAAATTGTGATTTATTTATTCGAATTATCTCGTGCTTTGTAGTTGAATAAAATATGAAAATATGAAAGAATAAATTTTCTTTGAATATACATTTTAACTTTCTGCGTTTTATTTCAAAATTCTGTGACAGCGATTTGTAGACAGTTCATGGCTTTATTTCTTTTCAATAATTGACAAAAAAAATTTAGAAAAGAACCGTTATAATGTTTTTTAATGTTGAACGAACATAATTCAAAATGGTTGAATCTAGGAATCGAACAGTTATCTACATCTTGAGCAGCTCTTGAGATTAAATAAATTCTTCTTGGATATCATGTTAGATTAAGTATTATAGATCAGAGATTAAGTATTTATTATAGATCAAAGATATTTAACACAAGTTTGAACCTCAGTACCTGAGTTTAAACCCTCTAGCAAACAGCTGTGTCTGTACATGTTGTACAATTAGATTTATCGCTACACCGTTCTCTCCACCCCTAAAAGCACATTCAAGTCATAATTCATAAGGTTGTTATGATAAATATACATTTTATATAATTAATAAAAAAAATTCGTCCATGGATTTTTCGATCTAAATATGGATCCGGATTAAAATAATTTAAACCCGTGCAGTAATAAACCAGATAAAAAATATACAATGGTCACATTGTCAATGTCTAAGCTTGGAACTTATAGATCAACTTCAGATTGAGAAAGATTAGTTCTTACCCCTCATTTTCAAAAGTTTAAAGCTCGGTTTAATATTTGTGAATAAAACTTCTTAAAACAGAGGCAAATCTCATGACCCAAGAACATTTGTCAACGCTTTCTTTGACAAAGGCTAACTTCAGTGTTTAATGTATACCTAGGTACAATAATATCAGCGTACTGCATGGTGGGGGCGATGAACCTGTCGTAGGCAGGTTTGACGTGGTTCTCGTACTGCTGCATGACTCCGTGGATATCGCGTCCTCGTTGACTGATATCTCGCTTCAACCTTCTCGCCAGTCTCACGTCGGAATCCGTCTCAACAAAGATCTAAAAGTTTCAAAATAAATTTTATTCAAAAATAAAATTAAAAATTAAACAATTGACTTCATTACGATGGTGAGTTGTAAATATTTGTTTAAGCATGGATGATAAACATATCTTAGTTTTGGTTAAACATGCGCTTTTTCAACTTCATATCGAGTAGATCTGTTTACCTTCATACCGAGTAGATCTGTTTACCTTCATAACGAGTAGATCTGTTTACCTTCCTATCGAGTAATCTGTTTACCTTAATATCGAGTAGATCTGTTTACCTTCATATCGAGTAGATCTGTTTACCTTCATAACGAGTAGATCTGTTTACCTTCATATCGATTAGATCTGTTTACCTTCATAATTACTAGATCTGTTTACCTTCATATTGAGTAGATCTGTTTACCTTTATAACGAGTAGATCTGTTTACCTTAATATCGAGTAGATCTGTTTACCTTAATAACGAGTAGATGTGTTTATCTTTTTATCAAGTAGATCTGTTTACCTTAATATCGAGTAGATCTGTTTACTCTGTTTACCTTTATTCGAATAGATCTATTTACCTTTATATTGAGTAGATCTATTTACCTTCATATCAAGTAGATCTGTTTACCTTCATATCGAGTAGATCTGTTTAACTTCATATCGAGTAGATCTGTTTACCTTCATAACGAGTAGATCTGTTTACCTTCATATCGAGTAGATCTGTTTACCTTCATATCAAGTATATATGTTTACCTTCATATCGAGTAGATCTGTTTACCTTCATATCGAGTAGACAGCTTCCCCCTCCCTGGAAAGTTACTTAAACTGGACTGGAACAATGAACAACTAGTACCGTACCTTTAAATCTTTTAAATCTTTATACAAGAATCAAGACTGGATTATTAAATATTTAAGGTTTTACTTTTTAAATATTTATAACACTGGGCCGCAGCTTTTAAAAAATAATATAACGGATTTCTACAGCACAGACCAACAAAAAATGTCAGATATTTTTGTCACTACAAGTACAGGGACGTTTTACGATAGCGTTTACAAACGCTTTAATGTAATTTGCAAAAAAAAATTGCAAATTAACAGACATAAATTCACCTCTTTGAATAGAAGATGAATTCATCCCTCGAGGTATCCTTGTTTCTGATATATGTGTGTAGACCCTGAAATGTTTACCAAATGTCAAATGTGTACGTACAGGGGGGGGAGAGGGAACAGTGCTCCCCCTTTATAATCTATCTGTCTTACCCATTTTAAACTGAAGAACTATTAGATAAAGTACTAGTAGATATTTCGTTTTTTTTTTCAAATAATTCTTATGCTTTGCTTCGAACTCAATCAATCTGTTTTGATACAAGATTCACTTTTATTTCTACTGCAGGGACAAAAATATTTCAAATTTTAGTGTAGTAACCTTGTTAGATATTTTATTTTATAGATTTGCGTGTAAGGAAAATTATCAGATATTTATTAAAAACAATATCTTTTAAATTTGAAAATAGAATTTTACATTTGAGGCAAATACTAGATAACTTGAGTAATAGTGTTTTATATCATAGTTGAGCTAGTTATTTAAGCTTATTACAATGTTTGTGTAAGCCCTTAAAGGAAGTGTTCGCTAAAATTGAAAGGAGGTATAGGCTTACGTCGAAAAGCGATTTTGAACGCTACTAATCATACTTTTATCTCATGCGTCTATAAGGAGAAAAATGTTAAAAACGACTCATGCTAACGCAATGTCCATACAAATTCAGAATCTTGCAACATTCAACTCGGATCGTAAAATAATCAGTTTAATTCGTATATAGTTAATATTTTATAATATTTTTGATTTTTTTAATAAACCTTCATATCAAGTAGATATGTTTACCTTCATATCCAGTAGATCTGTTTACCTTCATATCGAGTAGATTGTTGATATCATCTCTGTGGAAAGCAAGGATACCCTCGAAGATAATAACGTTGGCCCCGTACATTGATACAGTCTTCGTTTCTCTCCTGGTAATAAGATAAATCAGGGGTAAGCAGGGTATAAAGAGAAACTGAACAAGAAGAATAAAGAAACTAGAATACTAATGTAAATAATTCAAAAGATTTCTTCTCTCTTACTTCCTTTTATAACGCAGAAAACTCTGAAAAAAGTTTGCATTCCCTCAATAATTCATTTTTTGTGTATTTTTAAATGAAAGGTTGGAAACATTTAAGAAGTTAATTTATAGAAAAAAATACGAGAAAACTTAAGACGCATTGAAACAGAAGACTGCAGGACTGCCAACGTAACCTTAAGTATCCCACAATTTAAAACCTATGCGCTTCAACCCCTTTCCTGAATGACTATGATTGAGATATCAGTTTTCTGTCTAAGGAAATATTTCCCCCTAGTCTCTGCTGCATGAATCCAAAAAGCCATTAAAAATAAAACCAAAGTTGTAAATCGTATATTTTCAGAAAAAGGACAATCTACAAAATGTTTGCTTAGGCACAAAGTTTAATACTGATAGCGTATTGATGTAATTTCGGCATGTAAACTGTAAACTGTGAGCTGTGAGCTGTGAGCTGTGAGCTGTGAGCTGTGAGCTGTGAGCTGTGAGCTGTGAGCTGTGAGCTGTGGGCTGTGAGCTGTGAGCTGTGAGCTGTGAGCTGTGAGCTGTGAGCTGTGAGCTGTGAGCTGTGAACTTTAAACTGTAAACTGTAAACTGTAAACTGTAAACTGTAAACTGTAAATTGTACATTGTAAATTGTAAATTGTAAATGGGGGGTTATTTTAAATTATGTTAACAATCTCTTTAAGCATATAAATACCTGTGTGTTACAAAATTGTAGATTGGAACTTCAACTTTCTTCATTTCCTTCAGTCTGTCAGTATTCATTAATTCATTAATATTTATAAATCTTAGTTAATTATTCATTCATTTGCTTCCATCATTCATAGTTTAAAATATTTAGTCTAGAACGAACAATTGTTCGATTCGAGGTCACTTCAGGGATTTCTTGAATAATTTATTAATTGTAATTAACTATTTAAAAATACTTTTTTACAAATTAAATTAGTTTGAAGATATTTTTTCGTATAAATTTCACTGACTTAGAATCTTTTTCAGCTTTGCGGAATGATTATAGACTTGTTTCCCAGAATCCAAATTTACCATATCAAAATAAATTCAATTTTTTTGTTTTAATAATTTAAACAATTAATTCTGAAAGAGAAGAAGGGGACGCTGCTTCTCTCTTCACGTNCCAGAAAACGATAGTATTACCGATTGGAAATAGTGTACACTCATCTTTAATAATATAGCGAAATTCGATATTCACGCATCAATATTCAATATCTTTGTTATGATTAGCAGTTAGCACTGCTTATCAGCATATCTTTTAAATCTGATGAATCAGGCCAGACCTTGTTTGCAGAATATCAGTCCCCAGTGCGCAAAATACATTACTAGCCCTGTGCATCTTACAAAAATAAAAATAAAAAAAAAAAGAATTCAAGGTTATATTTAATGCTTTTAATGCGAATCCAAATCATAATCATTTCTTTACATTTTCTAAATTTCTTTATTATAAAACAAAAATCTGTACAGGACTTTCTTCATTTTCGCTTATATTAGCTTTAACCTTTTACTTCCTTTGATGGCCTTGAATAATATTATTAATGAATGAATATCCCTAATTAGCGTGGAGAATAGGAGATCAAAGTCGAATGCGTCAGGGTGGTCGAAGTTGTATTCGTTGAGAGCTGCCTGTTCATGCTGTTTCTCATTTAGCACCTATAATGTACATTTGGATCACACACACCAAAAAGAACTCTTCACAAATAGTGGTTTACATGTAGTTCTTATCTTTCGAATATTTTTGCCTGAAAAACTGAATCTAACATTTCACTGATAGAGTGAAACAGTCTCCAATCTGCAACTAATGAAACCAGCTACATGGAATTGGAGTGTGGAAGTAATACGTCCTTAAAGCTTAAGATTTTATTTAGATTAACAATTTTCTGAATTATCAACAATAAATTAACTGAAGTCAGGACTGGAAAGCAGAATCCGACTAATTTTAGTAAAGTTAAGCACTATGGTGCATAGGTTCTGTGGCCGGGTGATTGAAGTATTGAAATGGAAAAAAAATTTGGCTCTATCTTGATGCACTTAGGTAGAAGAAGTGTCATTAAAAAATCTCGATTTTTTTAAGGATAGGGGGCAATTCGACATTGATAAGCACCAAATTTTGTAATTTGGTTCTTGAAATTGAAATAAAAGGCTGAAATTTTGCAAAGAAAATTTGGAATCCGAGGTTATTGACCTACATCAAAAATCAAGGTTTTGCCGATCAACCTAAAAACAGAACCTATGCACCCAAAAAAAAAAAACACTTTATACAAAACAAATTTAAGTGTTATAACATCTAAATAAAATATTTGAAAATGGGTTTTTATTTTGTAATTCCAAAAAAATGTCACTTAATGATTGAGAAAAAGAACATTTGTTTATTTTTCAATTTAATAATTGATAATTTCTGTTATAGTTTTGAAATATGCCTAAATTGTAAAAAAAACGCATTGATTTCTTGATTAACAACTTCTCTCATGTTTTAACATACTATAAAGTTAGCACATTACTTTAGTAAATCAGAGGTGGTGGTGAGGGGGGGGGGTCTTTAACGAAAATTTCAATATTTATTCCCACTGTTCTGAAGAGGTTCAGGGGCGTACGAGAGCATTTGTGTAGGGGGGAGGGGCACTTTTTTGAAAACATATTGATACCTTTTTAAACTATGTAAACTATTCTATCATATCACTGGTTGCCGTAGTACATCTGAATTTCCGAGTCGGGTCAACCTGTCCGGTCCCAGTTTGTACGGTACCTAGCTCTATGGACAGGACTAGACGGTGCAACAAGGTTGACGCTGTCAGATTTTATGCTTCATATAGGTTGAATTTACTTTTACTAAAGGGGCAGAGGTGTGTGATATACACACTTCCATGTAACAAGTGTTAATAAATTATTTATTTAATTTTCTTAAGTGGACTTACTGTGGTGTAAGCTTAAATGGGTGATAAATAGAGATGGAAACGTTTTTTAAAAAATTTCTATATTTTCATAGAAACTATTCATATTGTATAAAAATAAATAATGATATCAAAGATATATTTACACTAAAGGCAGTATTGATCAAAGCCTTTTTTTAAAGAACTTTTTCAGTTAAGGGCAAAAGTGAGATTTTAAATTAGCTTTTATATGAGCTCCCCCTTAGGGGGAGGGGAGGGCAAGCAAAGGCGGGGGACGGGGGGCCCGGCCCCCTCTCTGTCGTACGCCTCTGAAGAGGTTTCATTTCATTAAATTAAAAATTGTGTAAACCGCAATTCATCCTAAATGAAATTGCAGGATTTACAGAGATTTAAAAGTCTAATTCTACAAGGTTTTTAAATAATCAATTAAACTTTATTTCAAAATGGCCGCCATTAGCAAAATGGCCGCCATTATAAAACTCAAAGAAAACAGAAAAGGTAAACTTGACTCACCTTGTAAAAGCTGTCCATTGATAGTAAAGTGACCCAAGGGACACCGAGATCTGAAATTATCTTGTTTGCCACGGTCGTCTTTCCGCTGGCAGAGCCGCCGCATATTCCGATCACAAATGGTTCAACCTAAATAAAATGGATCTTTCTGGTTTTGTTGATTTTAACGTTATCAAAACATAAATAAATACTGAAAGAGGTGTTACAAATGTGAAGGTTAAAGTTTGGATCTTAAATAACATCAAAATCAAAAACATCGTACTCCCAACTAAACATGACACCGCATTACTTAAAATATTTAAAATTACGTGGGAATGGTGATCCCTCAAATGAACTTAAATTATTGAAATTTAAAAAAATGTGTCTATTGCACCAACCCACATAATATTGCACTACGTTTTCTGTTTCAAGCATTAATGTTACATTGTTACCAAGTTGTACTGTACAAATTTTACTATGCACATATATTACCAATATTACCATATATTACAATAATTACCAATCAATCCTTAATCAGCAATTTTAACACATTAACAACACTATTTTGATCTTATAACCAAAAAAAAAAATAAGTTTGCATGTTCTGCATATACGACCTTCGTGTTTTATGCTACAAACTTAAGTTTCAGTGAGATAAACTTGTTTAGTGCAACAATGTTACATATTTATTTTCTTTAATTAGACATTTTTGTTGTTCAATTTTTTGTTGAATTCAAACTATTTATTGTTTAAAACAACATATTTGTTGTTAAGTGCAACATACGTATATGTTATTATCGCAACATATTTGTTGTTTAGTGCAACATATGTATATGTTATTATCGCAACATATTTGTTGTTTAGTGCAACATATGTATATGTTATTATCGCAACATATTTGTTGTTTNGATGAAGTTAATTTATTTTAGAATAATCATAATTGTCTCGGTGGTTGCGATCCTACTATGGAATTATAAGCTAAGATTCAGCTCAAAACACCAAAAAAAAACTGCTAAAATCATATTTTTCAATTAAGAGAATCTTTAATATTTAATATGTTTTGTTGTTGTTGAAAATCTTTGTTAATAATTTATTCCAATCTCAGCATAAGGGAGACGATTTTCTTTTCATACAGGATGACTGTTACAACATTGCAACCTCACAGTTCCTTTAATTTTCATTTTACATCCAAGACTAAGAAAGTTGGTTAAATAAGCAATTCAATTATTTCTTATTCAAACAAAAAAAAAGAAGTTGAATCTGAAAACATGGAAAGTTGAAGAAAACTGAAAAAAAACTTTAATTTGCAGAAGTAGTTGGTAAATTATTTGTATTTTAAAATAGCTGAACAATCCCTTTAACTTGATAGTTTTATATTTACCCCAGAACAGGTTCCCGGGCTGGGATTAGACCCATTGAGGAATGAGGTCGACCGGCGCACATAGGTCGGAGAGGAGATAAGGGAGGAAACCCTGCAGATACTATCACATCCTAAATATTATTCTTTAAAGGGACTGTCAAAGTTATTTCAAAAGAGCCTCTATTTCAATAGTGACGCGTCCGATTCACAACAGTATTCTTAAACACGAAAATCTACCCCTTTAGTAAAAGTAAATTCAACCTATATGAAGCATAAAGTCTGACCGCATCAACCTTGTTGCACGGCTAGTCCTGTCCATAGAGCTAGGTACAGTACAAACTGGGACCAGAAAAGTTGACCCGGTTCGGAAATTCAAATGTACTACGGCTGCCCGTGTAAAGCTTTGATTGATCAAACTAGAATATAGAGATATTCATGATTATTGATTATACCACATTCTAATCGGATTTGCTACGTAGCCAATTAACAATAATTCTTGATATTTGTACGTCTAATCTATCAATTAAGAATGTGGTTTAGTCTTACTATGCGTAGGAAGAAAGTGCGCCTATGATTTATCTTTCAATATTATAACAGCAATTTTGATTTCTTCCTACGTATAATAACTAGTAATAGATTAGATTTAGAAAAATTCGTTAATTTCTTCTGTAATTTATCTAATAAAAAATTGCGGATCTTTCTACAGAAACAGCGGAGAAACATTTTTCGAGTTCAAAAGACGGATATATCTTCCACATTATGTAAAGGGTAACGCTGTGAATCGAAATTGCCCTTGTTAGATGAAGGGTTACTTAAAACCGAGGTACTAATGCAAGGACAGTTAATTGCAGTTGCGTATACTCTGCGTACATATTGAAACCAGTTCTCTCTGGGCGGAATATGTAAACAAGAATAAATGCATCAGTGTTCGTCTAGTATCCGAGGATGATAACAGCATTTAATTTTGAAAATTTTGAAAATTTTGAAAATTCACATAATAGTTTCCTTTGACCAGAATATTTCTTAGATAATTTCTGTGAAAATGGATCCCATGTCAAGCTGTGACATCCGTCCTGTGTTTACTTTTCCGCCCAAAGACAGTACACTGCAGTACAAAAAATGCGTACACCTCTGAAATAACTTTCCTTGCATTAGTACCTTGCTTAAAACTACAGTCTGATAAATATTTTATTGCAGTTATTTTGAAACAAAATGATTGAGAAGAAAGGAAAATTTGCTACTTGGCTTATCGCCATTAGCCAGACTCAATTAAAATACAGAATATATATAATATGTGTGCATCCAAAACAAAAATAAAATTAAAAATAATGATATAAATAATTACTATTTTATTATTATTATCCATAAGACCAAAGCCGGAAACTGTGAAATTGTCGTCTTCATTCTAGCTTTCAATCATAATATCTCGATTAAGATTTTTAAATTATTAATTAATTTAATTTAAATATTGCAAAAGCGTTAATGGTACAGCTTTGGAAACAATTTATTTACAAATAACAATATTTTTAGCAACATTTTTTGATTAACAGGAAGATAGAAGACATCTTTTATTCCACCGTTAACTTGTTAACACTACACTTTTAGCAACAGAAATGATAATAAAAATAGCGAAAACAAAAACATTAACACTCGCAATAAAAACAATGATAATAATGATTATAACAATAACACTGATAACAAAAACAACATAATTAATACAATACAACAAAAATAAAAAATTTTTTCTGTCTAAAACTAATCAGAGATGGAATTTAAAGAATTTGAGCCGCGGTTTAAATCCATCAAAACCCGGTTTAAATTTAGCGCCGGCTTAAATCTTGAAACATTTGTTACAATTTTAAGTGGAACCAACCATATTTAAGCCACGGCTTAAATTTAAACCGCCGCTCAAATTCTTTAAATTCGGTCACAGGACTGACTTTTTGTCATGACAGGACCCCGTTCCACAGTTGGGATCTTGCATGATCATTATTATAATTAACCTGATCAGCTAGCACGTCATCTTCAAGAAGACTATCTCCTGAATCTACATCTGTCTCAGAGGAGTTGGAGGAGATAGACATCTTTACAGTTTCCTAAATACAAGGATATATATATTTACAGTTTCCTAAATACAAGGATAGACATATTTACAGTTTCCTAAATACANATTTTTACAGTTTCCTAAATATAGGCATATAATCTTTACAGTTTCCTAAATACAGGCATATAATCTTTACAGTATGGGAAAAGAGTTAGTAATGTAAATATCTAAAACTTTGAATTGATTAGAGATATTATTATAATCAGAGCTGAAAACTTTAGAATGGTGGATATCGGGATTAAGGCTTAATCCACTCTTTTTCTTAATCTCGAGATTAAATATTGCTTGTTCTCCACTCATTTTCAATCTCCAGATTAATTAACCGATCAGGATTAAGGATATCCCATTCTAAAGTTTTCAGCTCAGGCAATATAAAAATATAAAATGCTCTTAGAAAGCAAAAACACCAAACACAAAAATACCAAGGAAAAAACAAAAAAACAATTCTCTTAATACACAATAACAATACAAAAAAAAACAACACACAAAAAAGTTTAATTCTCACCAGTTTTGCTTGTAATTCAACAATTGGATTATTTTCCATAGTTTTCCCTTGACAATAAGTTTTCTTCTGTTTCTAAGATGATTTTAAAATGTCATGAAACTAATTGAAAACAGCTGATCTGACACCGGCTAATTTTACGGACAAATCTTCCAGCTCATTTATCAGATTTTACAGGTTGTATCCTAGCATTCACAAGGCCATTTTAAAAAACATGCTGAAATAAACATTTTTTATAATTACACAGGACAAAGGAGAAATATTTGATGCACGTGTAGTCCACTGTGCAATTCTGAACTGAGAGCCTGACGTAATAATATTCATTAGTTTGATAGATAGATAGAGACCGGAGGCCGGGGGTAACGTGGTCCAGTGAGTAACCTCCTCCTTTCTCATGTTTTTGGGTCTAATTATACAGCGTAGCAAATATACTTTATAGCAAGGAGAAATAGAAATAAGATGAGGAGCAAAGGACAGCTTAGAAATATGGTTTCATTGTAAACAATTTAAGTCTACAAGTCGTTTACATATTCCACAGTTTTCTGTAATATGCTAACTTATTGGTTTAAAAATAGATCATTTAAAAAAAAATTATTCTTAAATCTATCTATCTATCCATGATAAATTCCTGAGCATACTGTTTTTTATTATTTTTTTTGTTTCATGAATGTTTTCTCCTAATTTTAGTATTATTAACAACTGTTGCATACTTGCACCTGTCAACGAATAAATGAGAATCAATCCTGGACTTTTCTTACTGATAAAGAATTAAGCACAATTTCAAATTGGAATTTTTAAAGTATTAAATATTTTTCATCTGAAGATAATGAAATATAACCATGCCGTCTTTGATATTTTTATTAAAAATTTGATTAAAGTGACTGTAAGTTTAAATCCCCTCCACAATTGAAACCTTAAAAACTTTGTCTGATCAAGTATTAGATATCAATTTTCAGAGCTGGGAACTTTTGAATGGTGGATATCGGGATTAATGCTTGATCCACTCTTTTTCTTAATCTTGAGATTAAATAATGCTTGTTCTCCTCCTGTTATTAATCTCCAGATTAATTAACCGATCGGGATTAAGGATATCCCATCTACAGTTTTGTTTTCTGGTTCCAACTGTATGAAAGAGACAATTAAAGACTGTCTTAATCAAAACAACAATTTGACTGAACCTAACTGAACTAACCGGGATTAAGGCTTAATCCACTCTTTTTCTTAATCTTGAGATTAAATAATGCTTGTTCTCCTCCTGTTATTAATCTCCAGATTAATTAACCGATCGGGATTAAGGATATCCCTTTCTAAAGTTTCCAGCTCAGAACAGATTATTTTCATTTGGGGGTTCTCTACAAAAGTAACTTGCGCATTTCTAATGCAGGAAATTGTATAGGAATTATCAGAATTTAACACTTAAAGAAGTTAAAAAAACATTATTGATCAGATAAAGGTTTCAAGGGTACCGCTGTGAATCAGGAATCTCCCTTTTTAAATGAAAGGTCACTTGAAATTACGCGTGCAACTGTAGTTCCTTTGACTAGTATGAGAAAAGACAAATAATTAATAAGCTATATTTGTTCTTTTAGTTGTGAACGCGTATGATTTACATCAAAGAATATTATTTTTCAAACAGATATTTTCTAGTTTTATAGAGGAGAGGGAGGGAGGGGAGGCTTTTTGAAGTATTTCCTATAGAATAGGCTCCCATACCTAAACCAAAACAGATTTTTATGAATGTACCATGTACAATAAGTTATTACTCATATATATTATAAAAAAATCAAGATATGATAAGGGTTTTTTCAGAGGCGTATTNCTCTATTGATTTTAGGGGGGTTTCAAAATTTCAAAAATTCGCCTAAAACAAAATTCGATTTTCATTTTGTTTTGAAAATCCACGATTTTTTTTTATAAAATCCGCAAACTTTTTGTTTTACAATGTACATAAAGAAAAAAGTTCATAATTGAAATAAAAGATGGAAGATAAGCGCCTTGAAATCCTAGTATTATAGACAGCAAATTAAAAGTGTCCACATGTGTGATTTACTAAATCAGTGATTTTTACCTACTTTAGAAAAACTTTTTAGGATGTAGCATCATCAAATACCATTAATCATTGCTTTAAAGTCGTCTTCTTATTCTACAGTTTTGTTTTCTGGTTCCAACTGTATGAAAGAGACAATTAAAGACTGTCTTAATCAAAACAACAATTTGACTGAACCTAACTGAACTAAACTAAAATCAGATCAAATCAAAATCAAACATGATCCGTCAAATATTTGTATAAGACGTGACGTAAAAAACCCTACAAAAAAAAAATTTTTAAAAATAAAACAGAAGACCGAAAAGTAAATATCGAACTCAAATATAAAAAAGTTCGGTAAAAATTATTTATTTTTGGTATAAGTTTTTAAGATCAGAAAATTAAAAAATATACTGTAAAATATGTTAAAGTTTTAAAGCTGTTATTATCAATAAGTGCCAAAAGTTAATTAGGCAATGTGAGCTAAACAGATTTGATAAAACTTTTGTAAAACATTGAAAATTTTATTCTGTAAAAATATAAAAATATCTAGAATGAATATTTGATTGAGTCTTTTCATGCGACTTGGTTACCATTTACAGGTGAACAAATATCAACTTGCACAATTAATTTTTTTCGAATTCTTTATTGAACATAATCCACCTCCCTCTCCCCCAACCTCAGGTCACCGCCTCGTCACAGAAAGGTCTTATCAACTGACGAACTGATATGACAATACATAAAAATTATGATTCGTTCAAAATTAAATCTAAAAAATTCAGCAAAGCAATAACAGCATTTAATAAAAACAGTATAAATGTCATGCTAGATGAATGAAAACTAGAATTGATGACATTGATATCTAAATACAGGTGAAATGAGACTTATTAATAGTGTCTGCTTGTAAATGGTATATCTAGACTCTAGAAAGCTGAGAGAGTCAACAGTCTGCAGTGTCCAGCTGTTCATGTTTAATTAAGATAAGGAACTATAATACTTGTGTTTAGTTCAACTTTATACTCTACAGTGAGAACCAGAAAACTGTGGAATAGGAAGACGACTTTAAGACTCAAGTTGAGAATGATTTAACATAGTCCATTGAACATGAGATCAATAAATTAATTATGCACTGTGCACAGACCATTTGAATTTTAGTGTGGTGACAAAAAAAATGTTGGGTATTGTAGAGCTATTGACTCAACCAAATGCATTTTTTAATGATGGCCATTAATTATTTTGCTTTAATATGGCATATTTTAATGATGGCTGATGATTATTAGGCCCTTTTGTATTTTTTTTAACAATACTAACTAGACATCCCAGTTTCAGATGAGTTTTAATGCCACAGATCATCAGCATATTCGCTGGAATCCTCTGAAAGGGGATTGGGTGTTGGTGTCTCCTCACAGGTAAATTTAAATAAATCGATGGAAGAGTTATAAAAAAAAATCCTAAATTTTTTATTGTAAGAATGAAGCGTCCTTGGACCGGACAAGTAGAGAAGCTGAATGAACAAGACCGGCCAGAGTTTGATCCAAAGGAATATAACCAATCAGATAAATATCAAATAATTGACAAGAATTCTTCTGATTATTGAATTTTTCCAAGTTTTTACTTTATAATTCAACAGTTTCCCTACAATTAATATTTTTCTTAAATAAAAGCCTTTAAGCAATGTTGTTTGGTAACTGCAGAACCCTTTATGTCCTGGAGTAACCCGACCCAATGGAGATGTAAACCCACAGTACACTTCCACCTTTATCTTTAACAATGATTTCCCAGCATTACTGGAGGAAGTTCCAGAGCCTCCGCCATCAGATAACCCACTTTTCAGGTTTGATTAAACATTTATTGTTAGAAGTCTCAGATTTTGAAACCAAGTTAAAAACATTTTTATGTTATGGTGTTACCAATCAAAATTTTAGGCAAATCGGTCAGGAGGTTTATGAGTTATCATTGGACACCCAAACAAACAAAACACATATAACCCTTATCTTTTGTTGTTTGAAGATGAAGTTAATTCCTTTGATATTTCTGACCATAAAAATCTTCTTTCAACTAATAAAATATCTCAAAATCACAACTGTTTTCATGGTTTAAGCACTTAATCAGCTTGTATTCTAATATCAGGAGTGCAGCAGCCAAGGGAACCTGTAAAGTGATGTGCTTCAGCCCTAAATCTAACGTTACTATTCCAATAATGAGCATAGAAGAGATGAGACAAGTCATTAACACCTGGGTAGAAGAACTGCAAGAACTTGGGAAAAAATTCAAGTGAGAAATTAAAATAATTTTCCAAACTCTCAGATGTTAATAAGTGAATCCTGTAAACACTAATAATAATATATTTATCCAAGGTGGGTTCAGATTTTTGAAAATAAAGGAGAAGCGATGGGATGTTCAAATCCACATCCCCATTGTCAGATATGGGCATCATCCTTTCTTCCAAATGAGGCAGCAGCGAAAGACAGGAATATGATGAACTACAAGATCACCATGGGGACAAATCTATTGCTTGACTATGCAAAGTAAGTAATTCTTTCAGAAGATTTAGCAGCATTACTTGCAACCAGAACAAATAATTTCTCTTATTGATTGGAATCAAGACTTTAAAACTGCTACACCAAACATTTTTAAATATTATTTTTAAGGCAAGAGGAAGAGAAGAATGAGAGGATAGTAGTTTCCAACAATGATTGGCTTGCGCTTGTACCGTACTGGGCTGTTTGGCCGTATGAGACAATGATAATTCCCAGAACAAGGCATATTCTCAGGTAATTAATTTTAAAGGGATTGTTCACCATTCTGAATAAAAAACATAATTTGGATTTACTGAAGCTGAACATGTACCAGAGAGCAACTTTCTGTGATAACCATTGTATTTTCCAATAACTTTATACTGATAAAAAAATTTATATGTCCAAGCTAAATCTTTTAAGAAAACTCTGGTAAAGAATTTTCACAGTTTAAAACTTGTTTTTTTTCCCCCCTAGAATGACTGATTTAACTGATGATGAGAAAACAAGTTTAGCTGATATAATGAAGAAACTGACAACCAAGTATGACAATCTATTCGAATGCAGTTTCCCATACTCAATGGGCTTTCATGGAGCTCCAACAGGTGAAATGCAGTTGAACTTAAATATAAATAATACATTTATTTTCTGACAATAAATAATTTGTCTTGAAAGATAACTATGACTCGTCAAAAATTTATTTTAAGTAAAAAACTAATTTTTTTGCAAAAAATAATGAAGTTCCAAAATTTCGATCTTAGAAAATATTTTACATGGGGTAGTTCTAATGTTATCTAATTTAACACCACAAACTGTCATACAAATTCCCCAAACAATTGAAGCTGCACCTTAAAAGTAAATACTAGAAATATCAACCATCATTCCATTGAAGTTCAAATTAAACATACACAGGAACACACAATGTAATAATAAAAAGCTTAATGATCAAAACTTATCTTGTATTTTCATGTCTAGAATATATGTAATAAGAAAACTATATTGGTTAGGCCCTGGCTGTGAAGGGGAGGATTTTGATCACTGGCAGTTCCATGCTATCTACTTTCCACCTCTACTTAGATCTGCTACTGTCAAGAAGCATATGGTAAGGTTTATAAAATTAAAAACTTTTAATTTAAATTGTTGTTTTTGCAGAAAAATTTCTTTATTGCAAATCTATGCAATTTCTGTTCAGCAGTTTTTCTGGTTATTAGGAACACAAAAATACAGAGACAAGCCCTAGTGCAAATTAAACTATTTTTTCTTTATGTTTCGAAGCCATGTTTTGTTGTAAATTATCAAAACCATAACATTACAATTTATAGTTTTCATTGAATTCAAAAACAAAACATATCTTTCAAGGTTCAACTTCTAAGTTTTAAACTATTTTTTTTTAATTTGATCAAAGAAAAATATCTTAATCAATATAAATATCTAGGTTGGTTATGAAATGTTGGCGAACTGTCAGAGAGATCTAACTGCTGAGCAGGCAGCAGAAAGACTGAGGTAAAAAAAAAAAAGCAATGTATTGAAAAATTTCACAGATTTTTTTAAAAAAGAGACAATGTTTTAGGAGTTTGCCTGACACCCATTACAAAAGGAAAAACTGAAGAAACCAGGAAGCTGATGATAAGAGTGCCTTAAAGCTATGTTTTAATTCTAAACGGAATGCCAAAAGATTATTAAATTTTAAAATGCAATAAAATAATTAACAATTTTTTTTTCAATTGTTCAAGTTTTAGCTTGATCTATATTTTAATGATTTTATTAAACTTTTGAATTATTTAAAAAAATTATTAGTTAAGATTTTGGTTAAAGTTTTGTTGGTGGCATAACTATAAATATGAAATATTACAAATACCTTAAACCCAAATATGGTTTTCGTCTATCTATCTATCAAACATATTAATTTTAACTAAATCTTAAAAATCCACGAAACTTTACAGAAATAGAAAAAAGAGAGCAAATTAAGAAGAGAGTTTATAAATATATTTATCTACAGGGTTACCCACAAAGAATTTTAGATAAGAGGACTAAAGATTAGATTTGGTCTTTTGATTTGAAAATAGTCTTCTCTCATCTCTAAAAGCCTATTAAACGACTTGAAAAGGAAATACAAAATTATAAAGATGGGATTAACCATGATATAAGAAATAAGTCTGAATAATTTCTGTACAGTCGTCTTTGAAGTGTCGTCCTTATTGGCTAACCCTGTATATATGTTTATTTTAGATTTGAAAAAGTACAAATATTTATTTTAGGTTTAAAGTAAAATGATTTATTCAAGTTGTATCTCTAAAAACCTTTCGTCTGGAAACAGGTTTGAAATCATTGTACTCCCAAACCTTAACCTATAAAGAAACATATATCAGCACACAATTGCTATCTGAACACTCATTTAGGTTAAATGTATTACACCCCCCACACCACCATCTAAAAAAGTATACAAACAAAATTACTGAATTAAAGAATGCTACGTAAAAAGAAAAATATCTTTTAAAAGACAAGACAAATGTTAAACCCAATTATGATATTTTTCTATTTACCAAACTATCGTATAAATACCCCCCGACCCCCTCTACCCGATGCAAAGCTAAAAAAATAGACCTCTGACCATGCACAAATCTTTACTACTGAACTTAAAAACGCAACTGCAGACGATGATGAATAAAAAATTATTTATTATTAACATAAAAAAATTATTAAAATGATTGGAATATTTTAGCAATGAGAAATGTGAAGATAAGCTGAGAGGTATGAGAAAAAAGTAGAAAATATACAACCCTGATAAAAACCGGTATTATCATATAATACCTTTCAATGAAAAAGATAAATATTTCTCCAATCTCACCCCCCCCCCCCCCGACGCAAAAAAGTACAAATTGCAATTACAATAAGAATTTGATTTCATGATTGCAAATTACTAAGTCATTGACCCCTAACCATATACACTCCCCTTATAATTTATAGCAAGTGTTTAAATTTTCTTTGTACGAAATATTCATCAATTCTTTATTGATGTATCTAATTGTTTTTATCAATTTTTATTTTTATTTAAAACCCGATATGGTACACTAAATGTTTCATATGTTCACTAGGTCATTGACTCTTAAACAATATACACTCACGTACTTCTCAGTGGTTTGTTTGAAGTTTAAACCAAGTGTTTATTTTACTTTTATCATTGACTGGTGAAAAATTGTAATTCTTAAAACAAAACAATTTCTTTGACACAAATACGTTAGTACAATACTTTAAGTACAAATACTTTGATACAATCCCTTTCTATCTATACCTTCTGTTTATAGTTTAGTGAAACGAATCAAAACAAACCTTTTCTTTTTTATGTTGTTCTTTATAAAACTTTTCAAAGTTTTCTGTAATAATAGGGATCGGAAGTGACATCACCAGTACACCGGATATAGCACAGAAAGTTCCAATCAGTTTACCCAAGCCTGGGAGAAAACCATAAATTAAAACATTCGAACAGCTTATTAGTTTTTATTTTTGGAACTTTACATGGTCACAGCCTACAAAGTGATATCTGGCCAATCAGATGACAATGATCATGATATTTTTAATTTCACAAACAGAAGCGAAAAAATCTGAATTTGTTTTGTCATTGTAAACTAATGTCTAGAGATAAAGGTTAATTGTTACTTTAAAAAGTCCTGCTAAAATAGTTTTAATTTTAAAAAATGTTAAAGATTGTATCAAAGATCTTTTTATGATCATTGGCCAATATTCAAAAACCTAAAGATATATAATATAACAAAATATATAATTTACAAAAAAGACTTGGTTCAACTGATTATATTTGCATTTATCTTTGAATTGCAAATTTTCAATCGCAACATTTTTTTTTCATTCTATAGAAATAAGCTTTATTCTATAAAAAAAATACCTGTTGTTGGATAAATATCCCCGTATCCTACTGTCGTCATGGTAATCACAACCCAATAGAATGCGTTCGGTATACTTAATAAAATATTCAGTGTACTAAACATATATTTTTATACAAATACTTTGATACAATCCCTTTCTATCTATATACTATACATATATTTTTATACAAATACTTTGATACAATCCCTTTCTATCTATATATCTACCTATTACGCCTCCCTCCCACCCCTCCCCACAATCCTCTCTCTACTTCAGGAAAACGTGGACTATAGAGAAAGTTAGTTACAGTGCCTTTGAAACAAATATTTTGATATAATCCTTTAACACAAATATTTTTGAATCAATCCCTTTAACACAAATATTTTAATACAATCCCTTCAATATAAATATTAATCTTTTTAGCACACATATTTGAATAGCATACCTTTCAAGGGTAGAGAGAAGCATTCAACACATTTTATATGTATCTAACCCTGAAACAATAAACCTGGATGAAATCTGTTCCAGAAATATATTTTAACAGTGTCCTAACCAAACAAAAACGTTTAAAAGATCAGATCATGACAACATTAATTAGAACATAATAAGTAAGCATAATAATGACATTGAATATTGAGGAGTGTATTATGAAGACTTTATAATTCCAAGAAATGGAGAAAAGAACTGTACACTGTGAACTAAAATATGATACCAAGCAGGCGGATACAGGGGTGTGATTTGGACCAATGGCACACCCCTGGAAAATTGCATCCCCTTAAAGCATTGGGCTGGGGGAGGGGGGTTACGGAAAACGGAGAGAAAAATAATTCCTGTATCCACCCCTGGTTTCAAGCTCAAACGCAAAAATCGAAAAAAAGTACTTCTAAAAAATTAAACTAGAATCAAGCACTTTTCAGCATTCGAATATTTATAATCAGGGCTACAAAAACATATAAGAAGGGTTAACAAGGTTAAAAAAAGAACATCGGCCCGGCGACACCTCAAAGTCGTCCAGGTTTGTCTCTCTATTTCCCAAAAAATAAACTCCTGTACACTCTCCTGGCAATACTATGGGTTTTGTTAAATCAAATTTCTTTTCAAACTTTAAATTGTAATTTCAAAAATGATTTTTTTTAAAACCGCTAAGTCCAAAAAAATTACCAGAAGAAAACTCTGCCTGTTTGTATCTTTGTGTCTCATAAACCATTTGACCGATTAACCTCAAATTTTGATTGGGAAACTTGGTAGAACTACGGAAATATTCTTAACTTGGTTTTAAAAAGTTGAGTTGGCTTACTTGAATATAAAAAGTTTAGTTTACAGACAAAGCTAGATTCCCAAGATAGATAACAATATCTTAAGTGTGTTAAGATTGTGAGGATAAACCAAAGCATGTACAATGTACTGCAAATTTAAGTTGTACAATATGTCTGAATTAAAGATAAATAGTAATTTTATAAACCAATAAACTAAACAATACATGTATGAAGAATGCTGCTACCGCTTGTTGGTCAATATATTGACGAAGGTCTCCTTGGCGATCTGAATATTTCCAACCTTCTTCATCTTCCTCTTCCCCTCCGCCTGGTTCTTCAACAGCTTCATCTTCCTGGAGATATCTCCGCCGTAGCACTTCGCCGTCACGTCCTTCCGTAGAGCTTTCACGTCCTCACGGGCTAATAAAAACTTTATTTTAAACAAACTGTTTCAGTATTTTCTTGCGAATTCGACGCACGCCCAATTCACAACGATACCCTTTAAACTTTTTTCTGAAAAACAATAAGGAAGAATATGTTTTTATCTAGAAAGTGGCTAATTCTGACAATTTCTTTTTCGTATCGTTTGCATCAAACTGCATATTACTTATAACTAAGAAACCACAATTGTATAATAATATTTCAGATAGAGGTTAGAAAAAAAAGGATATCTCGCGTAATTTTTCCTCAGACAAAAGGGTTTTAGAGCCACCGTTGTGAGTTGGGCATGAAATTCTTTAAAAGAAGGAAACTTATATCGACAAACAGTTTAAGCATTCCGGATTTCAATTTTTTTTCCCTCGTAAACTTACAAAAATCTTACCAAAAACTTTTGAGCCAACCATTGCTTGAATTGCAATTGCAAACTGTTGTCTTGGTAATTCATCTTTCATCTTTCCGACCAGATACTTGGCCTAAGGGCATCTTTTATTAGAACTGATTAGAATCCGATGTAAGATCAAAGTAAACCAAAATATAAACGCCAAGATCTTGATAAATACTCTTTTTAAATCAAAGCTAGAAACGAGAATGTTGATGTCCAGACCTACGGATAAAAATAAATAAATGTATAAGTAAGCTAATAAGGTAAAACTTAAACTCAAGGCATTGCGACACTTCAAAGTCGATCCGATCTTGGAAACTTGTTGTCTAGTTGTCTAGATCTCTCTGATAAACTTTCGGACGTTTTACATCTTCCGTAGTGGCCTTCCCAAATAGGACTTTTCCAAACGTTCTAGCCGCAGCGCACGGCTCAGATCCTAATTAACTGTAAAAACTATGTTTCAATATTATTTATACTGAACTGAAAACTTTAGAATGATGGATTTTGAGATCAATGCTTGATCCTGTCTTTTTGCTAATCTCTAGACTAATTTAGCCTTTAGATTAATTTGTAGAGATTAGAGAAGCGTTCTTTAACTTTTGAAAAACGGACTCAAAATGACTTCAGTCCTCAAATGTGATAAATAGTTTTTTATTAAGATCACATTAACATAATCAATTTATATTTTTTTAAATCCTCTAAAGCCAGCTTGGGAATAGCTGACTTTAGTTCAATGGGATATTAGTACAATCGATATAGTAAAAGAGAGGATTAAGAAGAAAATCAGAAGTGTGTACATTGGATACACAGATTAACCGATCGGGATTAAGGATATTTAATTTTTAAGTTTTCAGCTCAGGAAATATACGTTACAAAATTAAATTGAAACATAATTGTAATGAATATAAATTAAGAAATAAAAAAAATGTACCAGAGAAAAAATAATTAGATTTAAGTACCTTGGTTTTAATTTTGCTGACGTGCACGATGGAACTGAGCTCACCGATTGGATTTCCATTCAAGTGAATATCCAACTTGACTAAAATAAACAAATTAAAGAACTAAATTTGAATTCGTGAGTTTTTCTTAATTTCCTAAAATTGGAAACAAAATAAACGCTGAAACATTCTTTTTTACCTCTATATTAAATTCTTTATTGTGTAGGTGTGAACACAATAAACAATGAAAAAAATAAGAAGAAAATAATGAGAAATTAAATATTAACGTTATCCTTCCCATCCCTTGCCTTTGATTTAAGTTCTAACCCATTGGATGGATTTTCATTTTACTGATTTTAAGATTGCTCTTCATAAAACTTAAAGAAGAATTAATTGTTGTTGTAATTACAAATTATCCTCCATGTATAGCGTGGCATTTCTTTTGGTTCAGTGTTAACTATAAAGTTCAGAAGGTTACCCTTTAAACCTTTCTCTGATCAAGGTTGGTTGAGTAATCCTTATTTTTCTGGCTGAAAATTTATTATTGTTACTAGAGCAATGAAATGCAGACCGTTTTTAATCGGACACGACGCATTCAGATTGGAGGGCCACTCAAAATTGTGTCTTCAGTCTGTTTAATCTTCAAAAAAATAATAATGCATCACCTAGATCACTAGCCCTGTATCCTGCATCCTCGTAATCCAGGGATGCAAACCCCGAACTCCGACTTTTTAACTCGTCAAAAAAATCTGGATTTTACAGACCAATATGAAAGAATGAATGAATAATGAAAGGAAGGATGAAAGGATGAACGAATGAATGAATGAAAGAAATCATTGTATGTATCCCTATAATTTTCTTATAAGGCGGGGATATAAACTATAAAGGATGAATGAATGTATGAAAGAAATGAATGAATGTATGAAAGAAATTAATGAATGTATGAAAGAAATTAATGAATGTATGAAAGAAATTAATGTATGAATGACTGAATAAAATCATAATCTGTATCCCTGGAGCTTTCTTATTAAGCAGGAATATAAACTGCATATTGAATGAATGCATGAATGTATGATAATTAAATGAATGAATAAACAAATATAGTGTCTGTATCCCTGTAGCTATCTCATTAAGTGGGAAAATATACTGCATATAGAATGAATGCATGAATGCATGATAATTAAATGAATGAATTAACAAATATATTGTCTGTATCCCTTTAGCTATCTCATTAAGTGGGAAAATATACTGCATATAGAATGAATGCATGAATGTTTGATAATTAAATGAATGAATAAACAAATATATTGTCTGTATCCCTGTGGCTATTTCATTAAGCGGGAATATAAACTGCATATTGAGCCTGGTTTGATCTAGGTTCAAGATTGAAATCTGTTCTCCACGTCTGTCATTGCATAATTCTAAAAAACTTCATAGTATAACGGTTTCTGAAAAGCGGAGAGGGCTTAGGATAAGTCTTAATCGAATTTGGTAAAGATTGTGAAAAGAGAAATTTTACGTTTATTCACAATGGTAGATTTGAACCCTTTTTCTGATCATTTCTGATAATTTCTAAAGAAGAAACGCGCAATTCACTTTTGTTTAGAAACTGCAAATGAAAGTAATATTTGTTTTAACAAAAACATTAAGATTTAAGATATCTAATTCAAACTTGAACCAGATAAAACTTTTAAGAATACCGTTGTGAATCAGACATGCCATTCCTTCAATGGAGGGTCACTTGATATAGAGTTAACAGTCCCTTTAAGGGAGGAAAATGCATACAAAGTTATTAACTCTCAATTAAATAAGCAATTTTTTTAACATTGCTTTTAATGTCTAACATTGTGTTGAAATTGTTCAACTTTAGGGACGATTTGAAACTGTATATTTACTGTTTGGGACTTGAGTTCCCAATGTGTTTCAAAATTGTATACAGCATAGAATACTGCTCTTAGAATTCTTTTTAATGTACCTAGAGATACGCATAGGTACTTGATGTAAAAATGACCTCAACACAGTTCTTGGCAGAAATTTATTTTCTATTGCATTTGGATCTTAGTAAAATGTTAGTTAAGAAACAAATGAAATATTTTGATGTCCCATTGGAACATGCATGGAAAGTTCCAGTTTTACCAGAACTTTTAAATACAAGAATGAATAATTTATATGTTGAAGGATTCGATGATTACGTAATAACTGAAATGATAAATATGTTATGTAGTGCGTAAAAATCAATGTTTTCTATTTGTGCATAATTTTGCATATTTTTTCTCTTTTCTTTTGGAAACCTGTATTTTCAAAAAAATTTATTTAAACAAATTTAAACTACACCATTTATATATGTATTTATATCTTTGTGCGTGAATTGATTATTGCAGTGGAATGAACTGATGCACAATAGCGGGAAGGTTAGCTTTGTACCTAGGATGGGGGATAGATATTCTACAGGTGTAATCATGGTAGCATGTACAATAGGCTCTTGGTACTCTTCTACATTCATCCTTTCCAACCAGTTCGCAGGGTTAGAAACCTTAAAATTAGATTAGATTATTAGAAATCTTAAAATTATATAACATTATTAGAAACCTAAATATTAGATTAGATTATACGAAACCTTAATATTATATTAGATTATAAGAAACCTGAATATTATATTGGATTAGATTATTAGAGACCTTAATATTATATTAGATTATTAGAGACTTAAAAATTAGATTCGATTGTTAGAAACCTGAATATTATATTAAATTATTAGAGACCTGAATATTAAATTAGATTATTAGAAACCTTAAATTAGATTAGATTATTAGAAACCTGAATATCATATTAGATAATTAGAAACCTTGAAATTATATTAGATTATTAGAAACCTTAGAAAGCTTAATATCATATTAGATTATTAGAAACATTAATAATATATTAGATTATTAGAAACCTTAGTATTATATTAGATGATGAGAAACCTTAATATTATATTAGATGATTAGAAACCTTAATATAAGATTAGATTAATTTAAACCTTAATATAAGATTAGATTATTAGAAACCTTAAAATTATATTAGATTATTAGAAACCTTAATAATATATTAGATTATTAGAAACCTTAATATAAGATTAGATTATTATAAACCTAAATATTAGATTAGATTATTAGAAACCTTAATATTAGATTAGATTATTAGAAACCTAAATATCATATTAGATTATTAGAAACCTAAATATCATATTAGATTATTAGAAACCTAAATATCATATTAGATTATTAGAAACCTTAATATTATATTAGATTATAAGAAACCTTAATAATAGATTAGATTATTAGAAACAAAAATATTATTTTAGATTATTAGAAACCTAAATAGTAAATATTACATTAGAATATAATAGACCTTAATATTAGATTAGATTATTAGAGACCTTATAATTAGATGCGATTATTAGAAACCTAAATATTAGATTAGAAACCTTGGTATTATATTAGATTATTAGAAAACTGAATATTATAATAGATTAATAGAAACCTTAATATTCGATTAGATGATTATAAACCTAAATATCATATTAGAATATTCGAAACCTTAATATTATATTAGATTATAAGAAACCTTAATATTAGATTAGATTATTAGAAACCTTAATATTATATAAGATTATTCGAAACCTTAATATTAGATTAGATTAGATTAGATTATGAAACCTAAATGTTAGATTAGATTATTAGAAACATTAATATTATTTTGAATATTTAGAGAAGTAGAAAGTGAATAATTGGTTAAAAACAAGACAGCTTACTTTAATTAGACAGCTAATCAGTAATCAGTAATTAATATCTAAGTATATGAAATATGATTTATTTTAATAAATGATATCTCAATACATTTGTGTATTAAAAACATTAAAAAATTAAACAAAATCTTACCGTGATTTCTTTTCCATATTTCTTCTTATTTCCCTCTCCTTTTATAATTAATCTATAAGGAACTGATGGCGCCGTGATAAGAACCTGATTTCAGAAACAATATTTAGAAATTAATACATTTAACAACATTGATTCAGAACCAATTTAAGAATTCTAGATAGGAACCAACTTAAAGGGACTGTAGTCGTAATTTCAAATAATTCACCATTTCTGATTCACAACGAAACCATTAAAAGTTGTATAAAGCAAATTTTAACATAATATAGTTCTGAAATGTTGGAAAATTTAATATTTTCTTTCTAAAAAGCGATCCAAAACGACTAGACCAGCGGTGAACTAACCTCAGCTTCATATTCTTGTTCCAACCTCTGTGAGAAAACCTCCATATGGAGAACACCAAGGAATCCAATCCTCCAACCATAACCCAGAGCAGGACTAGACTCATCACTACAAATATTGTAAATGGAACAATTAAGAACATATCGTCGTTGTTCAATCTTAAAGGGACTGTAAGCGTTATTTCAAGTGACCCTCCGTGCAAAGATGACAATGTCCTATTTACAATGGTACCCTTGAAACCTTTAAATAATTAATAATGTGGAAGATATTTTCGCTTTTCTAGGTTTAAAAGAGATTAATTCAGAAAACTTCTATGTTTTCTTGCCGCAGAAATGCGCAAATTATCGCTGTCAACCCTTTATTTGAGAAATCATAATTAAAAATAATCCGCTTTCAAAATTATAAAAATTAATATCTAATTAATACTTAAAGGGAGTGTTCGCGAAAAATGAAAGGGGGTATAGGTTTAATGCGATAAAAAAGCGCTTTTGATCGCTACTAATCTTACTTCTATCTGTTGCGTCTATAAGGAGAAAATTGTTAAAGACGTCTCATAACGAATAACAAATATACAAATGTGGCGAAAGATAATCGATGACTATAGGTCGTAATATCTGAATGATTTGTTTAAAATTAAATTGATTTTTTTACGGTCTAAGTCGTATGTTGCAATTTTCTCAATTTGTATGGACGCAAAGTTATTCGGTATGAGACGTCTTTAACAATTTTCTCCTTACAGACGCAACAGATAGAAGTAAGATTACTAGCGATCAAAAGCGCTTTTTTATCGCATTAAGCCTAGACCCCCTTTCATTTTTCGCGAACACTCCCTTTAACCAGACAAAACTTTTAAGGGTACTGTTGTAAATCGGGCAAAGCCCTCTTTGTGAGAAGGTTCACTCGAAAATATTATTAAGAAATAAATTTCATGATTTTTTGCATAAATTCGCAAGTAACTAAATTATTGAGATACCACACTTGGAAATTATCAACTTTCAAACTAAAAAACAAGGAATGCTCCTTCATTATGTACAGATAAAGGCAAACGATACCATTGTGAATTAAACTTTTCAATAGAGTTGAATTGAACTAACGTCATCAGATCCTTTTCTTATTCTTTAACTATCATATTCCAAAAAATGTTGGTTCTCGAGGGGTGACTTTTAAATTAAGTAGAGCAATTCTACAGACAAAAAATATTATCAGGGGTTATGTGTTCTTTAATATATTAAGTATTTACCTTAAAGTAACACTATTATCATTAATACAAAGTTTATCAATGGCTGCTCTCAGATCCTTGTATTCCCCAGCATTGAAGGGATAAAACCCAGCAAACAGCATTGGTTTAGCAGCAGCTGAACACCAAACCAAATATTTTTAGAAAGTATTTCCAAACAAAATATTTTAGAAAGATGAGAAATAAGTTATGAGAACTAACAATCAACATTAAAACAGCTTATAAAATACATAAAAGTAAATGATAAAATTATTGAAAAACAATATAACTAAATAAAAAAAATTAGCAAATTATTTGTTGGCTTCTGTTTTCAGGAAGGGAACCCCCGGACGCCATGAGCCTCTACAATGCAGACATCGAGCCTCCCAGATTCGCTAGGCAGACCGAGCCTCCACTATGCAGACAAAGCCTACGCTATGCAGACTGTGACTACGCTATGCAGTAAACAAGCCTCCACCATACAGAACAGCTTTTTTAAATCTTGGTTTTTATGAGAAATGAAAACTTTTAACATTTTTTTTACTAAAGATTAGAGTTGTTTATTGATTGTCATGATTAGAAACATATATGGAGTCATAAAGTGGGTTATAAGATTTATATTAAAACTTTAAACATTTCTTGCACAGAAAGGAAGATATTTGGAGAAATATTTCTGGGTTAAACTTGGTTTGTTTTGTTGCAATCTTTGATTTAATCAATACCTTTTTTTGAAAAATGTTAATATTTAAATAATAAATACAAATTTTTTAGATTTAATTTGAACTTCAAAAAAAGGTATCGCTTAAATCAAAGATTATAAAAGATGAAATGAAATTCAATTCAAATTTTTTTTTTCTAAATATTTTCCTTTTAGTCATAATTAGGCTTATTTATGATAATTAATAAATACTTCTCATCGTTGAGAAGCCTCTCATGCCACTATGTCTAAAAATTTCAAAAAAATCTTTTATTTAAACTTAAAACACAGTTTAAAAAAACCTCCTGTATTACACAGGCACATTTTGATGTGTTGCGCATGCTCATTTCTGCAAAGCGGAGGCTTGGTCTACCTAGCAAATCTGGGAGGCTCGTGTCTGCATAGCGGAGGCTCATGGCGTCAGGGGGTTCCCTCCCTCCGGTTTTTGGCAGTTGCCCTTTTAACTGTCGGCAAACACTCAACTTAAATCAACTGATTTATAAATTTCTGCCATTTGACGGTCGTTTTTAATTCTCTGAATAAGATTTGGCCTCAAATTCAATGTTGCCTGGGTGTTATTATAATTATTATTTGGTTGCCTATTTCTAGAAGCGGGGGAACTGGTTTGCCCTTTAAATGAAAAGTATCTCCTATCACGGCTTCCTTTGTACTCCGCATATTACAGATTATGTACCCGACCTAAACATGGTACTTCGCATATTACAGGTTATGTACCCAACCAAAACAGTGTACTCTGCATATTATAGATTGTGTACCTGACCTAAACATGGTACTCCGCATATTACAGGTTATGTACCCAACCAAAACAGTGTACTCTGCATATTAAAGATTGTGTACCCAACCTAAACATTTTACTCTGGCTATTATAGATTATGAACCCGACCTAAACATTCGCATATTACAGATTATGTACCCAACCTAAACATTGTACTCCGCATATTACGGATTATGTACAGTGAAACCCATAACAACGAATACATCGAAAGAGTTCATCAAATGTTGTATTCTTCACTTTCGGATAATGGAATGTTGCAGATATTTAGTTTCTTAATAAAATGATTATATGGAACTCAATAAAACTGTTCCCGCATATTCATGGCTATTTATTTATTTTCGCAAATACTGAAATTTACGTAATATAGTTAAAAACTCATTGAAAATTTGTCAAGACGACATTTGATAAATTCTTCCGATGTATTCGTTATTAAGGGTTTCACTGTACCAAACCTAATTATTGTACTCCACATATTACAGAGTATGTACTTTAGAAGCTCGTCACTTAAGGTTTGTAACGTTACCTGTCCTGGGTAAATATTTGAATAGTAAGCAGACCTGTCCTGGGTAAATATTTGAATTATAAGCAGACCTGTCCTGGGTAAATACTTTAATAATAAGCAGACCCTTCCTGGTTAACTGTTTGAATAATAAGCAGAATAGTCCTGGATTAATATTTGAATAGTAAGCAGACCTGTCCTGGCTAAATATTTGAATAATAAGCAGACCTGTCCTAGTAAATATTGGAATTATAAGCAGACCTGTCCTGGGTTAAATATTAAAATAGTAAGCAGACCTGTCCTGGGTTAAATATTTGAATAGTAAGCAGACCTGTCCTGGGTAAATATTAAAATAGTAAGCAGACCTGTCCTGGGTAAATATTTGAATAGTAAGCAGACCTGTCCTGGGTAAATAGTAAGCAGACCTGTCCTGGGTAAATATTTGAATTTTAAGCAGACCTGTCCTGGATAAATATTTGAACTATAAGCAGACCTGTCCTGGGTAAATATTTAAATTATAATCAGACCTGTCCTGGGTAAATATTTGAATAATAAGCTGACCTGTCCTGGGTAAATATTTGAATTAAAAGCAGACCTGTCCTGAATAAAGTGCAGTACACTCAACTGTTTCAGGGGTAATTACTCCGACACTCTTTACACTGTACTCCTAGATTGTTATAATTATTATCATTCTTATAATCATCATCATCAGAACCATTACATTTTAATTATTTTAAATATGACAATTTTCATTATTGCAGATACAGAGCGTTCCATATCAGTCACATTGTATTATCTCCAATTAAGTGTTACCGCCGAAATAAGAGCAGAAAAACCAAAGAAGTCTGTTCTCTGTATGTTTATTGTTCTGAGTTATTTAAAAAAAATACAATTAATGTGTATTTTATATGCAAAAAGAGTGTATATTGTATAAGTTAAGATTGCAATATGAAAAGTTTGCTAAAACATAATTTTTACAAAATTAATCAACTGTCAATTTTTAATAGATTCTTTTATTGATTTTTAGCTAAACCATCAGATATTTAACGTTCTACTAGCATGGAAATACAGCTTTGCCTGGAAACTAAACTTTCTCTTTACAACTTGGAATTTATAACAAAGCTAAGAACATTCCCGTGGTTCTACCGAGTTCTCCATTCAAAATTCGAGTCAAATAAGTCATGAGTTATGACAGAACATCCAAAAAATAAACAGATATTATTTCTTTTTATTTATAGATAAGAATACTATTACTATTGTACATTGTGATTCAAACTCACCTTTCCAGTTTTACATGAGACAATATTTGACGCATTGTACACTATGCCACTTTTTACTTGAACTATTCAAACAATTCTTTTCATTTTTAGATTTACAAGTAATTTTAGATATTTAAATATTATCTCAAAGTGTAACTTGAATTGGCGGAATTTTTGTATACATATCTTGATCGCATAAAAACTGATTACTTGCCTCAAACTTGATTTTCTATGCCTTATATCTATGCAGCCTGTATAACGTTAAACATTAAATATTTCAAACTATGAATTCTGATGTAGTCATAAAACTAGAGTTGGAGGCGAGTCATCAGTCCCTTACACCTAAGATGAACAAAATAAATATGAAATAAAAGTAAATAAAATATATGATATGATTGATCGATTAATTAAAATAAAGATTGTTTACTGTTCCTAGATTAATGGCCCCCTTATATCTATCGAACCAGCTGTCGAACAGGAACAGCGCAAGGTCAGCATTGGGGGCAGCAGAGGGTGGGGGTGGTATTAACTAATTAATTCATTATTTAATAATTTTCATAAAATAACTTCCAAGCGTTGTAAATTATTGTAATCTCAGTTTTAATTGAGAAGAAAAAACTTGAAATAAATTAATCAAAATATTACTAAATCATCAATGAAAACAAAAATACAAAATAAATCTAGTAAATCTAGTAAATCTAGTAAATCTAGTAAATCTAGTAAATCTAGTAAATCTAGTAAATCTAGTAAAGTTGAAGATCAAAAATTATCAAAAATGGATTGACGAATAGATAAATGAATTCCTGAACAACTGCGTCTAGAAGCTGTTTAACTCCTGTTCCCAGTTTAGCTGAGATGAGCAGGACTTTGCCAGGATCCAGTTCAAAAAGGGAGTAGAGCTGCTCTCTATACAAAAACAAATCAGGAGTTGAAGGATCTGAGTTTTAAATCTAAATCAAATAGTCGAAATTTAAAATAGCAGAGGTTTACACCATAAGGTTACGTAAATAAAGAGACTGAAAATTGGAGCTTGAAGGGAGTGATCAGTTTTATGAGACGTTTTGGTTAGTTTCTTTTTGAAAAATTTCTCAAAAAAAAACACTTTAAAAAATAAATTTACTCACTAATTCTAACATTATTAATCTTAACCGATCAAAGACAAAATGTCTTTTTTATGAATAAATGACTATTTGGACAGTGCGAAAGGGTTACAATTGTGACAATGTAAATTTGAGATAATATCTCTTAGGAACAGCAAAGTTGGGAGGTTCCCAAAAATTTAGTTTAAATAGAATTTTACTCCAAACTCTAACATTAATATTTGGGTTTAATAATCCAACATGAGAAAAATTGCTTGAAACCTTTTATGAAGTTAATCGTCACAAAAAGTTTTACATCTTTTTTGTATTTTGTAATTTACAATGTTTTATGAATTTTATTGTTTAAAGGGATACCATTTGACAATGAAAAACTTCCAACATGTTTTTGCTGCTCATCGCAAAACACTATGATGTCAGATAAAAGGGGGGTAGGGTGTATCTCCATGGAAATGGGATGTTATTTTAAAAATATTAAATATTCACCTGACTGCATCAGGGTTCGCATTAGGAAGATCTATTTTATTTATTACAGGAATTATTTCTGGACAAAAAAATGAAAAGTCAATTTTACAAAATAGAAGTATTAAAAAATGGTGGCCTTTTTTATTTTCATAAAAAAATTATACTCAAATACATAAAGGGAAGATCTATTTAATTTATTACAGAAATTATTTCTGAACAAAAAAATGAAAAGTCAATTTTACAAAATAATAGTATTAAAAAATGGTGGCATTTTTCATTATTGTAAAAAATTTATACTCAAATACATAAAGGGGAGATCTATTTTATTGATAAGAGGAATTGTTAATGACCAACAAATTTAAGGTGATCAATAAAAAAATCGTGGTCACTTTTTTATCATTAAACGAAAGATTTACTTTTTTTAAAGCACTTATTTTTTTATTCATTCCTAGATTATTAGCGAAGGCTTGGTAAAAATTTGAAACAGTTTGAGCTTGAACTCCTTGGTTAGCGTCTACTAGGAGTAGAACTCCCTGACATGCCCTAAAATACACACATTTTATTTTAGGGGCTTATGTACTCCTCAGATAGTCTACTAAGGGGTTGGACTCCTTGACATGTTCTAACAACTCAGTAAAAAGTATCTTAATTTATAGGGAGTAGTACTCCCTTAATAATATACTCCTAAATCTTTAAGTTCTCAGTTTTTAATCAAATCTAACAAAAAAACATATTTTATTTTAAATTTAAATCTTCGATCTAACCTTAAAGATCGGGTGACTTCATAGCTGAAATCAACATGTCCTAAAAAAAGAAGTTTTTTTCTCAGAAAAATACAGTGGATACACTTACTCTCATAAAATCAAAACCTCCTAAGGATTTAATGATAAACCCAAGGGCAGAATCACTGGAAACTAAAACTCCCTCGGGATTCAATGATAAACCATTGGGCTACGTCCTAGCAATCAAGTTTTTCCTTCCATTTATATTTTCATTTCAAGATTAGAATTAAGATTTCTTTTTTCTTCCTGACTTAAGATAAGTAAAAAAATAAGGGAGGGGGGGGGAGACAATATTTGAAATTTTCTAACCAACCTGGAGTGTCTATAAGGTTAAGAATATATTCCTCTCCTTTAAACTGATACAGAACGGATACAGATTGAGCTTTGACAGTAATCCCTCGTTCCCTTTCCACCTGGAGCTTATCCAGAACCTGGATATTTAATTTAAAACCTATGATATAAAAATATCTCAAAAAAGGCAATTCAACCGTTTAAATAAGTTTCTTCTCACAAATCAAATCAAATAAGATTACAGATTGTAGGGATGGACTAAAACTCCAGTAGTAGATCAGAGGTTTAAGTCCTTTCCATGTCCTGGGTTTTCAGCCCGGACTCCTTCCAAGATTTAAAAGCAAAATTTTTATTTAGTTGTGTTTTGCGAAGTTCCCAGCCACACACGACTACATTTTAGCCCTGCCCTGCATTAGAATACCAATCATTGAAGAACTGCCAAACAAAGTGTCAAGGTTTAAATGAGGGTAATTCTTCTAACCTGTTTATTATTAGCAGAGACGTCAATAGCACCCACAATTTCTAAAAGGCAACACAAATTTTAAGTTTTGGTATTTATTTTTTTATATCAGTTCAGAATAGTCAGGCCTAAAAGGAAGCGAAGAAAATCATGACACTAATATCTAAAACAGGTGACAGGTCTTAGCTAAGAACAAGAGCGGATACATAATTAGGAACAAAAAATCGCGCTGCAGGCGAAAATTTTTTTTGACTTAAAAGACTCAAAGAGTCAAAATTAACGACTAAAGACCAAAAAACTAGATGTTTAACTTTTCAAACATTATAGTTTATTAAGACAGATATTTTTCCAGATTTGCACTAGGGTTTCTTACCCTTAAGCATGCTATTGAGAAGCTATTCTGAAAATAGGAACACAAAAAATTCCAAATTCAGGGGGGTCTACGCCCCTCCCTGAATCTGTCAGGGGGTGGCGAATGTCCCCCCGCCCCCCCTGGCTAAGAACAAAACCGTGTTTGCCTAGAATTCTGTCCGCTAGGGTGGATTTCCCGTGATCCACGTGGGCAACAATACTGTAATTCAATCGATCAATCATGATGACAATCAATCCACTTTTTTCTGGTTCCCACTGTATTACTTGGATATTCAAATATAACCATGTAAAATCAAATAGAAAATTTCTTTATAATTTGAGCTGATGGATTTCCTGAAATTTCTAATTTTCTCTGGTGGAAAGTCCGCAAGATCGACATCTTTAATTGTTCTGATGGTTGACGCATTTTCTGAGAACTGACGTACACCAAGCCTAAGGGTTCGGGATATCGTCACACAAGGAGTGTACACTCGATTGTATAGTTTTAGTATCATAGCATAATTCTGAAAGAATTGGTAACTTTTTTCTGATATGATAAGAGACATTTAGTAAATAATGAATAATTCTGAAGAAATTATTAAAACAAATTAAACAAATTTCCCGTAAACTTAACTTTAAAAAAAAAAGTAGAATCGTTGAATGTTGAATTATGCATGCATAATTGAGATTCACGGATCATTAATGAAAATAAGATTAAGATGAATAATTTGGAAGGTTTTTAAAGTGGGGTTTATAAGCTTTTCTCAAATCAGTGTTAAATGTCCATTCTTTTTAAATGATCCTACTTCTTTATCGATCTTGAAAAATAGGAGCCGGATCCTGCTCATAAATAGACAACTTTTCAAGTTATACAATTTCTATTCCTAAACCCAACAATTTGTTTTTAATTTCTCAAGATTGTTTTTCAGCTGCATTTTAAATAGACTAATAAGTATAATAAATGGCAATGAGATTTTGAAGAAATTATGCATGACGTCACTCATTGGTGTCAAATGAGACACAGTTCCAACTTCCAACCCGTCTTTTAATGTAAGGCGTTAAATAAAGCATGCATAAGAAAAAAAAGCAGAACAAACTGCAGTAATGTCACTCCAAACTTAAGCACTTCATTAATGTGTCACTATTATTAAACATTTAAATGCCACCATTGAAGTAAAATATAGCTGTTCGGAAAATACAGAAATTCTCCATTGCCACCTATTATACTTAATAACCTATTTGAAGCATCCAATGAACCAATGATCAAGTTAGATGTAGTCGAAGATACGAAGTCTGTCACTTAACCCTATCTCTGCTGGGGCACTTGAAAACCAGGATATGCTGGGGGGGGGGGTCAATTTGACCCCCCTCTAAATCCCATGTTTGATGTCCAAATATGACAAATGATACATCATTGGAAAGCTCTTGTGCTCTACTTTTAGAATCTGCAAAAAATTTTGCAAATTTGCAAAAATTGAATTTTTTATCGCAAAATCCAGTTATATAGTAAAATTTTTGCAAAAAAAAATTTGTTCAACAAATGAAAAATTGTACATTTTTGAAAAGCCCTTAGCCATGCCATTTCAAATATGCAAAACTTTTTGCAAAATTTTAAATAACCTGATTTTTAATCAAGAAAATTTTTTTTTCGCAAAACTTGTGCAATTCGTTTCCTTATGTCAAAGGCTTTCCAAAAAGCTAAATTTGATTTAAATCTGACAAGTGGAAGTGGGTCAAAAAAAAGATTTAGTTTGTTACAGGAAATAGCAGTCATTCAGGCACTCAGGCAGTTAGTATTAAAGCTCGGTTTTAGGCCTAAAGGGAGGGCTTTGGGTATGCAGGAAAAGTCAGAAAATTTCAACAGCCTCAGACCAATACTTTTTGAGTTATGTAAAAAAGCAGGAATAGGGTTAAATTAATCCAGTATATTCTTGATGATTCTTTTTCTGACAATGAAAACATAATAGATCCAGTATATAATCTTAATCTGATCAAAAATGTGGAAGAAACCATTGTTTTTTTCTGACTAGAAAAGTATTTATTTACGAGTTTATCCTTTGCTTCTGATAAACAAGGAATACTTAATCAGACACAGCTTTCAAAGGCACCATTGTAATTCGGCCATTGCCATTCTTGCATGGAGGGTCACTTGATATTAGGCTTGCTGTCATTTTAAATGCACACTAAAAAAGACATATCAAGATTTCAATTTCTCCCACTCACATTTCTATTTATCTGAAACATAAGAAAACAATTACCTAGAAAAATCTGCTAAGTAATAAAAAATTTTAACTAAAATTTATTTTCCACTATTATTCTAAAAAGCGGTGTAGTCTACACTGAATGTAAAAAAACTAAAAAATTTTTATGTGACTGCAACTCTACTTGATATTAAATAACATTTTGAATACTGCAGCACATAGAAGGAAAACGGAACCACAAATTCTGACAATTTTTAGGTCAAATTTTTAGACAGAAATATTGTACGTTGGTCACATATATTTTATTAAATTCTGATACTTTACATATAAACGTTTTGTTTCACTCCCTTTTCTGTTAGCAAAAAAAAAGAAATCTGTAAAGAAAAATTCTTCTTTTTAAAAAAAAAAAAATGTACATGATCTAGATAAGGCTCCTTTATGTTCAGGGCGGATCCGCGTCAAACTAAGATGGTTCCTATAAACTTCAATTCTTGCAGACATAATTATCTGAAACTCTTCGAAGTTTATTGGTCGGGCTAACTCTGTAAAGAAAAGAGGTAAATTGGCGAATTTTTAAATTCTAGAAAGTTTTGACCTTCATGAAAAATGAGTTCTAGTCTACCCAAAGAATGGTGAAACTTAGCAAAATGTTTAATCGAAAAACTGGTGAAAATGGAATTTGAGTTTTTTCCAACAATACATTTTGCAGATTTATATTACCAAACGTTGCTCAAATCTTTTAACAAATTGTAAAAACTTCAAAAACAGACTGAGATATAGCTATATAAAAATTGTCAGAATTAATGTATTTACTTTATCTATAAATATTCTTATTCAATTAGCAACAGTATAAATTATTACTTTGTGATGATACATTTAAGAAAAATGTCTAAATTAAATAACATAATATATATATATATATAAAATAAAGATATTATTATAACAGCATGAATATATAGGAATGGTTCTGAAGGATAATTACAGACACAAACATTTAAATAAAAGTAAAATTTCGATTATTTTCGTTTCAACATTACTATTTTAAACAGAACAGTTGGGGGGTGTTCTCAACTAGATTTAATTGCTTTAAAAAAATAATTTTGTGAACAAAATACATTCTTTTTTAATCTAAACTGAGGAGCAAGGAGTTGTTTCACTAATTCCAAGCTGCTCAAGCTCGTTGTTTAATTCTTGTTCTCGAGGATTCAACTCTCTTCTTCCATCCGTTCTTGGTTCTGCTAGTTCTCCTTGGCTACCAATCTCTTCTCTCCGACTAGAAAGTCTATATACGACTTGATCTTCACCATGATCATATTGATCGCTGTAAAACTCCTCATCCGACTCTTCTCCGTTTGGTTCTCGAGAATCAGACAAGTTGGCTCCACTTGTTGCTCTAGTAGAACCAGGAGTAGGGTTGGGTATTCTACTAAAACCAGGATCAGGGTTGGGTGCTCTACTAGAACCAGGAGCAGGGTTGGGTTGCATATTAGAGCTAAAAGTAGGGTTGGGTGTTCTACTTGAGCCAGGATCAGGGTTGGGTTGTATATCAGATCTAGGAGTAGGGTTGGGTGCTCTACTTGAACCTGGAGCAGGGTTGGTTTGCCTATTGGAAGGGCTGGAGCTGGGTTGAGGATCCATGTCTACTCCTATCCTGAGTCCTGCGACGCCTTTCTTTGGTACTGTAGCAATATCTCGCTTTATGCCCCTTCTCCGGCTTGGATCATTTCTCCTGAAAAATTTATCGAATCAGAAATCAAATAACGAAAAGCCACAGTTTACAAAAAAAATATAAAAATCTGATGTGATACCAACAGAGAGCCCATTTTAAACGAAACTTCTTATGCAGATTAAGATTTCCTAGCACTTTCTGAAACCATTTACCATCCCCCCCAGATGTACTAACTTGTTACCTATACTGAAGCATGTGCGTGAAATCAATTATATAAAGGAACCCAGCAATCAGGAGCTCACATCTTTCAGCACCAGACTAAAATACAATATCAATCAATCAAGAACGAACAAACAATCAAGCAATTAAGAATATCAATTAGTTAGATCATACCAATCAATCAACCAATCAATCAACCAATCATTGATAGACCATAATATCAATATAACATGAGAATGAAAAAATCAATGAATCAAATCTATCAACGATTGAATCAAATAATTGATAAACCAATAAACCAATCAAAAAATCTATAAATGAATGGTTTTACGAATGAATCAAACAAGGAATCAATCAAGAAATCACAAAATCAATAAAGAGGTAAATCAATCAATCAACCTTTTGATGATGTTCTATTTCCGAGCTTGTTCTTTGGTCATATTTCCACCAACCGTTCCTTCCCTCGTAGAACCAACAAGTTTCATCTTCTGTCTCTGTATCCTCCTCCCTATCCTAGAGAACAGATTGGGTCATTCATCCTTGTTAGAAGAACTAGGGGAAAGGGGGGGGATAGTGCTTGGGTAGAATTTAATGTAACGTATTAGAAAAGCAATGGGTATGAAAGATACTGAATGGGTTACCTGGTCTAGAAGCTCAGGGTTAAATATATACTGGATACTCCGGATTAAATATATACAGGATGCTCCTGGTTACGGGGTCTAGAAGCTCCGGGTTACCCTAGTCTAGAAGCTCCGGGTTGAATATATACAAGATAGTCCAGTTACCTGGTCTAGAAACTCCGGGTTAATTAATCTAGAAGCTCTAGGTTAAATTTATACTGGATACTCCGGGTTACTTGGTCTAGAAGCTCCGGGTTGAAAATATACTGGATACTCCGGGTTGAAAATATACTGGATACTCCGGGTTGAATATATATTGGATACTCCGGGTTGAAAATATACTGGATACTCCGGGTTGAATATATATTGGTCTAGGAACTCCGGGTTGAAAATATACTAGATACTCCGGGTTGAATATATACAGGATGCTCCAGGTTACCTGGTCTAGAAGCTCTAGGTTGAATATATATTAGTCTAGGAGCTCTGGGTTGAAAATATACTCGATACTCCGGGTTGAATATATATTGGATACTCCAGGTTGAAAATATACTAGATGCTCCGGGTTGAATATATATTGGACACTCCGGGTTGAAAATATACTAGATACTCCGGGTTGAATATATATTGGATACTCCAGGTTACCTGGTCTAGAAGCTCCGGATTGAAAAGATAATCCTGAGGTATTTCCCGTCTACACATTGCACACCGCTTAGACTGAAGAGTTACTCCCTGAAAGTTTATGAAATTAAATCAAATGATCAACATTCGTCAATTTATTAATGTACAAATAAGACTAAAAAATCAACCAATGTATTAAAAAATAAACCAATTTATTCAAAAATTAACCTATTTATTCAAAAATAAACCAATTTATTCAAAAATAAACCAATTTAACCTCCACAAATAGAAAATATTTCAACTATGGCGTAATGCATATCAAACGAAAGCTAGGAACCCAGTAAATACAGTAGCAGCAACAAATCCAGTGACCACTTACGACCTCTAATGACCTAAAAGACCTCCAAAAATGAAAATGTTTTAACTATGGCTTTATGCATATCAATTAAAAGCTAGGAACCCCAGGAATACAATTGCAGCAACGAATCCAGTGTTTGACGTTCTACTGACCTCTAACGACCTCTAATGACTTAAATGACCTCCAAAAATGAAAATGTTCTATGGCTTTATGCATATCTCACGAAAGCTAGGAATCCAGGGAATACAGTAGTAACAACAAATCCTCTGTTTGACCTTCTAATGATCTCTAATGATCTCTAATGACCTCTAATAACCTCCACAAATAGAAAACATTTCAGCCATGGCTTTTAGTTTTATGCATATCAAACGAAAGCTAGGAACCCAGGGAATACAGTAGCAGCAACAAATCCAGTGTTTGACCTTCTAATGACCTCTAACGACCTCTAATGACCTAAATGACCTCCAAAAATGAAATGTTTTAACTATGGCTTTATGCATATCAAAAGAAAGCTAGGAACTCCACCATCCCCTTTATATTTATAAATTTCCCCAGTTTATCAATCTTTACAACTGACCTAATCCTTTATCTTCCAAATCTGTTCCGACAACTTTTTCTGAATTTTCCGCCATTTTTACCCAGATTCTGTAACATGACTAGATGTTATAAATATGAGATGATATGGACAGAAACAAAGTAAACAAAATTCGAATGACACGATTTTTTATCCGGGAAAAACTGGAAAATATTTACTATAGGATAATCACAGATTAATGTATCACAAAATTAAATAATTAAAAAATAACTAAATAATTAAAACAAAACAAAATTCATCTCTTATTAATAAAAGTAAACTATGGGTTTCAAGGAATGTTTAAATAAGGAACTTAGTAGTTTTCTAGAATCAGCTGCACGACAAATTTTCAAGAGTCAGCTGCAGAATTAGTCCTCGTGGGTTTCAACTTAAGCGCAAACTTGTCCGTGTGCATGAACCCTTCTTGTTCATGATTGTTATCTATGCCCTGAATATAGTTTGTAGGTTGGTGGAACCTAGACCAGGATTTTACAGATTTCATCAGAGTTTCGTCCTCTACAATATTGACAGTTCCTCCTCCGGTTACAACTACTCTCTTCCCGGTGTCCTGTCCTCCCGGACTCGGATTGCATACGGAGCATGTCCAAACCTGCTCCCCGGAGTCGGAGAGGGTTACACCTCCGCATCTATCCGCGCACTCCACGTGGAAAGCGTGCCTGCACGTGAATACTACAGATCGAACCCTAGAACTAAGTTTATCGCCGCAGACCGGGCAGTTTAATGACCCGGAGTAAACAGCTCGAGTTCGCAACCTGACCAACCTCTTTAATCTATCGGTTCTCTCCTTCTCCAGGATTTCAATACCTGATTCCATCAGCTGCTGCTCGTATCTGAACAGTAATAGTTTACACAAGTCAGAATATTTACGGATGTTAAATTTTAACAAATCATCCCACCCCTCATCCTAAATCATTCCCACCTCCTTTATTTTAGGAATTTAGGTAATTAGTTCAAACTAATGAAAAATGCACACCTGAAGGTTTCGGTGAGCTCCATGAGCATCTGCTTGAGGTCCGACCACTTCCCTGAACTAGAGGTTGGGTTAGAGAGGACGAGAGATACAACCTTCTTGTGTCCAACATGCCCCAACATAGACGAGATCACGTGACGTATCATTTCTCTCCATGGTTCAGGATTACTCATGTTCTCCAGGTGTTTGCCAAGAGTGTCGAGGAGGGTGGTCCACAAACTGTCTCTCTCCTCCTCCTCCAACCTACCAGATACACGCTGGCAGAACTGGATCACACCCAGCAGACACGTATTGATCTCAACAATCCTCAGCTCCGCGTCAGGATCATATTGGGATACAAAACTCTGGATCTTGTTCTCCAGCTGTTCCTGGAGAAGGTTGAATCCGTCCTGAAACCTATTCTCTGTCTCAAGTAGATAAACTCTTCCCTCGAGGTTATTGTACTTCTCAAACAAGGACATCACAACCTAAATAAGATTAACTAATAGATTGATAAAACATGAATCGAGTAATACATAGATAGATTTATTTATCGATTCTTAATAATAAATAGATAGATTTATTAATGGATTCTTTATAATAAATAGATAGATTTATTAATCGATTTTTTGATTTGTTAAATCACCCCCTCCCCCTCCGGGGAAACAGTATTGATTTGTTAGCAATATGGGTTTGGAAATTAGACTTCAAATAGCAAAATATTTTTCCCCCTAAAATTGAAACCTTGACAAATATTGCTTAGCTTCCACACAAAACATTAAAAAAATGATTGGACAAAAAGAAACATTTGTGGAAGGAAGAAAAGAAAACTTACCTCAGATCTATAATTCTCTTTAGATTTGACATACTGAAGCACGGACTGATGGGAAGACTGGCAAAGTATCTCTATATACTCCTCAAACAGTTCAACCCTGAAAACATCCTCCATCCTTCTCCGAGGAGAACCAGGTTCCGCCAGCTCATACAGCTCCAGGAGGTTGGAGAGGAACTCTGGATACTCAGGTTCTCCACGAACCTTCTCCAACACTTCAGGAACAGTTTGAGGGATAAACTGGAACACAACTGTCCCTGTTTTCTTGACGTCTGTGTGGAAAAGGTCTAGGAAACTGGAGAGGATCTCCTGCTCCACTTCCTTCCTGTTCTCCTCAGAGAACTTGCTCTCTGTGAACACAGACTTGATGAAGGTGAAGGATTGGTTTCGTCTCAAGGTGTCTTTAATAATACAGCTGAGAACCTTGGGATAGTTTTCTTGCTCCAGGTAGATCTGTTTCAGCACCCTGATATATCATTTAATTACTTTTACCATTGTAGACAAATGCCATCCCCAACTCCAAAAAGAACAAGATAATTTACAAACTTTAAATTAATGGTTGACATCTAAATATTTTCTTCATTTTCTTTTTATCAGTAAATTTAGTAAGTTTAAAATACAAATTTTAGATTGAAATAATTCATAAATTGCCATCTTTTCATGAAGGGTCACTTGATATTCGTTTAGTTTAAATAAACAACAATTAGTTAACAGTGATTTCATATACCCGGCCTCCCTAAATATTACGTTACGCAGGAAATTCAGAACTTTTGCAATTTTTAAATCTTTTTATTGTCAATTGACATGATAAAACTAGTTTATAACAGTCCTAAGAAGTAAAAAAAATTCTAGGATACTTTAGAACAATTGAAGATTGAGTGTACCTGTAGAAACCAACTGCTTGGCAGGCCCTCTGTAGTTCCCCAGGGTTGAACAGATCCCGACCACCAGCACCGAGCATTTCGAGCAGCGCGTCTTCACGCTCCTCGCGGTGCGCGCTTTCGTTAGGCGCAGCAAGCACTCCGAGCACGCTTGTAAACAAGTCACGTGATATAGATAAACAGCTGTCTCCTTTAAAAAAATTCATGAGAAAAAGGGATAGTTCACAAGTTTGAAAATGCAAACAATATACCAATATTAGGAAATTTTAACTACATGTGCATATCTCGAACACTTTTTTTTTCACATGAAACACGGTTTGTTTACTAGAATAATGACGTTTTGACGATCCAACTCAAGCATATCTTGTACTGCTATCTATTGTTTTCTCAAGAATAAGATTGTCACAAATAAGACTACTTAATAAAATTATTGCCACAGGAGCTCCAGTTTGAATTTTGAAGAAAATGCCGTCTCACCTTGGGAGATTTGTCGTGCTAGAAAAGTAAAAAGAAATCCAATTTCTGTTGGTGAAAAAGGACTCTCATCCTTCACCATAACCTGAAAGAACGCAAAATAGTTAAGGAGAATGTTTTAAAAATTCGGACTTCAGAGGGGCGTAATTTTAATGTTATACTTAATGATGTGAAACAGGAACTATTCTATACGTTATGTATCTTTAAAATATAAATGCTTCATTAATTAATTACACAGTTATGATAGAATAAAAATTTGAATTCTATGATCACTTTTTCAATAAAATTGTCTAAGTGTAAGTCAATAAGCAATAGCGTTACAATGTCAAATTATCAATGTCAGAATTTTTCCTTGAATCCCAAACTTGAAAGAATAAAATAATCTACCTGAAGAAGAATATCAACAAGTCTCTGCTTCTGACTTTTACCTACAAATATTTAGAAATAAATTAATAATGTCGACTAAGAACCTTAATCTGATTTAAATAAAAATTTAGCTTGTCTGTCTATGTGTATCCAATAAAAGTAAAAATGGCTGAGTCGATCTGGCCTAAACAAAAGGTTTTGAAAAAATTGAAACATTTTGTTTTTTTTAAAATCCAGAAATGATAGTAGAAAATCTGCGATTTAAAGAAAAAAAATGAGTTGAAAAGCAACATTTAGAGCTAAAATTGTTCCTAGAAAAAAAGATCTAGAAGAGCCATGAAGCTTAATATTTAAAAAACCACCTTCCTCATCGCAAGGGTTACCGTTGATTGAGGTAAACAAAGTATTTTTGGGGGAATTTTTTCATAATAAACTTAAGGAGAATGTGGCGGTTATACACTGCATGTCTACCTTTAATTGAGGGATCAAACATTGGATATTGAAATCAAGTGTTAAAGATCAAGGGTACGAAAAAGCTCTGATTAAGATGAAGAAAAAGGTTAAACCCTCTGCTGATAAATTTTACTAACCTAATTCTGTTCTGTATTCTGCCTCATCAAATGCTATAGAGAGAACGTTTAAAAATGCCTGAAAAAAAAGTAAAATTTTAGGTAATGAGACTTCCGTTTTTAAAATATTTGTTACTGAACAAACAAATTTCTTCTATAAAAAATAAAAATGTATTTAGTGACAGCCCCCCTCCCCCCTTCTTTGGGTCTAAAAAGATAAAAAAGGTGTTTTCATCCAAAAAAAATTCAAATGGTTGAACCTGAGTATTAAAGAAGAGAAGGGTATGAAGATGAGGATAAGGAGGTTCAGATCCTTCAGACTTAATCGTTCTAATCAAATACATTCAATAAACAAGGATCAATCAATCAATCAATCAATAAATCAATCAAATAATAATCACAACAGGCAAATAATATTATAATGTTGATGATAATGGTTATGTTGAAAAAATGTTTCTGTAAAGGATGTTACTGAAAATAATGATAATATTGATGAGACTGATGAATTATATGATGATAATAGTAATAATAATAATAATAATAATAATAATAATAGTGATGATGATGACGACAAGATGCCAATGATGATAATGATAACAATAAAATATTGATAATATTAGTAATGATGATAACGATAACAAAAATATTAAATTAATAATAATGATAACATTGATGACAATCATAATGATATTTAAAATTATAATATTAATAAAAATGATAATATTTGTAATATGATAAAAATACTGCAATCAAAAAAATAGTTAAAAATAATAGTAATAATTTTGATAACGATAACGATGAAGATAATATGAAATTCAAAATGATTCAAAATGATAATAATAATAATAATAATAAAAATAATGATGATACTAGAATAATACACTACCTGGAATGAAGGAGGGTGATGGTACTGTAAATATCATATTTAACTTGTTTAACTCTGTCCTAAACCCGAATATTGAACATCAATAAAAAATAAATAAAACTGTGGAATAGAAAGACGATATTTTTTCATATCCATAACGCTACTATGGTTGAATGGCTACAGCACCAACGATATATTAGAAATCTTGTGAGCTTATGATGCTGTCAAAGAGCATGTAGTTTTACCAGTTGCTTGAAAAAAAATTTATGAAGTGAAATGGATCTATGTCAACTGCACAATTATTGTAAATCATTTTCTTTGGACTTGAAGGGTCTCACTGTTTAAAACCTAAGTTTTGAAAGGGAAAGACAGTAAAACCAGACTAAGTTAGAATGGCGAAACGATTCAAAACATGAAATAGAACCAAGCAATGTTGCTACAAACTTTTACATGAACGAGTTAAACTTTTAAATGAATGATAGGGTCATCTTTCCGATAAGGGTTTTACATACTCCGTCCATTAAAAAGGTCATAACTTCAAGTTACATCTTGCTTAAAGAAAAAAACTTATATAAACGTATGCTAAGGTTTCCTGAGGTATATTTCCAAATGGATAAGCTCGTCCCGCCAAACAACAGCTGATATAAACCAACAGTTTGTTCCCAACATCAATCTAAACAAACAACAGCTGATATAAACCAACAGTTTGTTCCCAACATCAATCTAAACAAACAACAGCTGATATACACCAACAGTTTGTTCCCAACATCATTCTAAACAACAACAGCTGATATACACCATTCCCAAAATCAATCTAAACAAACAACAGCTGATATACACCAACAGTTTGTTCCCAACATCAATCTAAACAAACAACAGCTGATATAAACCAACAGTTTGTTCCCAACATCAATCTAAACAAACAACAGCTGATAAACACCAACAGTTTATTCCCAACATCAATCTAAACAAACAACAGCTGATATACACCAACAGTTTGTTCCCAACATCAATCTAAACAAACAACAGCTGATATATACAAACAGCTTGTTCCTAACATCAATATAAAAAAATAACAGGCAACAGCTGATATTATAAACCAACTGTCAATTTCTTCTAATATCCAATTATATTTATTTTATCTTGAATTTTGTAGTACATACAATATATACGTACAATGTACATAAACTGTATTCTTAAACATTCGTAAATGACATTTTGGAACCCAATATACGTATTCTACTTATTAATTCAAACGGAATTGCTGAAGGTATCCTGGAATATAAAGTAAACAATATTTATATCACATGGTACTCTTATACCTGTTGTTGTGTGAGAGGGTCTCCTGTTTCCTGGGCTTTCCTCAATTCCTCCAACATCTTCTCCGTGGGGGAGATGTAGTCCAGAATGGCGTTGTTGTGGATGTAGATGATTGCGTCGTAAAGACAATGCCGCTCACACACAAGCATTATCTGAAGAGAAAAATGTAAGAAAATAAAATAAGAAATTAATAAGTTAAAATGACTACTTCGGATTGTTTTTTGATCGAGGCAGAAAAGAACGAAAAATAAATGTAAAAACCTGGGTTTAGTAAAAGATCTTAACATTTTCGTCAGTGGTAAATGTTAAATTCGGAAAATAATTCGGCTTCCCCCCTTTGAATTCAGTTCAAATCAAATAAAATCAAAAAGCTATGGATGGTCCAACAGCTCCTTGATCTAATCGGGGTTTGTCATCACATTCTTTACAGATCAAGGCTTTTAAGCTTTACATAGTTAAAGCCTATCATTGGACTTGCGACCAAATTTGAGCAATCTTAATCTAAGCAACAATGAGGAAGAAATCGTCTTATTTCTTTCTAAAAATGTATAATTTGGTCAATTTCCCTCCTTCCTCTGCTGCAAAATTCCGCAATTCACTTTAATAGGGAACTAAACAAGGGCATCTTTTACATTATTACTCAAACTAAGTATGACAGGGTACAGATGTAAATCGGGAACGCAACTCTTTAAATTTCGTGAACAGTCTCTTTAAATCTGAGCCATTTTACCTGATGAATATCTAAACACATAACTGAGAGATGTGTAATACAGGCCTCAAGTTCTTGGAACTTCTCACGCTTCTCGTAGTGATCAACAAACCTAAACATGATTTAGTAGAGATCAACAAACCTAAACATGATTTCGTAGTGATCAACAAACCTAAACATGATTTCGTAGCGATCAACAAACCTAAACATGATTTCGTAGTGATCAACAAACCTAAACGTGATCTCGTAGTGATCAACAAACCTAAATATGATTTCGTAGTGATCAACAAACCTAAATATGATTTCGTAGTGATCAACAAACCTAAATATGATTCCGTAGTGATCAACAAACCTAAACATGAACCCGTAGTGATCAACAAACCTAAACATGATTTCGTAGTGATCAACAAACCTAAACATGATCTCGTAGTGATCAACAAACCTAAATATAATTTCGTAGTGATCAACAAACCTAAATATAATTCCGTAGTGATCAACAAACCTAAACATGATTCTGGTAGTGATCAACAAACCTAGACATGATCTGATTCTGGTAGTGATCAACAAACCTAAACATGATCTGATTCTGGTAGTGATCAATAAACCTAAACATGATCTGATTCTGGTAGTGATCAATAAACCTGTACAACAGGTTATTTGTTAACTCTTGAAGGGACTGAATGGTAATTGTGTAGACCTTCTATTTAAAGAGGGACTTGCCCAATTCCATTCAAACTTTTATCTGATCAAAAATGTTTAATTCTAACATTTGCTGCAATTTATTATAAAGCAGAAATGCGCATTTCACTTTGAAGAGAAACCACAATGGCAAATTATAATTATAATTGAGAAAATTATGGATATCTCATGCATTCCTAATCTGACAAAGGATTTCAGGAAACCAATGCTATTATTAAACTACCTCTGAAGGATTGAGGTTGGGATAACATCTAGCTGGTCGCTGAGTATATAGGGTTCCAGGTTCTCCAGGAACACGGCGCAGGAGAACGGGTCCTGCTGGAAAGTGTTCCATACCCGGTCAAAGAGAAACTCCGCCTTTTAAGGGGTAAATTATGTATGATACAAAATTCCGTTTTACGTTTATTTTTAATCGATTCCCTCCCAATATTACTTCCCCCCCCCCTCTTCTCCAATATCTCAAACATAATGAGTCCCTGCCTTGTTTAGTTTAATACAGATGCTGATACACGGAGGAACTATATCGTTAAAATACTTAGTCAGGGTTGCCATCCCACCCTCTTCTGGAAAATTCTTCGTCAGGGACAGATCCAGAAACTTCTTGAGAATTCCCATTAATCGAAGAGTGATGTGTGCTCGCTTTCTATCCGTGGAGCCTCGAAGCCCAACCAAGGATTTACCGGGATCCTCGAACATTTCGAACCCGAGCTGAAGCGCTTCAATGAATTTGTTATCTAGAACAATTTTTGTTAAATTGAGAAACATAACTTTTAAATTTATAAAAAGGTTTGATGAAAAATCCAAGGTTGGAATTGCAAGCTAAGTTGCGGAAAACATGCGTCTTTTACTTCATTATAAATTTTCTCAAAGAAAGTGAAGAACAATTTTCCTTCGTAATTTTAAGGCTTTTGTGAGGGACAATTTTATTGTTTGACCTACAAAATGTACGTGTTTTCACAATTGTGACTTAACATGACAGAAAACATTGATATAGAAAGTTTTTTAAAATTAGAAAAAAGGGGGAGGGGCGGGGGCGAAATGATGAATTTTAAATGAAATATTTACCACTATATAGTATATACCTTTAACAAGATGATCTAATCTCTCGGACCAGGTTCTGAGGATAAGAGCATGGAAAGTTTTCTTCCCAAGAACCAGGATCTGATTTGTAAACACAGTGTTGGATCCATACACAGCCATTTCTCCAGCTAAATATTATTAAAATCTTCATTTGATAAATAAAGGACAATGATATGAGGGGGTGATCATAAACCATTTTTATGACCTTTTTTATAAACTCAAACTTGAGTTTCATTTTATGAATGGATAAATGTTTTTAAAGAACTGTAGATAAGTTTTATAAATGCCAAAAGTTTAAACACTACTTTCAGAATACAGTAGGTTAGTTGCTCCCTTCTAACTTGAATTAATGCCTCTTTCTCCAGGTTTATAAACCTCCGTTAAATAAATATTCACATGGAAACTTTTACACCATGTTGCTTGATTCTCTTCTAACAGATGGTTTATATAATATGTAATATGTATATATTCGTTGTGATAATTGTAACTCCTCCCACAAAGTTCTGTGCCTTTCTCCATGCACAGAACCAGGTGATTAATTATGAACATTCAATGTTGAGCTTGAATAATATCCTAAAATCTCAACAATCCACTTCAACATAATTCTCATTTTTGTTTCTGTCTTCCAGTTGCTGGAAGCTAGAAGTGAATTTGCGACTAGACTAATATCTTGTGAAGTGTTAGAGGTATAAGTTGTTCTTGTGGTATAATTTTCATTAAGGATATCAAAGTTTTTTTTTAGCTATAGTTTCAGAAAGTAGTGTGCCTCTTATGTCTTGGTTAGCTTCAGAGAACCATAGTTCATGGTAAGCGTTGAAATCTCCTATTATTAAAGATGTATTTTTGAGATTGTCCCTGATGTTGTTTGGAGGTGGGAAGTACGTTTGTTGACAACTGCTTTGAGGTGGTATGTAAATGTTTCTTATCATGAGTTGACCGTCTTTGTCAGGGCATTGTGAAGTTGGTGTTGCAACGATAGAGGAGCGGCGTAGACGCGACCAACAAATCGGCCAACTTGAAATGAAATGAAAAAGATCGTGCAAGAACCCCAATGTGGGATCCCCAGACCGACATCCGAGAGAGGGTCTCAGTCAGGTGCTGATTCCCCCAACTAGGTTCGAACAGAATATTGCAGGGCTCATGGCCACATTGCCCCCTCTCCCTCATTCTACTATGATTATTTTTCAGGGAAGTAATTCATTTTCTGTCTTGCCCCCCTTATTTATGTCCCCTTTCCAAGGTTCTAAAAATACCTAAAGAGAAAGCTGCTGACACATTTCCACCATTAGCTAACCCCTTGAAGAACTGGGCCTGGTACACAATCTCAGCCTATTAAGAAAGTACATTTTATCAAAGAAAACAAAATGGTAAAAAATTATTTCACATTTCAAAAGTAGGAACAAAATATTTGAGTTATATGGTTAAAAGAATAAACAAAAATATCTAGGGCAGTACAATTTTTTTAAATGGTCTTAGGAATATAAAAAAGTACTCAGATCGAGATTCTGCTTTCAAATTAAGTCTCTACTAGCTTGTTAATGTTCAATGTTCATTGTTCATGGCATATTGAAAATAACACAGTAGCAAAATCATTTCCCAGAATTGATCTCAGCAAATATCATTAATTCTATTTAAACGTTTCTGTCCATGGTAGAATAAAAGAGTTATTTAGATTTAATATCTCATAGATTGAAGTAAATCTGTATGAAAGTCCGGTTCTTTTATCTGCATTTAAGAAAAATAGATCCTTAATTGTGTATCTTTTTTTTACTGGACGAACATTTTTTATTCTAACCTTGGTAAGGTCTACAGTTTCCAGGGTTTCCTTTGTTCTAACATCAACTAGATGAAACTGTTCATTCTGATCCAGTAGTCCCAGGCATCTACTGTTCATCCAGCTCACAGATAGCAGGTTATATCCTAGCTAAACATTTAGTTCACCTTGACTACAGATAACAGGTTATATACTAGCTAAACATTTAGTTAATCTAGACTACTGATAACAGGTTATATACTAGCTAAACATTTAGTTAATCTAGACTACAGATAACAGGTTATATACTAGCTAAACATTTAGTTTATCTAGACTACAGATAACAGGTTATATACTAGCTAACCATTTAGTTCATCTAGACTACAGATATCAGGTTATATACTAGCTAAACATTTAGTTAATCTAGACTACAGATAGCAGGTTAGATACTAGCTAAACATTTAGTTCATCTAAACTACAGAAAGTAGGTTATATACTAGCACAACATTTAGTTCATCTAGACTACAGATAGCAGGTTATATACTAGCTAAACATTTAGTTAATCTAGACTACAGATAGCAGGTTAGATACTAGCTAAACATTAAGTTCATCTAGACTACAGAAAGTAGGTTATATACTAGCAAAACATTTAGTTCATCTAGACTACAGATAGCAGGTTATATCCTAGCTAAACATTTAGTTCATCTAGAGGACCAGTTACATTTTGCCTTGTACACTTTCGCTTAGAAATCATTTACCAAGTACTCATTCGCCTAGAACACATTCGCCTGTAAAACATTTTGCCTAACTAACAGTTTGACTGTATTACAGTTTGCCTGTATAACTTTTTGGCCTTTACAACAGTTTGCCCATAAAACATTTAAGTGTATTTTTCGCATAAACCATGAGTTTCTTAAATCACACACAAACTTTGAAACAGGAAAACCCGCGAAATTGATTTTAAAATTCTGCAAATTTAGTCGTATTTTTTCTCTTGAAAATATGGCGGCACTTAGCAAAGCTGGAGAATCTAAAAGAGGAAAACCTTCCATTATTGATAAAAACAATTATTAATGTGTTGGAAATGGTGGCATAAAGACAGCCATCTATTGGAGATGCTCTAGAAGACAAGACAAGCCCTAGAACGGATCAAGTTTTTTGTTGAAGGATTTGAGACCACTTGAAGACAGGAGTACATACAACAAATTGCAAATGAGTTGAGCAGAGCAGCCAAGTAAATTTGTGTATTTTATCATTCTATGCAGACAAATATGATGTGATATTATGTTTTGAGAATATATTTGAAAAACCTGTTCACAAATTTTTACCAGGTGAATGTGTACCAGGCGAATGTGTACCAGGCGAATGTGTACCAGGCGAATGTGTACCAGGCGAATGTGTACTAATGTGAATGAGTACTAAGCATAAGTGTGCTAGGCTAAATGTTATGTTGGTGACCCCATCTAGACAACAGAGTACAGATAGCAGGTTGAATCCTACAGTTAATCTTGAATACTGAAGGAATACTACAATGAGACTCTTAAAGCTGTGGAACAAGACGACTGTTAACCTCAAGTTATGATTTTAAATAGTCTTAGCAACATGACACATTAAAACACCTAACACATACGATTCTTTAAATGTTGTCTTCCTGTACCGCTGTTTCATGGGTCTCACTGTATGTTACAAATAATGAACTAGAATACCTGTATAGTCTGAAGAGGTATGAAAAGTATCTTGTTGGATAAATTCACAGAAATCTAGAAACACAAATTTTAATTTAAAAAACCTTTTTTTAGAAGAGAGAATATTGATTTTATAAATTAAAACTCTATTAACCTGATAGAAATATATTTTATTTCCTCTGGCAAATGTGAGAACAGGATCACTTGTTTTGTTTGCAAACTGGTTTTGTATAACAACAAACTGCCAACAGACCAGGGGTAAACTAGCAGCATCTCCTGATAATATTTCATTTAAAGAGACTGGTGGCCAATTTACAACAGTAGCATAAATGATGGAGATATCCTTGTATTGCAATCAGAAAATTAATAAGTTTCAATTGCAATTTCTTTCTAATTAGTGACTTACGAATTTATGCAGCGGAGACAAGTTAGAAAAATTACCGAAATTATCTCTTCTTTCAAGAGAGAAAACCCTCCTTATTTAAAGAGTCAGTGATAAAATCTGGTGTGTATCTCTATCATTGGATTGTCAAATTGAGTAAAAAACAAGGGCAGACAAAAAATGAGGAAAATGAAAAACAGGAAAAAAAACACACAAAACTAAACCAAACACAAGACAAACCAAAAAAAAAACAATTCAAACCAACGAGTAGAAAAGACGAAAAAAAATACTTTGCAGGACCAAGAAATAAGACGGGAAAACAGAACGATTACAAACAAAACAAAAATCAGAAAAACAAAATCGATCAACAAATTAACAAAACAGTACAAAGTAACTTTATTTAATGCAAAACTCATTTAACAATTATCAGCAAATTATCTGCTTGTGAAGTATTGACAATAGTTTTAAATAATTAAAAGATTCAGCGACTTATAGCTGATAACATGTACAGTGTACCTGTGAGTGCAGTGGTCATGAGCACCTTTAGTCTCGGCTTGACGGTAATGATGATGATCTTGCTGATGGTGGCGAGAGCAAGGATGGAGAACATGGCTAGGGGATGATCAGGCTGCCGAGACACTCTCAGGGGCTCCATAGTACACACCTCCCCCCTGCTACCGGAGAATATACACCGGCAGGATGCTGTGGGCCCCCTGATTCCTCGGGTTAAGCTCAGCTCGAATACGGAGCCCCCAGAGTCCGCGAGGAAGGCGCTATTGTTCTCCTCAGAATATCGGAGATGCACAACAGCAGAACCTAAAAGTTACATTTTTCCTTTTAATTATAAAATGTCACTTTGGATTTTGTAATTTGCAAATGAACTAAAACTATTTCTTCTTTAGTTTTCTGGTTCATTCGCAGAAAAAGAACGAAAGAAAGAAAGTGGTCAGAATTGGAGTAAATCAGTGCTTAGGATTTATATCATTTGAATGGGAATCCTTAAATCAGCTCAGGAATATATCTCGATTTACTAATTTCTTTTACCAAAGGCATATTTCCTAAACCTTATTCTTTATTTTTCGATTAATTTTTATGCTAAAGCCACTTCAGATTTGTTGGAAGCAAAATTTGATTATGTATTGTTTTGATTGATATTCCACTATTTGGAACCGGGGACTCACATTTCTAAAAGCTTAAAAATAGGAGTTAATATTTACCTTGTGGATGAACATCCTGAATATCCCGGAGAAGTTTCCCGGTCATCATATCGTACTCAATAACCTGACCGCGGGCAAACCCAGCCAACAGTCGGGTAGAATCAACACTTAATTAAAAACATAAAATTGTCAGAAATCTGAAAATTATTATTTTTATTAGTATTACCATATTTATCATGATTTGTTACTTGCAGGAGTGTCAACGAGAGGAGTGGAAAATGAAAAAAAATTCGACTTCTAGTGAAATTTCCTCCTTTATTGTCCGTGCTATCAAGTATGGGTGGGGAGGGGGGGGGGCACTATGTGTCCAGGCCTGTGAAAAATTCAAAAATGTCATGTCTCCAAAAAAAATATTTTTCTTGAAGATAAGCAAACATATTTTGTGGGTGTGGGGGAAAAATATTAAGAAATATTTATTGGTTTAGGATTTATAGCTTCTTAAAGTTAGGTCGCAAAAAAACAAGTTTTTTTGCCGATCAGTAATTAAAAACACCTTTTTTGACCTATTTTGAAATGATATTTCTATGGTTCTATTTTAACTGAAGAGCTGGTTGATAACTTTTCTTAAAGCTATTTCTGTAAGGATTGGTTAGAAGACACTTTTAGAACTTGTATGGCATTATATAAGGAAGTTTAGATGAAATTATGAAGGTGAATAAAAAAAATCTATTCGACGAAAAAACTTATTTTTAAAATTATGGGGGGAAATCTGCACATTTCTGCCATCATAGGCCTAATTGATTAGCCTAATTTTTTCTGTGCGCGCGCGCAAAAATTTCATCTGGTGACTGAAATGATTTTAACCAGATTGAATTATTGTGGATTACAATATCTGTAGGAGCTTTAATAAAGAAACAAAAATGCGCGGGCGCGCACAGAAAAAATCTAATTTAAAAATCGCGGAAATGTTTTCATAAAATTAAAGAAAGTATATTGCTTCTTAACAGATTCAGCAGTTTAGGATTGAAACAGAAAATTAATATATTTAAGATAGAAAGAGCGCGCGCGCTATAAATAGGCTGAAATGCGCGTGGAGCAAGGCTTTTTTGAGAAAAAGATGTATAATAATATAAGATTAAATTCCTGAAAACCACAGTAGGCTAGGATAAAAACAGATCATACAGCTATGCATCAAAGCAGGAACTTAGCGCGCGCGGAGCAAATATTTTAGAGTATGAAAAAAAGTTGTATAATATCTTCAATAATTTCAACAATCTACGATTAAATTTTGTCGTGTAACTGATGAAATTGTCAGGCGCGCGCACCAAAGCCCAATTTGGTGCGCGCACAGAATATTTTTTTATGAAAAGAAATGTCTATGCCCAAAATTTGCCGATTCTGTAAATTTGAGCTATTTTAAACCAAAAATGATACTACTAGGATTTTTTTAATTAAAAATGCCATTCTGGACAGAGTGTGGGGGGGGGGTAAAGAGGGGGAATAAAAAGAGAAAATATATACCTCTACGATATTTTATAAATCTAGGTACCTGAAGGCAAGACAAGAAACTGCTCCGTATTGTTCTCTAAGCTCTGTGCCCGTTAGAAACCATTTAATGACCTGGTTTGAGTCAAATACTAACACGTGACCGCTCTGTGTTCCAATACCGATCATAGTTGTGGCAGCCATACAGGTGGGGTGGCCTAGATGTAACATAATTTCTCTTTTTATAATTTAAAAAATTCCGATTCAACATTTAACAGTTTATTAGTTTTCTCATGAACTAAACCACGTGTGTTAATATTTACAATTGTATTGAATTTCTTTTGTATTTTTAAGTGTCCATGGGGATAAAAAAAACGATGAAGATAATTAACCACAGAGCAGAGCCTGGCAACTTTATAAAATCAAACAAAACTCTTCAGTGAGCATAACTTTTTTCATATCTTCCCTGATTAATGCCTACCGTGTAGTTCTAACCTGTATTAACCCTGTCTGCTGCGCTGGTCATCTGTGCGGATACTCCCTTGAGGATCACGTGACGGAATATAGATCCCAGTCCTCGGCCTGTATCCTTGTTGTGTTGGGAGGACCTGGTTCCCCGGGACCCAAGGGAGGTCACAGATAAAGTTTCTCCTGAACATGAAAAATCTATAATCAAACAGATTAAACTAAATAAATTGCACAATTAATAAATCCTTTAATTTTTGGTAGGTCAGTTTAAAATTAAACTAAAATCTCATGAATAGCAATAAATGGTCCTAATGTACACTTTTTATCAATGTAATAAAGCTCTAAGATTATATATTTTTTTTCATGAGGAATAACTTTTTTTATTTTAAAAAAAAATTTTCACGGGCATAGTCTGGTACTTAAGCTAGTTTTTAATATAGCAGAGCGTATATGTATGTGCGTAATGTATAATCTGCAAACATTTTATTCCACTGTCCAGTAAGACCAAGTAAAAATGTATGGGTAACAAAAGAACAGTGAATTTTCCCCCAGATTTATCAGTAAAACATTTTTGAAATACCACGCTAAACGCCGAAATTTAGCTATTTCTGTTAAAAAAGCCTACATCTTTATTTAGTTTTAATATTACCTATATCACTATCAATGCCACCAGGCGGCATAGCGTACGCTTTCCTAAAATATTTTATTTTTAGAAACAAAAATAGTTTGATTTTATTACTCCATTAGTTCTTTTTCAAAATGATAAAAAACATTATTTTAAGTTTAAAAGCAAAAATGTTAGCACTCAAATTAAAAAATTGTAAAAAAGCGTTAAAAAAAACACGTTGTATCTGGTGGCACGCGAACTATTGGTGAAAAAATGAAAATATTTTGGATTTTTCTTAGTTTCATATATATCTATTCTGAAGAAAAAGAGCACTTCTAAACAATTTTCACTGGGCCCCCTGGGGAGAGAGTACATGCTGAATATTATGGGTTATATTCGCTGAATTGGAGAAACTTCTGGATTAAGAATCGAAAGGGTTCCCCTAAATCATCGAAACCCCCCCCCTCAAATCATATACCCTCCTTTAGAATATGAACTAACTCTACCTTGGGGTCCCCCCTGGTTCCTCTCTAAAACTATTTTCTAGATCTAATATATCGGACTCGTTTAATATTTCCTCCAGAGTTTGTGTATGATCCAACCTTGGATCATTCTGTACCAGACAATCCACATCTAAACAGCATGATAGCATTACAGGGGTGATCCATAGATCCGGATCTGAACTGTTGAAAAAAGAGATATTTTTAAAAATGTTCTAACTCTCTGAATGGTTAATAAAATTTAAGCATAAAAATAAGCAAAAACAATATATTAAAATAATTTTAAATTTCTTCTTTTGTTCAACAAATCAGTAAATCTGATAGAAATGTTGAGGACTCAGATCAGGATTAATGTCCCGTATGGGTGTTCCATAAAAAAAACATTACCCTGCAAGGTGTAAGAAAATTGTGTGCACTATAGATTTAGACTTTTAATTTTTTTGATATCAAATTGAAATTATTTTTAAAGCTTAGTGAATAATATTGGGCTTCCTTTACAATTTGCAATTTTTATACTTCTGACTCAAAATTTGCCATAATGCAAGAAAACACATTACTAGAATTAATAATTTTAAAAACTTTCTCACAAGGTGCCAGATTTTGACCCTAAAGACAAAACATATGCAAAACACGACCGTATTAAAACAATTAAACCGAGCTGCAGATATAATTGCTCTGTTTATATTCGGTTTGGGTTGTTTTAAGGAAAAATTCAATAAAACTTCCAATAAAACTTCAAAATTGTATTATATTCAAGTTTGGTTTTATTAAACTTTACAATATTATTCTCCTTCAAAAAAAATTGGGAAAACGATCAAAAACAATCGATACAACACGTTAGTTTTTAGGAGCATTACCCCCTATATTGGGGACACGTCCCTTCCTATTGGTTTTTGCATGACCTCTGTTTTCTATTTAAGCAATGCAATTGATGATCATGTCATCAATCAAAGATTATTTCCTAACCACCAACCATGTCCATTGTCCAACTCATCCTTCCAATCTTACGTCTCTTACCGGCTTTCCCGGGTTTCTTTAACAGAAATGATAGACGAGATAAAACCTCTGTTCCTTTACTCCAATCGGGACGACGGTACACTAGATTGGTTCAACTTCGTCAATTCCGACCAAGGAATTGACGACATCAAGGAAATGTTTCTTCTTACTTCGGACATTGATGAGATGGAGTGGGTCCCGGCCTGTGTATTATTAGAGTCCTACCCGACTCTGTCCTCGGATGGCAGTGGTTCTTCCAACGTCCGAGATGGCGAGGCAGAGCTGAGTTTGTCCTCTAACCTCCTGGTATCCTGTATGGAGAACGAGGATGTTCTCGTCGCTGAGTCTGCTTCTGGAATACAAGACTGTAGTGAAGAAGAACGGTTTGACTGGGGTTATTTAATCTCCGCAACTGATGTTGGAATTGACCAATATCAGTGTCACTTCCTGGTTTCCAAGACTGGCGACACTCAACTAGAATACTGTCTTCAGCTAGAACTTCTCTAGAAACCTTGCTAAACTGGAACTTCCCAACAGCAAACTGGAACTTCCCAACTGCTAACTGGAACTTCCCAACTGCCAACTTGGACTTCCCAACTTCCAACTGGCACATCTTCTTATTAGCTTGAGTATTAGAACACTTGTATGTAAAATCTAAATATGTATGTTTAATAAATATAGAACTTAATAGATTTCTCTGTTTTTAATTATATAAATATTTAAAGAGACAACATAGATATAGATCTAAATCATATGGATTTGTGATTGAGGTAATTTTTAATAGGAGAGAACAATTAATTTTAAAGTTGACATTTTTTGAGTTATCTTTTAAACTTTTATTTGAACTTAGTTTAATCTTTAGGAAAAAAACTTTTATTAACATAAATCTAGTTTCTGTCTTTAAAACAATTTTAATAAATTTGAATCTAGTTATATCTTTAACATAAACGTTAAAAAATTTGAATCTTGTTAGTTTTTAAGGGAAACCTTTATTAATTTTAATTTAGTTTTATCTTAAGAAAAACTTAAATTAATTTGTTAACAGTTTTATCTTTAAAAGGTTTTATTTAATTTGTATCTAGTTAGATCTTTAAGAAAACACTTCAGATTAATTTGAATCTCGTTATATCTTTAAGAAAATTTTGCGTTTTTAAACGTATTTCACTTCCGATTTAGTTTCTTCTAGGAATTCTAATACATGATTACAAAAGGTATTTTTCACAAAACTTTAAAATGGCCGTTGCAATAAGTTTATGATAGTAAAAGTAAAAAGTGACTTATAGTAAAAGTAAATCACACTTTTAATAGCAATAAATCCATTAACGACGGCCGATTTAAATTTTTGTAAATAATACCTATTGTTAACATATATTAGAATTCCAAGAAGAATACTTTTTGGTTCTTAATAATTGCAGAAAATTGTTTAACTTATATGTATGTCTTAGTGCTAATAACCAAACATAATCTAAAGAATTTAAAAATTGACAATCAATCCTTTGTTGTAAATCCAGGCGAATGTCAATGAAATCTGTATCTTAAATGAATCAAGTTCATAACACAACCCGTAGGCGGCGGTGAGATAATTTAACCGCTAACTGAAATGCTCCAATATCCAAATTTTCCTTGAGAAAATGAATATGTTGTCCAAATTTGGTGTATCTAATAATACTTTGAATCTGAGTGCGAACTTCAGTAATTTTCAATATTTTCTATAATGCACCAAACTGTTATCAAAATCTTATTGTCTCGGTAACCATGAAACACATTGAATTAATTGCTGTTTGTATTTAGCGTGTGCTGGCGCAAAAACACGAGTACAGCGAGTACAGATCAAACTTGGGTCTTCATCACATGGTTAATTAATAAAAGTTATGAAAAAAAATTCCGGATCATGAATTAGATTAGAATCCGGCTGAACGATAAAATCCGGCTGGGATTTTACATTCCGGCGGGTGAACGGATATCATCCATCTTGAGGATCATCTTAACAAGCTGGGTGGCGAGCTGGATCTGGGACTTTTTGAAGCTTAGTAAATAAAATAGGGCTATAATTACTATATGCATGCTTTAAAGACTCTTTTTATACTAAACCCCCGATGCTGTTTAGTTTTTACAGCTTAAAAATTCCTTTAAAACTATCATGAGAAAAATAGCGGAGGGGAACTATTTTACAAGTAATATTTTTTTTCTTTTAAATTTGAACATTCGCCAAAACTAAACTGAACCACTTTGCATTGAGCCTTCTATGAATTGTAGAAGCCAAATAAAATAAAATACTAATTCTATAGAAAAAATTTTTAAAACAAATTTCATGCCATTATTGTGCGATGATTTTGATCGGTAAATGAACAACAAACCTAACAGGATTTCATCCATGAGAGGATCAATATCTTTCTCATCATCCTTCTTCTCCATCTTAGCATCCTTCTTCTCCATCTTAGCATCCTTCTCCTTTTCCCCCTCCTCTCCCTCCTTATCCTCGTCCTCAGACATATTCAATCTGAAATGAAAAATGACAGTCTACATTTAAACCAAAGAGTTGCAATCAACCAAAAATATGTGAAATATGTTTATTTTAATTTTCTTACATCTCATTCCAACCATTACTAGACAGATGGGAAAAAATAATGTATTTTATTCTAAACATTTCAACGTGAAGTTAACGAAAGTTGACTGCTTAAAATAAGAAAAAGCATTAGAAATGCTGCTGAGCTGCTCCCATCCTGCTTGGATCCTGGCTGGGATAGTGAAGAGCACCAGCAGCAGCCTGGGGTAGAGTAGGAGGTAGACCAAGGAACCCCATTGGTCCCAACCCGCTCGGCGGCCCGGCCAATCCAAAGTAGTTCTTACTCGCTTCGGTAGGTGCCGGGGGGAGCGAGGTAGGCAGGGACATCTGTCCCATTTCTCCAGCGTCGAGGGCACCACCGGCGACAGGTTTTCCCTGTGATTTGCCCCAACGTATTGTTGCCTTGGCGCCTCTGATGACGAGTTTGTTGAAAGATTTCTCTACAGCTTGCTCGGCAGAAGATCGTTTTGTGAACTGCACAAACGCACATCCCTAGAATCCACGAAAATTTACTTATTTAACCTCAGAAGCTCTTTATGATTGAGCTAACAGAATACAGGATTTCTTATCTAAAATAGGCATCCTATTGTCTCGTGAGATTTATCAAAGAAATGAATATGGAGGAAAAAATTGCCCAGTGGTGTCCGATCCCCCCTCCCCCCCCCCAAAAAAAAAAATCGAAAATCATGCCCCCTGGGGACGGGCTGGGGGGGGGGAGAAATATATACCCCCGAGTCTAAAATACGCCGATAAACCTAAAATTTCGATCTTATTATTTCAAAAATAAATTTTCATTCCTGTTTTGGAACAGTGTTGATGCTTCTAACTTCTCCGTATGCATAGAACGCATTGCGTACATCCTGCTCAGTAGTACCCTCATCCAGGCCTGGCAAATATAAACCATTTATATGTGAACTATTTCTTTTATTTTGATTTTTGTTTTAGGGTTCAATTTTAAATCAGAATCTATCCCCTAGTAAAAATTTATTTGAATTCTTAAAAAACCTTAGCTCTGGTCTGAGAATTGGGCAATTACTGTGTCAAGTTCTAGTCTTAACAATTCAATCGAATTCATCGGAGAAAATCCAGATACAGCTCAAACATAAAGAAGATTTGACATTTTTCTTCTGTTAAACAAAATATTGAGAAATGTTTATGATTACACAAGATTGATTCTTCAGGAAAAAATTTGAATTAAAAAAATACCTCCGATATAAAGAGTAGTAATAGATTTATCCTCTGGAGGCTCCAAGTGGGGCAGAGCTTTAGCCCGGTTCAATAGTTTATCCGCTACAGGATCATTCACACCATAGTATCTAAATAAAATACAGAGCTTTAGCCCGGTACAATAGTTTATCCACTACAGGATCATTCACACCATAGTATCTAGATAAAATACAGAGCTCTGCTTTAGTCCGATTCAATAATTTATCCGCTAAAGAAAAAATCACACCATAGTATCTTTAGATAATATATAGAACTTTAGCCCGGTTCAATAATCAGTGGAGACGGAACTCTGCGTAAACTGTCAGTTTCATTCTGATCGTCAAGATCTATTGGATTTTCGTGTTACCTGTCCTTGATGTTCTGATCGGCGAGAGGATCGTCAGGATCTGTCGGTTTGTCGTGTCTGTACGGACACTCCTCTCCTCTCTTACACTCTCCCTTGACCCAGAAACTACAGATATGAGGTCTGTTTCTCTTATAGTACGGAGTAGTACGCGCCAGTTTAGCCAACAACTCAGACTTATGGCTGGGCAGCTTTCCTGAAATTATAATGATAAATAAAATTTTAATTCACACTTTCTAACACCAAAAAATTCAAACAGCTATTTCCAATTTAACGCAAGAATTATAATCAATTATCATGGCAATAATTTAACTTTTAAAAAAGATTTCTGAGTTAAGAACTTTAAAATAAGGAACGAGTTAACCCATTTTTTTAGGCGGGAGGGTTGATTCGTATTTAATTTTAAACAACTATAACTTGATTTGAAATTTACTGGATTGTTTCATATATATATTCATATATTCATATATAATGTGCTTTTAAATGAACAGAGCTGGCTTGAAACGATTTAAGCTATTAAAGTAAATAATTCCTTGATACATTTAATCGATCTATTATAAATCTTAAAAGATTTTACTTCAGGAAAGATCTATAAAACTTCATATTCGAAGAGAATGACTTTAATTTCATTTCAGTTAGTTTTTTATCAATTTCGTCAATTCAATAGTTTCGAACTCAGAAAAATTCCATCATTCAGAAAAATTTAACAATTCCCCATTTCTAATTAACGTTCGATAACTGATCAAAAATAAATCATAATAAAAAAGAGATTTAAAATTCTGAAGATTATTTGAGTTATTTCTTTAAAAAGAAACACAGTTGCCCTCAAGCAGGGATAGGTGTAAAAAAATGTCAACCTAATCTGTTAATATATTTCATATGATGGAAAATACTCCTTAGGCATGTGCAATATGAATTATAATAACAGATTTGGTTGACATTTTTTATACATATCCCTGCTTGAGGGCAACTGCGGCAAAAAGTTCTGCTTACCTAGAGCTCCGCCGGGACCAAATCCTCCGCTGTCCGCCAGGGCAGAGTCTACGTTCTGAAGGAAGTACTCCCTGTTCACGGCAGAGGTCGGGAGACTGTCCGCTATCTTGAGAGCGTGGTCTCGAACCTAGATTAAGTGCATTGGTTGCAAAGTCAATTTTTTCATTAATTCAAAATTATCCATTTGTTACAGATTATCAGACTTGAAAGAAAACAAACATTCTAAAAAAAATAACTTGGTATCTTTGATACGAACGTTAAAAAAAACAGCATAAGGGCTGAAATAAAAAATAGCTTTTTTCTTTCAAGAATACAAATAATTTAAAAAGTTCAGGTTGGAGACTTCTCCAAAAAATTACTTCATCAGAACTTGAGTTAGCGTCAAACTTCTGAAAACCTTTTGTCAAAATGTCTTCCTTTTCAAACTTTAATAACGATAAAATAAATACAAATATGTGATTAAGTATTTAAACATGTTTGAAAAATAATTTTGTTACATTTACCTGTACTGGCAACCCGTACTCTAGATCCAGCATACAGGTCTGACACACGTTCTTGAGTTTAGCGCAGGTCTGGCAAACCTCGGTCTTCTTGAACCTCATCTTTGCTCCGGGACACCACCTAAACACACAGGTTTAGGTTCAAGGTGTCCCTCATCATATAATAGATCAATCAAATTTTTTGACATATCCGAAAAAAATTGATTTCTTTAGAATTAGTATTAGGCTAGTATAATGATCTGCATTTCGAGTATTTTGTACGTAGTTTAGCGTGGAAGCTTGGGCTTAATCCTATAGAAAGATGTTTGCACCCCCCCCCCCCCATTCATAGAAAAATGTGCATGCGATTTGTATTATTTCAGGGTTAGCATAAATTTTGGGTTAATTATCAGGCCGAGCGCTGCGGTTAGGACAGACTACAACATTCTTTCTCTAGGAAATTACCAAGGCTTGAAGATGGTCAAATATGACGTGTAACACTCTATAAATGTAGTTAAGGGTAGGGAGGGATGTAAATAGGTTATTGAAATATCTAGTTTAAAATAGTGTCGTTTCTCGTTTTAAAAAACATGATTTTTTCTGGTAAAAAAACTACGTTGTATAGTTGAATAGAAGAACAACTTTGAAATAATAAATGCTTATAGTTCTCTTGATTGATTGATTATCGTTTATTTCTTTATGCCTAATTACTGGCATCTTAAATATTCTTATAGTTCTCTTTTCATAATTTAGTTTTATTTATCCCCTATCGATGGTATCCAACCTAAAGATGGTGAACGGCCTAGTGCAAATTTTACACTCCTTCCCAAACTTGTCCTTGGTCATCCTGATGTAGGGGTTGTCCCCTAGACATGTCTGACAAAGGATAGGGAAGTCTGAGTCCTCCCAGTTCTGCCGGTTGTAAGTGTTCGTTCCCTTACTCCCAGCCATTTTTAGACTTGGCTAATATCTGAAACAAAAATAACAATTTTTTAAAAATCCAAACGTACAGTTTAGTTGTCGTTCAAAACTGGAAAAAAACGTTATATTAGGATTATCCATGATTTTGATTTGACTAAAAAATTACATCACATTTCCTTAAAAAATCGTGAACTTTAATAAGAAAATTAAACAAATTGCATGTATAAAACTGATAATTACACAAACCGTTCAAAAAAATAAATTGTGGTGCCCATAGACTCTATTTTCTCTATAACATGGTATCAAAATCAATTTTAACATATGAAAAAAAGAGAAAATGCACTTTTAATCGTTTTTGATTTAACAAGCTGTTTGTACACTGCTCTCCAATCCACCTCCCAGGCTCTAGTTTAATAAGGAGAAAGGTTGCGAGATTTTTCCTTGAGAACCCAAAGACGACATTTTGATGTTTTTCTTGAACATGTTAAGTTGTTGACACTTTTGTGTTGTTTCCAATTCTTGGATGATAATATTTAGAGAGTCTATTAACATAAATTAAGTTTTAACTTCGAATATCAATTTTTTTCAAGTTAACACTAGAAATTTAACTTAAGTCCTCAAACCCGCGTTTATAATTAATAATGATACTCCTCAATTCCTCAATAGTTTTTTTTTTTGGTAATTTAGTTAGTGATCTTGCTTTTGATGTTATCCAAATGTTTCTGGAGACGAATCTTCTTGGCTTTCTGTTTGTTCCTCATTACATTAACTTGAACCCGTAGCTTTTCCAGAATAACCTGCCGCTCCTTCGTTAAGGTCTCCAATATTTCCTCCTCATCCTGAAACAAATTTTAACATTCAAATTTTGAATCTACAAGAAAAATCCTGTTTTAACTCCAAAAAAGATTCTTGGATAATTCTTCATTAAAAGAAGATGAGTATATACTAATTACTAAATACCTAAACCCTTCCTCCATGGTAAACCCTACCTCTAGAGTAAACCCTTCTTCCGAAGAAAACCCTTTCTCCGGAGAATACTCTTCCTCTGGAGACTACTCATCCTCTGGAGAATACTCTTCCTCTGGAGAATACTCTTCCTCCGGAAATTACCCTTCCTCCAGAGTAAACCCTTCCTCCGGAAAATACCCTTACCCTTCCTCCAGAGAATACCCTTCCTACGGAGTAAACCCTTCCTCCGGAGTAAACCCTTCCCCCGGAGAATGCCCTTCCTCCGGTATAACCCTTCCTCCGGAGAATACACTTCCTCCAGAGTAAACCGATCCTCCATAGTAAACCCTTCCTACGGAGTAAACCCTTCCTCCGGAGTAAACCCTTCCTCCGGAGGATAGCATTCCTCCGGAGTAAATCCTTCCCCGGAGAATACCCTTCCTCCAGAGTAAATCCTTCCCCGGAGAATACCATTCCACTGGAGTAAACCCTTCCCCCGGAGAATACCCTTCCTCTGGAGTAAACCCTTCCTCCGGAGAATACCCTTCCTCCAGAGTAAGCCCATCCTCCAGAGTAAACCCTTCCTCCGTAGTAAACCATTCCTCCGGAGAATACCATTCCTGCGGAGTAACCCCTTCCCCTGGTAAATCCTTCCCCTGAGGATAACCTTCCTCTGGAGTACCCTACCTCCGGAGTAAACCCTTCATCCAGAGTAAACCCATCCTCCATAGTAAACCCTTTCTCTATAGTAACCCCTTTCTCCGGAGTAAACCTTTCCTCCAGACTAAACCCTTCCTTCAGAGTTAACCTAACATAAGGGTGGCCAAAACTTTTTTAAAAAAATCCGTACAAAAATCCGTACATTTTCAGAACAAATCCATACAATCCTTACAGTTTTTTGAAAAAAAAATTCGTACAATCCGTACATTTTTTTTGAAAAATCCATACAATCCGTACAATTTTTTAAAAGAATCCATAAAAACCTTACATTTAAGAAAAATGTTACCATTTTTGAAAGAAAAAAAAACACATCAAAATTCAATTGTTCATGTGTGAGGGTTTAAACTTCTTCAGCTGGAGAAGTCATTACCTTGCTTTTTGATCTATCTGTAAAAAGTACCTTAATACATATTTATACAAGTAAATTAGGATGATAACAAGAGGAGAAACAAGTAAATTAGGATAATAACAAGAGGAGAAACAAGTAAATTAGGATAATAACAAGAGGAGAAACAAGTAAATTAGGATGATAACAAGAGGAGAAACAAGTAAATTAGGATGATAATAAGAGGAGAAACAAGTAAATTAGGATGATAATAAGAGAAACAAGTAAATTAGGATGATAACAAGAGGAGAAACAAGTAAATTAGGATGATAATGAGAGGAGAAACAAGTAAATTAGGATGATAATAAGAGGAGAAACAAGTAAATTAGGATGATAATGAGAGGAGAAACAAGTAAATTAGGATGATAATAAGAGGAGAAACAAGTAAATCAGGATGATAAAAAGAGGAGAAACAAGTAAATTAGGATGATAACAAGAGGAGAAACTAGTAAATTAGGATGATAATGAGAGGAGAAACAAGTAAATTAGGATGATAATAAGAGGAGAAATAAGTAAATTGGGATGATAATGAGAGGAGAAACAAGTAAATTGGGTTGATAATAAGAGGAGAAACAAGTAAATTAGGAGAGGAGAAACAAGTAAATTGGGATGATAATAAGAGGAGAAACAAGTAAATTAGGATGATAATAAGAGGAGAAACAAGTAAATTAGGATGAGAATGAGAGAATTAACAATTAGATTAGGATAAGCATGAGAAGAGAAACAAGTAAATTAGGATAAAAATGAGAGGAGAAACAAATAAATCAGGATGATAATTAGAGGCGAAATAAGTGAATCAGGATGAGGCATGAGAGAAGAAACAGGTAAATTAGGAGGAAAATGAGAGGAGAAACAAGTAAATTAGGATGAGAATGTGAGGAGAAACAAGTAAATTAGGACGAGAATGATAGGAGAAACAAGTAAATTAGGACGAGAATGAGAGGAGAAACAAGTAAATTAGGATCAGAATGTGAGGAGAAACAAGTAAATTAGGACGAGAATGAGAGGAGAAACAAGTAAATTAGGACGAGAATGAGAGGAGAAACAAGTAAATTAGGATGAGAATGAGAGGAGAAACATGTAAATTAGGATGAGAATGAGAGAAGAAACAAGTAAATTAGAATGAAAATGAGAGGAGAAACATGTAAATTAGGATGAGAATGAGAGGAGAAACAAGATAAATACACATTTAAAATCTAAACATCTATTTATTTTGTTTATTTGTTTAAGCTTTTTAGAAAACTCGTTATATAGCAAAAATCAATGTTCTCGAAAAACTATGAATGAATTTCAATTGTCCATTGAAACAACAATCAACCAACCTAATATTATTTAGAATGCAGAAAATAAGTTAAACCAACTTCTTTTTGACAAGATTTTTTTTTGAAAATTTTAATGCAAATTTGCTGAAATTAGTCAAAAAAGGGGGGAATGTGTATTGGGGATGTGAATTGGGAATGTGTATACAATCTGAAAAAAAAAACCGTACAATCCATACAATTCGCACAATCCGTACAAATTGGCCACCCTGTAAAATCCATGTAAACCCTTTCTCCGCCCAGTAAACCCTTCTGCAGACTAACCCCTTCATCCATCCTAAACCCTTTCTCCACAGTTAACCCTTGCACAAAACTATACTTAGTACTTACATTGATTTCCATGAGTTCATATTCAAGTTGCTTGCACTCGTCCACCATTTTCAATTTTAGATTTACAAAAGTATCCTCGTATGAAACTACCAATCCTGATCCTGCGTTTTCTCCAGAACCCTCTCTTCTTGTACTTGATTCTGAAGTTTGTTCTGACACTCCTTCTTCCAATTCCTCTTCAGGATGAATGGATGCCAAACTATCAAGACCTGAATCCCCAGCATCAGGATTTTCTGGTTTAGATTTAGCTCTAGTTTGATCCTCCTGCTTAATGTCAGTCTCCTGGTTCTTGGTTATACGTTTCAGGTTCTCAACACGAGTACTGTAAAAGTGTTCAAGCTTCTAGAAACAATTCGCCATGTTTTTTGGTGTAAAAATATCTAATTTAAATTTCCCAATTTCTAGAAACAATTCGTCCAGTATTTTGGTGTGAACATTTTTTTACTTAAACCAAATTGCATTAATGAAATATGTGATAATAAACGCGAGAAAAAAAAACTTTCCATTTTCCCTATTCTCCCAACCCGTATTAAAATTATGAGGATGTCTCTCCTTGTTTAGTTCTATTTTTGTTGCCCGAACATTGAGCGCATCAAGTCCAAATTCCGATCTTTCATCACTGGCAGCAGTCTCTTAATTTTGCGGTTTTTTTCAATTAACAGAATTGTGGTTTTGTCACAATCTCTTTATAGTTTTTTAATCCCTATATCTTTGCAACCCACTGTTGTAGAATTTTTAAATCTATGAGTTAAACCTTCAGGTTGCAAAGATAAATAGACAAGAGTATTTAAGTTTAGTGGAAAGTTTAGATGCATTTATTAAGAGTATCAAAAAAATGTGATCAATAATGCAGGGTTACCCACAAAGAATAAGACTTCAAAAACTAGTTTTATGAATTTGTTTGATCTTTTCTTACATAATTGGTTTGCGTAGCTGCATCACATTTTTTCTTTACAAAATTATACAAAAACTAGGCTTTCAGGGCGCTTCGCGAACATCTTCTATTTCAATTGTGAACATTTTCTAATTCTTTACATTGTAAAACAAAAACAAAAAAGTTCGCGGATTTTTTAATAAAAATAGTGGATTTTCAAAATTGTATTTTGTTGAAGGCTAATTCTGAAACTTTGATCATTCATAAACCTTCCCTGGGGTTTTGTGAGGTTCCACACAAAATATGGGCCCGATCGGTTCACCCGTTTTGACGTTCATTGGATACAAACAAAAAAACAAACAAACAAACTGCCAAACAGACAAGCAAAGTATATATATAGTAGAAATTCAGGACGCTTTGCGCCCATCTTTAACTTCATTTGTCAACATTCTTCTCATTAATAAATTACATGGTGGTTCTCTTTGTTAATAAATAACATGGGAGTGTGAATAAATAACATTGGGATTCTCCGTGATAACAAAACAAGAATTTCGCGGATTTTCAAAACTTTCAAAATTCAAATTTTGATGGAGGCAAATTTTTGAAAATCGAAAATTTGATCATCCATAAACCTTTCCTGGGGTCTCGCGAGGTCCCACTAAAAATTTGGGCCAGATCGGTTCAGCCTTTTTGACGCTTTTGGGTGTACAAACAAACATACAAACAAACAAACAAGCTAAGTATATATATATATATATCTAAGTAGAAACCATAAACACTGAAATGATTAATGTCAGCCATCTTTCTTTTAATTTAGAAATACATGGTTTAGAAACGAAAGAAACAACAATAATTCGACTGCTTTCTATTCCATTGTATTTCATAAAAAGATTGAATCCTATTCAGAAAACCAAATTGAACCAAGTCGGTTCTTGGAATCAAAATACCATGAGGTCGTCTTTAAAGCTTCTCCCTTTAAGGGAAACTTTGTGTTTTTCATTTTTTGCGGTACCTTTTCTCTTAAGGCTTCAGACTAGCAGCAACCCAGGGCATGTAACTGTGAATACCATATTAAATTACCTTTCTTGAATTCCTCCAGCTGAGTTAAAATCCTAGATTTCTGAGTAAAGATAAATCTCTGAGTAAACAAAACATTCATGTCTTCCTTCTTTAACGTGTTCTCCATCTCAGCCCACGTACCCAGCTCTATCCCCAGACAACCAGGTCTAAAAGGGACTGGAGCTGAACACTTTAGAATGGTGGATATCGCGATTAACACCCCGGACTAACCAGAAATAGAGGCATTCGATTTGAAATCTTACAATTAAACAATCTTTAAACTAACGGATTTGTTTGTTTTATACTTTTAATTCAAAATGCATATGCCGACAAAAAAGTATATAAGAAAAAAGCCTAAAAAATTATGTTTAATAGGACAAATTGTGATCGAAAGTCACAGTTTTCCGGAATATTGACAGAACCGTTAAATCCATGTATAATGCTTGATACTTTCTTTGTGCTGATCTAAAAACTAATTTAGTCTTCAGATTAATTTCTAGAGACTAGAGATGAGCTATTTAACTTTTGAAAAACCTGTTTTTAATTTTCCCGCATTTAAGGTGTCAGATCAATTGTACTAATAATCGAGTGAACGAGCGTAAGTTTTGGATTAACGTTTTTATTGTTTATTAAGACTACAGTTCAAAAAGGGCTTTAGTCCTCAAATGTGATAAAATATGTTTATTAATAATTTTTCATGAGAACACGATTAAATTTATATTTGTTTAAATGATTTTAAAGTTGACTTGTGAACAGCTGACTTAAGTTCAATCAGATATGAGTCCAATCGATATAGCATTATATCTGCAATCTGCATGTGTAATCAAACGTATCTTTATTACATGTTGTAGGAAATGTTATATCCAACAAGAGCGAATTGAAAAGAAAATCAAAAGTTTCCACAATGGATATTCAGATTAAGGGTATCCAATTCTAAAGTTTTCTGCTTTGTTGACTTAATTTCAAAAGACTCTTTTTATAGAGTTTCATGTCAGATTCACTAATTCAGAATATGTCTACCTGTCTACAGGGACTTGCATTAAAGCGGGTCTGAGCTTGTTGCACTTTAACTGGGCCAACTCTCTACTCATCCTAGTTGTCAAAATATTTGACAAATCTCAGCTAGATTATGCATATTAATTCAACAAAGACTGTAGGCCGAAAAATGAAACTTATTAGACGTGACCTTATAAGAAAAAAGTTTTTGCCATAAAATCTGATTTTTTATTTCTAATCCCTATATCTTTGCAACCATATGTCGTTGGCTTTTGATATTTCAAGATTAAATAGTCAAATTTTAAATATCAAAAGTTTACACTTCAGGTTGCAAAAATATAGAGAATAAAACATACGAATTTGGGCAAGACTCAGTTCCTTTCCGTCTCAATCTTTTTTTTGTGACTAATTTGTTGATTTATGATTTTACGATTTTAATGAATCTGAATTAAGTTTTTAATACCATATTTTCTTTATTTCACAAATTTTGCCTTGCATTATACTTAATTAATAAAAAAATTGTTTTCACAAAGTACAAGTACTTTTTAAATTTAGTATGCTTACTATTTCTGGTATAGCAAATGGAATGATAACAATCGACCTTCTTATTGTTAGATGGAAAAATCAAGAGAACTTTTCAATTAGATATTCTTGTTAATGTACATCAAAAAATCAATTGTAAAACCAAATACATAAACAATCAACATACTTGATAATTTTGACCTTTGGATCTTAAGCTATTCCTTGGATATTATTAGTTATACCTTAATCAACTTTTTAAATATTTCTAATTGTAAACATGAAGAGATTACCTTAATTTTTCTCTTTGTAATTCAAGTAGAGTCAGGTCCAGGCTTTGAACCTCCCTCGCTAGATGTTCATGTTCAGCATTCTTCTCCACAAGCTCTACAAGAAAGTAAGAATTCCTACTGAGGATAAGTCTTTAGTAGCAGTATTTTAAACTTGAAGAAAATATGAAGATTGAAGACTCAAAACTTCAACCTTGAAGTGTTTAAATAGTATTTTGAAGTTAAGAGAATAAGACGATTCTAAAATACGGACTTGAAGTCTTTAAATCCCAGTATTTTGAAGTTAAGCGAATAAGAAGGCTCTAAAATATGAACTTGAAGTCTTTAAATCGCAATATTTTGAAGTTAAGAGAATAATAAGACTCTAAAATATGAACTGCAAGTCTCTAAAGCAGTATTTTACCGTTTAACTTGGTTAAACATAATAAACATATTGTAGAACGTCCACAGTAAATTCTTAGAAATATTCTTAGGATAAAAATAATATTTCAGGGGAGGGGGGAGGTCCGAAAATCGTTCTCTAGAACAATACCGAGAAAAGAATAATTTTTCATTTTTGATTAAGCTTTATTCTTTGAAATGTATAGGCTAATAATGAACAAAAACTTAAATGATAAATACCTTCCTGGAGATGTTCGTAATCATCTTCAATTCTATGCATAAAGTTCTTAATTCTCTTCTCAATAGTTCTTACAAAGCTCATTCCGGTGTCTAGCCCATGGAAGGAAGGCTCTGATTCTTGATGATGAAATTCTTCTTCAGCTCCCTTCTCTGGATGATGGTTCTGATGGTTCCCTTTATCATTGTGTTGATGGTCAGGGCTGCTAGGTGAACCAGGATCCATCATTTTAAGAGATATCTCCAAACTATAAAGCTGTTAAAATTAAAGTATTTGCGATTAATAAAATCAATGATATATATATTTAATAAAGATGAAACGTTGAACCAGTAAAAACATCCAATTGTATTTTTGAATAAAATCAGTTTGGATCGTCTCTCCAAGAGATCGATTTTTGTAAATCCGCCCCCATCCCCCCGGTTAGGTTCGAACAATTTCTGGACCGAGCGCTGCGGCTAGAACAGGCATGGGGTCCAAGCGCTGCCTGCGGCCAGGACAAACCTTCGATTTCTAGAATTTTCAACAAATTACTATATATTTTGGGTTCGGCTCGGTTAAGACACTTTCCATGGCCAACTTTGCTCATGCTTGTGTGTCTTTTATAAGACTACTTAAAATCGATAAAAAAGATGTTTAAAATTGATAGGAGGGGGAGNGAGTGATGAGGAGAGAATGTGTGTTAAGGGGAAAATGGATGCAGCAACATTCACACAAACGAAGGTCAGTAATTCCAGGGAAATTTTAGTTAGAGAATTATTTCTACTTAATACTGTTAAACCTGGTTCGATTGGGTTTCTAAAACTCCCTATTTATGAAACAAAACTAGCCAGACCTTTCCTAATCGGTCTTAAGGCCCCCTTGGTTTTTTTTTCTTAATTTAAAAACTTTCGCCCCTTTTCAACATTGAATTAGTAATTGAAACCAGTTAAGATAGTTCCCACTTAATGCAGCCTTAGATTGCTGAAATTGAATTTTTTTCATAAAAAGGAGGCGTTGCATCTATGACATTTTTCAATATCTCAGTAAATAATGGTGTTAGGAAGGAGCTAAAGGGAAAGGTAGAATAAGATCTCTAGTAAAATCTATTAAGTCAAATATACATATTTTTAGTTTTAATCATGGCTTAATTGTGCAGTGAAGGTTATTCCTGTTCTCATTTGTGTAGTCGACGAGTCTTTGTCTTCATTTATTATCCTGTTTCATAAGTTGAGCCTTATTATAAATGATTTCTTTTAAAAGAATTAATATTTTTGTCAGATTTTATTGAACTTCTCTGTTTCCATGACCTCAGAACTGGTAGTTTTCAAGGGTGGGCCTTCAGACAATTTATTTACTGTAGAAAAATGTATTTTGGACTGCACAATGAACTCGGTTTCGGAGGCTTATAAACTGGTTTAGAAGTCTGTTCACATAAAATCTAATTAAGATAATGTCGACACAAGAACTTCAGTTTCGACATGAGAGAGTATCCGCGGGGGAGGGGAAACAGGCCTGGGAAAGAGGGCAGTTAGAGGAGGGGGGCGCCTTATTCTATTTTAACGCAGATCTTTTCTCATATATTCCCTTGTCTATCTGTTTTTTTTTTGTACGTTTATTCCTTATCTGGAATTACAGAGTTCAAATTCATGTTTCGGTTCAAGTCCAGTTTCGGTTCAAGTCCAGTTCGGGGATTTGTTGACGAAACAACCACATGCACTATAAATTCGTACAGCTCTCGAAAATGAGTTCATTGTGAATTAAGGAATATGTTGTATTTTGAGCACAAAATTTGAAAATTCTTTTATGGCCTTACCTTGGTATTTGAGTTTTATTGATCTCGTAAGCCTTAAGAAAAAATTAATTATGAAACAACATAATTCTATTTTAACGCAGATATATTAACATATATTTCCTTGTCTCTCTTTTTTTGTTCTTTTATTCCTATCTTGAATGACCGAGTTCAAATTCATGTTTCGGTTCAAGTCCAGTTCGGGATGCATTTTTTGACGAAACAACCACTTGCACTATACATTCGTACAGCCCTCGAAAATGAGTTCATTGTGAATTAAAGAATATGTTGTATCTTGAGCACAAAATTTGAAAATTCTTTTATGGCTATACCTTACCTTGGTATTTTAGTTTTATTGATCTTGTAAGCCTTAAGAAAAAATTAATTATGAAACAACGTCTCAACTATTTGTGTTTTTAATTGAAAAGGATAAAAAACATATTTTTATCTTTTTACCCTATTTTAAGATTTTAAGGTTTAATATAGTTTGAAATGGTTTGTTAAAGTTTATTATTATTAGATCCTGTGTGGGATTAGTGTTCAGAAGAAGATGGATGAAATGCACCCTTATCATCCTCTTTACAAGAGCGAAGCTAATTATCACAAGTACGAAAATAATTATTTCGTTATGGCCTTTTTATTTATTTCGGTTTCGTTGTTTGATTTTTTATATGTAATATGACTTTCACAAGGATTTGCCCTGTAAGATATAACATTCATTGCAATGTGACACAAGAATTGTTTAAGTTTAAAAATTTAAACCTAAGAAAAAAGGATTTTTTTAAAAATGTTATACAAAAAATGGTTTCTAGTTTTCATATTTTTATATTTTGTTTTTTAATTTCGCCGTAAAATGGTCAGACCAATGGTGACTTTGACCACACTAACACTGTGTATTGAGAGGGGGGGGGGGGTAACTAAATCCTGATTTTAAGTTTAATTTGTTTTAAATGACACGTTAAGTACATTTAAAAAGTTACTACTTAAAACCCGCAATTTTCAAGAATGGTTTTTAACGTCCCATGTTACCTTTTCGGTTTAGCCGTTGTCGAGCCACAAAAAAATATCAAACATTATGTTAGGAACCGAGATGAAGCAGAGATGGATATGCTGCGTAGAACAATGGGTCTAGGATTCCCTCTCAAACTACAGATGGAAAGAAAGCTTGCGGGCAAGGTTGGTCTATTTTTCATTTAGTTTTTACATTGTAAAAAAGTTGTTTAAGCTCTGTACCTCTAGCCATACTGATCTGGATGCAAATGATAGATTATTTTTATTTAAATGGATTGTTGACAACATTTTAAGTGACTCTCTATTTAAAGTAACATTAATAATTGATGGTTTTCTTATGTCGTTAAAATCAATTTTTGTGTAATTTTGTTTTCTAGTTTCTGCTGCTTAAATCCGCAAGCAATTTTTAAGATAAACCTGAACTTTTTGTTTCAAAACAAGGATATCTAGCATCATTCTATTTTTTGTTTAAAAACAAGGATATCTAGCATCATTTTATTTTTTGTTTAAAAACAAGGATATCTAGCATCATTTTATCTTTTGTTTAAAACAAGGATATCTAGCATCATTTTATTTTTTGTTTAAACACAAGGATATCAAGCATCATTTTATTTTTTGTTTAAAAACAAGGATATCTAGCATCATTCTATTTTTTGTTCGCCCAAACTACTTGTAAAGATAACATTATTCTAGCAATTTCATTGAGACTGGCAAGTTTGAGCAAGTTAGAAGATTTACACAGCTTTTTGAATGGAACAATGTTTAGAAATAATATTGCATACATTTTAGGTTGGTCATCTTCCCTGCATAACCACGTCTAGCCATGCATCCCTGGACGCCCTGCAGGGTATCGATACCACCATCAGCTACGACGATATCTTTGGACAGGCGGAGTTCATGGAGGCCATCCCCGACCTGCCCTTCAACGCTGTCAACAATATGAAGAACTAATTTATTTAACTGAATGTTTTCCATGCCGTATTTAACCAAACTGTTCTAAATTCCATCTTTTTAAAAATAAATTTCGTGATTTTTGTGATAGATTCGTATTGAGCGATGTCATATTTCAGAGATGGATTTTTTAAAAGCCGAGATTGAGCGGAAAAAGCGCCAAATCTCTGAAAAGAATGTAATGCAACCAGAGAAAAAGTATTTTAAACGTGGAGATCTGGTCGCGGTTCAGGAGAAGGAATACTTGGCTAAGTTTGGATGTAAGGAAACTCCTGTAACTGCAGTGGAAGGAGAAGGAGCTAAAGGGAAAGGTAGAATAAGATCTCTATTAAAATTTATTAAAAATGTTTTGCAACATTTTAATCCTTTTTGTTTAAAACACAGATTTGTTCTCGTTAATGTGTATTTCAGAATTAAGAACTGTATTTATAGTTTATTTTATTTTAATCGTATTCTTCCAAGTATGCTTACCTTACTTGGAATAGTCTAGTGTCCGAGATGGAGTATCACAAGAATTTTAATTATTAAGTTTAGATCCGGAAGTAATTCATGATGATTTGTATCCTCTGCCTCGACCGGAAGTGATTCGTCGGTTTCGAGAGGTTCTGCAGCCGATTCTTCTCTTCGGTGAGTTTTCGATTACTGTTTTTTGTTTGATTACTCGAGGGAATTATTGGCATAGCTGTTTTTTAATAAAAATTTAATTATTTTTTTATTACTTTAATAAAACTTATTCTTCATAAGTTAGGTCAGTATTTAGAAACTTCTTGATTCCTAATTCCAAAGTCAGAACAATATTTCTAATGCTTTGCTTGTTCTTTGACAGAACAAGAGCTATATACTAAGAAATACTATTTAATACAGGCCAATCACGCCAACGATGAACATTTTGTGAAATTGAACATTCACTGCAAGTTTTTTTCTTCCCTTGATACTTATTATTACGTTCATTTATTTTCTCCAATTTAGGAAACAGACACCTGAAAGAAATTTGGGTACCGCCCACACAATTCTTTTTTTACGTTTTTTTTATAAAGTTTAATATAAAATTAATTAATTTAAAAATATTTCAGGATTTATCTGGGGAACATAAAGTAATTACCAGGATGGGGGGGGGGAATTATTGTTACAAAAATATACACCTCTAAAGAAATTTTCAGATTTTTAATTGATAAATGATTGCATATAATAATTCCAGGAGAAACTGAAGATGAAGCAAACCTTCGTCTTCGATCCTTGGAAATTGTCGGAGACAGTGATAAACTTGGAGGAACTTCACAGAACGATTACAGGTAGAATATATTCTCAACTGGAGAGGGTCATATTGTCGGAGACAGTGATAAACTGGGAGGAACTTCACAGAACGATTACAGGTAGAATATATATCCTCTGACAGGAGAGGGACATATTGTCGGAGACAGTGATAAACTGGGAGGAACTTCACATAGCGATTACAGGTAGAATATATTCCCTAACAGGAGAGGGACATATTTTACAAAATGTTTTTTGATACTGTGGGGAAAATGAATGTCAAAAGGACTTTTCATTCTTTGATATTTTTTACCCAACTATTTCTTCTTTTTTGAGTAAAAAGTCATTCCGCGATTAAAACTTCAAAAAAAGTATACCTCAATGTTGATGATTTGCCAGGTAAATATACATTATTCTAGCAATACCATTTTTTTTAAATTGAATTGTGGGTCGTGAACGTCGTTTTTTTTGGCCGCCCACTGCGTTCTAGATTTTTTAAACTTCAAAATCAGCTTGATTTTGATGCAGACAAGTCTAGTAAAATTTAAAAATTATTTGTCTTGCTTAAAATCTATAAAAGTCTGCAGTAGATGCTGAGTTTTTAATAACATTAGCTGCCTACTTCCTACTGCGAAACTTTTTGTCAGTTTTTTAATCGTCTTTTTCTTACGTCTGTTTAATATTGTAGAGAAGCGATGAAGAGGGTGGATAAACAGTATCTTAAAAGCATAGAAGCAGATAAAATTTTAGAGGTAACTGTGAAAGGAAAAAATTACAAATTGAAGAAAAAAAATATCTTTCATTTTGAAGAGAATCAGCACCTCCTTTGACAAACAAACAAAAATAGATTACTCCTAGCTGTCCATCAAAAATGTTTGGTTTTATTCGTTCAGCAAACGCCCATAGAATACGCACAGTAAGAACCAGAAAACTGGGAATATGAAGACGACATTAAAGCAATAATTAAATATATTTATTGTTGTAACAAAGCAAATAGTTATGCTAGTAATTTATTAATTCACTTTTCAGTTAAAATGTGTCTGTTAACACTGCGCAATTGCTGTGCCCCATGTACATTGCACTATTAAAAGTCATAACTTGTCGTAAAGTCGTCTAATTATTCAAGAGCTGTATGGTTCTCACTTTAGATAAACTTAAATTTGACTCAACAATTTTAGGACAGGGGATTTTAAATGAAGGTGCAATTTTATTGGATTATCCAACTGTTCTAGGAAGGAGAGGAGAAGCAGACGTTTGAGAGTAAAATGTATACAACAGATAAAACATACGAGGATCTTCTCAATATGGTTAATGATCTCCGTCGAGGAAACCTTAAACATGATGATATCGTCATAGCAGAATGGATCAAGGTATGTGTATTGTGTTTAGTGCTATGGATTTCCTTGAAGTTCGAGGGGGGGGGGGGTATTATTATCTTTCTTTTCCCACATCTAAAATTTTCAATTTTTCATAAAATACAAATTTAACCATCTAACAACTATTTTCGGTTTTTTTACTTTCTTTTATCTTATTTCCATTAAAAAAATTCATTTCTGAGTAAAAATCGGCAAAAAAATAAAAAATAAAATTAAGAAGAAAAATGTTCTTTAAAATCAATACACCTTGCAGAAATGTTTAAAACCTGGATCCAGGATCCGGATCCGCATCAAAATAAAATGGATTCAAAGCACTGGAATTCACCCAATGCCCATTGCCCATGGATTAGTTAAGTTTTAAAAAATCATTATTTTTATTTCTCTAGGTTGTGATGACAATGTGGCATCATGAGTTGAATTCCCGGAGTGATGAGGAGAGAATGTGTGTTAAGGGGAAAATGGATGCAGCAACATTCACACAAACGAAGGTCAGTAATTCCAGGGAAATTTTAGTTAGAGAATTATTTCTACTTAATACTGTTAAACCTGGTTCGATTGGGTTTCTAAAACTCCCTATTTATAAAACAAAACTAGCCAGACCTTTCCTAATCGGTCTTAAGGCCCCCTTGGTTTTTTTTTCTTAATTTAAAAACTTTCGCCCCTTTTCAACATTGAATTAGTAATTGAAACCAGTTAAGATAGTTGCCACTTAATGCAGCCTTAGATTGCTGAAATTGAATTTTTTTCATAAAAAGGAGGCGTTGCATCTATGACATTTTTCAATATCTCAGTAAATAATGGTGTTAGCCGGTGCTACTTTTGCATGTATACTCATCTGATGCTCTAGGAACAGGATATGACGTCAAATCTTCAATGTCTCCGTTCGGAGACCGGAGATATAGGATAAGGTACCTCCGTCGGCTCATATTTTTCATCTTCGGCCCTAATGAACTTACAGAGAACAAATTCAATACACATACACCTAAGAACCTATATAATTAAATAAAAAAAAAATTTATTTCGATTTTTTCTTGCAAAGACAGGGTGTAGGGTACAGAAATTTTTTAAAACTATTATGAATCTTTTTTAGTAAAGGCGGTTTTAAAAAAAGTGCAAATCACCCCCTACATTTGCATTTATACTAATCTGATAGTCTAGGAACAGGATAAAAGGTAAAATCCGTAATATCTCCGTTCAGAGGATAAGGTACCTCCGATGGCTCCGATTTGTCAATTCCGGATCCAATGGACTTACAGAGCCCAAATTCAAAACACGAACACATTAGGATCTAAATGATTGAATAAAAATAAAGAATTTATATTCTGTCCTTGTACCTAACTATATCTATAACTAACTTTTTTCCCTTCATTTAATCAAGCATTCATTTTATCAAACAATCTATAATTCTATCAATCAAGTATCAATCAATCTAGCATTTTGTTAATTTATCCTTCTTTCAAAAAACTTCCTCCCCCATCACCTCCGCTATCACAACCACCACCTTCATCATTGGCTAAACATCTCCGCTTCACTGAAGTTGTTTCCAGACCCGAGTCTGCATGGCATCTTTCAACTATTAAAACAGCTGAAATTAATAAAGGTATTTATTTTCCTAAAATACAATTCTATACGCGAAACCTAAGTATTGTTATTAATGTATTTGTCTAGGCCTTTTTTAATTCTAGTTTCAAGCGAATTGAATTAATTATCTTACCATGAAGCATCAAAGAACGTTTCCATTTGCTAGTGAAGTCGAATTCTTCACATTTAAAACTGGCAACACATTGTTCTTAATGTTTTTTGAAATGGTCTTGACGTTTAAACTTCCTTTTGCATGAATTACATTCGATTTCTTAAAGATGACAAAGTGACTTAGTTGTTTAAAATTGATTTTCGAAAAAACCTGTTTTTCTTTTGTGAATTAATTTACTGCTGTGTACAATATTAGTGAATGTGTGTACATTTTGAGTACAAACAACTTTTTTCGTCATCGGAAATCTTTATTTGAAAGATACATGTTTGGTTTTTAGATTTGATTAGATATTTCTGTTTAGACTTGAGATAAAAAAAAAAAGAAAATGTAGATGAAGATTCAGTTGTACCTTATTCTATCTGTCCGGTTTTTGAAGAAAGACATCACTTTATTTCCTGTTCCTAGACCAACATACTACTACTTAAATTCATTATTATTATTAATACTATGAATGCCTGATAGAAAGATAGGATGACGGAATAAATGAATGAATGATAGAATGATTGATTATTTGATAAAATGAATGATTGATGGGTTTAATGAAAAAAGTTATTTTCAGAGACAGTTAGGTACAAGGACAGAATATAACTAATCTATATTTTGGTAAATCATTTAGGTCCTTGGGTGTTTGTATGTTGAATTTGGGCTCTGTAAGTCAATTGTAGCCGAAGTCGAAAAATCGGAGTCATCGGAGGTTCCTTATCGTCTGAACGGAGATATTACTGATTTGACCTTTTATCCTGTTCCTAAAATATCAGATTAGAGTACATGCAAAAGTAGAACCGGCTAACACCATTATTGACAGTAAAATTCATAGAATTTTAAAAAATCAGTGGAAAATATTTTTGGGACACCCTGTAGGGGGTAAAATGCACTTTTTTTTGAAACATCTTTTTCTAAAAAAAAAAAGATTCATAATAGTTAAGGAAACTGAGACTAACTTCACCGCAACAAGTACACGGCCGAAGAACCACGACTTCGATACTGAAATTGAGACAGAAATCTTTTCTCTTTCCACGATCCTAGTTTATATAGCCTTGATATTAACAAGGAACAGTCAATGTTCCTTGTTCTATATATGCTAATTTTAATGCTCTTTATTTTTCCATAAATTATGTTGCCACAATAATAACGAAGAACGGTCAATGTTTCTCGTTATGAAGTTAAATCAATTTTCTTTCTATTTATTAAAGAAACTCGCACCCACACATGTTTACATTAAAATATGCATAAAGCAAGGAACGGTCAATTTATCTCGTTATGACGCTAAAATCAATTTTCCTTGATATAAAATATTTCCCAAGTGTAATGTTCTTTCTTTTATCCTGAGCTATGTAGCCTCAATATTAACGATAAACGGTCAATGTTTATCGTTATGAAGCTAACAACAATTTTCTTTAACATAAATGAAAAGAAAACTTGCCCCTATGTATGTTTAAATGAAAACATGCACACAATTATGTGTAACATAAGAGATAACACACACTGTGATGTATGTTTAAATGAAAACATGCACACAATTATGTGTAACATAAGAGATAACACACACTGTGATGTATGTTTAAATGAAAACATGCACACAATTATGTGTAACATAAGAGATAACACACACTGTGATGTATGTTTAAATGAAAACATGCACACAATTATGTGTAACATAAGAGATAACACACACTGTGATGTATGTTTAAATGAAAACATGCACACAATTATGTGTAACATAAGAGATAACACACACTGTGATGTATGTTTAAATGAAAACATGCACACAATTATGTGTAACATAAGAGATAACACACACTGTGATGTATGTTTAAATGAAAACATGCACACAATTATGTGTANCCCGCCGTAAAAAGTTGATTATTCGTTTGACCGACAGCTTCAACTAGGTTGGCTTCAGTTCTGCTGTAACCTTTTTTATGAAACACGATAAATTTAGAACACACATACTTATATATTGTTTCTCCGTTGAACAAGATTTTAGTAATCAGTTTAGCGTTAAAATGTCGATTTTTCGTATCGGTGTTTAATCATACGCCAGAAACGCAACAGTTTCGCGGATTTTTCTGTTTAAAGTTAGGGATTTTCAAAAATCGTAAAAGTCGACTTTTTCCAAGCAACATTGCTCAATTTCGACTAGTCATAAACTAACCCATGGGTTCATATGAGTTCAGCCATTTTGACTTTAATTAGTTAACAGAAAAGAAAAATTTATGTATAGGTTTCAAGTCTATACACAATAAAATCTGTTAGTAAATCTAGGGATTTAATATTATTTGCATGATTTAATCATGTTTTGTTTTTAGCCAACGAGAAATACATGGAGATGGCAATCGGGAACGCCCCCTGGCCTATTGGCGTGACAAATGCTGGTATTCACGCCCGTCCAGGCAGAGAGAGAATTTTCAGGAACATTGAATATTATTTTAGTTAAATGTTTTTCCTTCGTTCATAGCTTCATAAAGCGCCAATCAATACATTTTTTGGATTAAATTTAATTTGTTTTTCAAAAAAGTACACGATCGCTTTAATTTTACAGTTTTTGTTGTGAGATTGTAGTTTAACACTTTATAAACAACCATTATCAAGAAAATGCTTACTGCCTAGCGAGTACAGACTTTTTTGTTTGCTAATCTGGGGTTAAACTTGCCACCATAACTTTAATAAATTTGGCAGAATACATTCAACACCAACAAAAATACCGAAATTAAAATATTTTGTGTTGTTAGTAAACACGTTGCCCACGTTTTGAACGATGAGTCCCAGAGAAAGTACATCCAAGGATTGAAGAGATTAATGACCAAGGCTCAGATCTACTTTAAAACTGATCCCTCCAGATCCGTGGATTATATCAGAGAAGAGAGATCCCTACATGAATAATTAGTTGCAGAAAAAAATTTAATAGTGTTCAATTGTCTTACTGAATTTGTGTATATTTCAGATTTAACTCATTTAGAAGAATGATAACTTAGACAACGTGTTCATTGATCACATTGATGTTCTTCTGTCAGGGATCAACCTCTCTCAACTCTACCCTCCCCCTGGCATCCAACCATCATTTAATCTTGAACCCACTCCTTCCTTGTATTGTTCTACCCTGAGTATCGGTATCGTAGGTTTCATACCAACTCCCTTTTCTAATTTGATGTTGCCCTATCCCTCGTATATTCTGCATCCTCTGGTACTCTTGAGAGCTCCCAGTATCCTCTAGTTCCCTGAGAATTCCCTGTTTCCTCTAGTACCCTGAGAGCTACCGCATCCTTCAGTACCCTGAGAACTACCTGCATCCTCTAGTACCCCTTTTACCTGAGAGCTACCTGCATCCTCTAGTACCCTGAGAGCTACCTGGATCCTGTAGTACCCTAAGAGCGCCCTGCATCCTCTAGTTCCCTGAGAATTCCCTGCATCATCTAGTACCCTGCGTGCTACCTGCATCCTCTAGTACACCTGAGAGCTACCTGCATCCTCTAGTACCCTGAGAGCTCCCTGCATCCTATAGTACCCCCTTCACCTGAGAGCTCCCTATTTCCTGTAGTGAACCCTGAGCTAACCCTCCTCTCTGCTTGAGAATGTGGAGCACTGCCAAGATGGCTCCGGTGTCAACAGGAAGTGCAAAAAGTCTGGGGATGACTGCTCCTATCTCCAGTGTAGGACCTGAACCAAGGGATCTTCAGCTTTCAATAGAGCTACAAGATGCGCTCAGGTTTGCTTCAATTTTTAGAAAATGTTTTGAACTTTTTTTTAAGATTTCTTTATTATTGAACATCTTGTTAACAACATTTATTTAGACCCCATGATGTATTTGAAACAGATGAAGAATTAAACAAAAGGATGGAAGTACTCAGTAGACTCAATGATCTCGTTAAAAAGTGGATTAAGGTAATTTTAAAAAGATGACAGCAATACGTTTATTTTCCAAAACATTCTTAAATCTGGATCCAGTTTTTATCAGGGCGTATCCTCAGTAAAATAAAAATCCAAAGTACTGTTTTTTATGACCCTTTTACCCGAGAAAAAAAATTATTTATTTTCAACATTTCCAGGAAAGAGATTTTTTCATAGAAAGAAAAATGCAAGAAGTTAAGACCTAGTTATAATTTTTACTGTTTGTTCAGGACACAAGTGTAGAGAAAAGTATGCCTGAGAATATTGCTGCTACCGTGGGAGGAAAAGTTTACACATTCGGTTCCTACCGTCTTGGTGTGCACAACAAAGGCGCGGATATAGACACTCTGTGCGTAGCGCCGCGTCATATTCTCCGTGAGGATTATTTTTCCACCTTCCTTGACCTTCTCCGAACCCGGGAGGAGGTGAGTGAACTACGCGCTGTCCCCGACGCGTTTGTCCCCGTGATAAAGTTTAGTTTCGACGGCATTGACATTGATTTGACATTTGCGCGGCTAGCGTTGAAGGAAGTAAGTGAGAAGCAGGATCTAAGTGATCCAATGCTCCTGAAAAACCTGGATCAGAAGTGTGTCCGGAGTTTAAACGGTTGCAGGGTGACAGATGAGATCCTGAGACAGGTTCCTGATGTAGAGAACTTCCGGCTTACACTCAGGTTGGTTGAGTTCAAGTTTATTATCTCACTTCCTTAAATTTATTTGAACATAGCAAGAATTAAAAAGAAATAAACCACAAAAATAGTGTTAAAATTTGTATACCCTAAACTTTTCAGCTTTCCAAAAATCATGAGACAACATTTGAACAAATAATTTCATTGTTTTTTGTTCAAATAATGCTAAATAATATATGACTAATTATACTTATCTTCCTTAATATTCCAATGCATAGTTTATAGTCGGGGAAAAAACATTGCAATAATACTGATTTTATTTATTTGCTTAGATCTATAAAACTGTGGGCAAAGAAGCACGGTGTGTACAGTAACGTACTCGGGTTCCTGGGAGGTGTATCCTGGGCTATGTTGACCGCCAGGGTATGCCAGCTGTATCCCAACGCTGCTCCCTCAACCCTGCTACAGAAATTTTTCCTCGTCTACCTGAAATGGCAGTGGCCGCAGCCGGTACTTCTCAAGAAACCTGAAGATTTTGGACTGGGGTTTCCAGTGTGGGATCCAAGATTTAACGTTGCAGACAGGTCAGTGACTCAGCATCTCTCACTGTCTGCAATCTGCATTGTTGAAAATCATTTCTCCCCTTGTTAGTTGGGCATTTGTTTGGGATATTTTTATTGGTGAATTAGGAAACAAATTAGTTTAGGCAGAATAAAATAAATTTTTGGACCTCTTATTGGCAAATTTTTCGATGGTATTATTGAATGAATTGATCAGATATTCAAGAGAAGAGAAAACGTATTTTCTGTCAATTTAAATAATTACCAAATTAGACTTTAGAACTAGACTTTAGTTGGATTTTGACTTAAGATCATCACAACTAAAGTTTAAGCTCAGGATAAAAAACAAATATTTTCGTTTGAAAACTTAGTATTAGTTTCTTTTCATCTGGTGTTTTTCCGCTGAATGATTCGGAAATATCTTTTCCTTTCTTTTGTTCAAAGCTTAATCATAATCTTGAATTCTTGTTTTTTTCTGCTCAAATAGAAAAAAATTAAAATAATTAATTATTTTAGGTTTCATATAATGCCAATTATCACCCCCGCCTACCCCCAGCAAAACTCCACCTTTAACGTGACCCAGAGCACCTTGAAGGTGATGCAGGAGGAGTTCAAATCCAGTCTAGTAATCTGTGAAGAGATTATGGCAGGCAAGCATGGTTTTATTCCAATACTGACATGCAGCCCTCCTGCTTGTAACACATTTAACTTTATAATCTTACATCAAGCATGCAATAATTTTTTCTTAGAACAAAAAATGAAAAAAAATGAAAAATAATTCTGTTTTTGTTAATGATTAATGATCATCTGAACTTGTTGGATCGGTTTAGCCGTTTTGTTGTTTATTAGGATTGGATTATTGGATTCAAAGAAACCAACAGACAAGCAAAATATATAATATATTGCAGAATGAATTAATAAGAAAATCTTATTTTTATGATAAAACTTGAGTTTTGAAAACGAATTTCCATTTAAATTTTGAAAATTCAGCACTAAAGGATTATCGAGTGTCTACTAAATTCAATATTTTCACGAAAACTTTAAATTGAGTAAAAGGATTCATACATTCTATTTCAGGAGTGTATAATGTACATTCTTACCCCCCCCCCCCATTTCTAGTTTAAATTACATCAAAGATTAAAAATTATTTTTTTTCGAAAATATATTTGAAGAGAAAATTATCTTCATGAATAAAATTTTGCTGTTATTGATTAAAAATGGTGTTTAATTAGGCAAATGTGGTTGGAATAAGCTGTTTGAACCTCCAAACTTCTTCGCTAAATATCGTCATTTCATTGTCCTGGAGGCTAGCAGTATTTGTGAAGAGGATCAACTACAGTGGATGGGTTTAGTGGAAAGCAAGGTAGAGAGAGACTTCTTAATAGATAATTATGTTAAACTTCATATTCATTGAGAACATTTTTGCAGTTTAAGCACGGCATACAAGCTTAATTTTATCTCTTCATGAATTGTTCCTTTTTCTAAACAACCACTGCTTCTTTGAAGCAGTGGTTGTTACGTGAAAAAAAATGTAATCCCTGAAATTTTAACTTTAAAAGAGTTATGCAAAATTGATCTCAGAAATTCTTTTTAAAAAATCTTAACATATTTACTGCTCTTTGACACTAATACCTTCATAGTATTTATTTTCCCTTCTCATTTCTTCAATTCATCCAAATTATAAGATAATATGTTCTGTTCTTAGGTTCGGCACCTGATCTCTAGCCTTGAGCGGGAAAACATCAGTTTGGCTCACGTCTGGCCTAAAACCTACTGCGGAGCGACAGAGAGCACTGCTAAGACGACCTGCTACTGGTTTGTTGGGCTCCTAGTTGGAGGCTCAGCCGGGGCTCATCTCGACCTCACTTCTCCCATCAAGAACTTCACAGATATTGTTATGCGCTCCGCGATACAGATAAACGTTTGGAAGACAGGGATGAGGATAGAGGCGTACTACAAGAAAAGGAAAGCGCTCTCCGCCTACCTTCCTCCTGATGAGCACTGGAAACTTAAATCAGAAAGAAAATCCTCCGTCGTTTTAAATTCAATTAACGGAGGTCCGGCCACTAAGCGGACACAGGAGGAAACAGGATCACCGCAACCTCCGAAGAGAATGAACAGCGGCACGGAGACCTTAGTGGATGTGGACGCGGAGGTCAGCAACCAGGGTGTAGAGACCAGCAGCCAGAACCTTGAGGCTAACAGTGAAATGGAAGACACAGACTTCTCTAAGATCGGAGCTGCTGATATCACCGATACGTCCCAGGGTTTGGAGGCACTGGTCTCATGAATTCTATAGAAAGCTCAACCCCTCTGAATTAATGAATGCGATAGAAAAAAATTTGGGGATTTTTTATTTTGTTATCGCTTTGAATAACTTTGTACTGTATCCTGGTCAAATAATTCATTTACAATACATAAATACCTGACCTGAGTTTATAATGGGGATTAACAATACAGTTTCGCTGTAAACTATTGTTGTTGTTTTACCTCTTCCACTTAGTAAATTATTATTATCACCGACATTTTTTTTCTAACTTTCTGTTCCTCGTTGTCTATTTTGTTATTTTACGCACTTAAATGTGGCCTAAACTAGCAACTGCACTGAAATAGTTAAATCAATATTACTCACCACCTCGTGACTTTGTCATTATTTTATCAGCCAGTGTAATAATCATTGTTAAAATGTTCTTGTGTACACAAACTGTTGTCTTCCCATAGTCCAAAAAAAATGCAACTGAACTTAAATCAGTTATAATTTCAGTTTTAAAATTGGGAAAATTTATGTTTATTCCATTATTGGACTGAATTGGGATGGAAAATTATTTATCTTAAGATCAATTTTTGCATTTGATCAATTTTAGGATTTGAATATTGATAAGCCATTTAATCATCAGGATCAATCATTGATTAATTGAAATTTAAGTACTCAAGTACATTCAATTTTATCATTTTTATACTCCATCCAATTCGATTTATAACCAACTCATGATTTTGTTTAGTTCTTTTGAACCAAATAAGTTGTGTTTTCAGGTCATTTTTTAATAGTTCCCTGGAAAATTTATCAGTTGTGCTGTTTTCTGGTCATTATTTAATAGTTCCCTGGAACATTTATCAGTTGTTCTGTTTTCCCGTAATTATTTAGTAGTGCCCTGGAACATTTATCGGCTCTGATGTTCCATTGAATATTTATCAGTTGTGATGTTCTCTGGTTATTATTTGATAGTTCCCTTGAACATTTATCAGCTGTGCTGTTCTCTGGTTATTGTTTTCTTTATTATTTAAACATTGCAGTACACATTTAAATTATGCTAATTTGTCAGCCCATATATGTTAATTCACAGCATGAATATCGATTTAATTATGTGAAGATGAAACTTTTTCATTCTCTTCCGACCCACTGCACTGCACAGGATGGTAAGGATTGAAATTTAGATTTTTATTTTTAAAAAGCATCCAATCCTTGGAAATGGGAATAGGGGTGAGTGCGGAGTTTTTAATTCTCTCGTCTTCAACTCTGTATTTTTTAGGGGAACTGGCGTGCCAGCCCCATGTTCAGGAAGTTCAAGGATATCTCCTGGAGAACCTCGAGGTCCTTGATCTAAACCTTGTTCGTGTACATGACAGCTCTTTGTAAATCAACTGTAATTTATTATTTACAATAAAGGAATTTCTCCCAACTTTGTTTTTTTTTAGTAATTCAAAGCTTCAAGTTTGAGCAGTGCTCAGGATCCATTTAATTAATCTCAGTTCATAACCGGCATTTCAGCAGGAAAGTTCTATATTTCTCTCTCTGGTACAGGGTGTCCCACGAAACATGACAGTATGCAGGACGACTTGAATGGCGCCTTGATTTTTCATATAATTTGCTGCGTTTATTTGTCAACCTAATTTTAGAAGTGAATTTCTAGAGATAATAATCACAAAATTTCCCTTGTCCTGCCATTTCCAAAATGTGGTCTGCCTTTTTTGTGCTTTCATTATTGCCTGAGATATGAAGAATTTCGTTCAGATTTCGACAATTTTGCTTTTATTTAACAAAATTGAAATCTGAACCAAACTCTTTATATCTCAGTAAATATTGAAAGTACAAAAAACGCAGACCACCTTTTGGAAATGCCAGGGCTAGGAGAATTGTGATAATTGTTTCAAGAATCATACATGTTAAAGTAGATAGAAGACTAAATGTCACAAATAAATTCAAATACCAAAGACGACTTTCAAGTCGTCTTCCAATTGTCATGTTTCGTGGGACACCCTGTATTATACCTGTCCCCAAGCTGGCCCCTACAACTATTGCTGCCTAACCTAACATGTAAATGTAATCGCACAAATCTTTAAAAAATGTATGCATTAAACTTTTTACTGAAAAAAAATATTTATATCTTAAAAAACTTAGATGCGGATCCGGACCGGAAAAAAATGGTTCCAAATCCGGATCCAGGTCATTTCTTTAAAATTTACTACACTTTTTAACAAATCTAAATTTTGTCTTATTTTTTTCTCTTATTTTTATGCTAAAGCCATTCAGAAATCAGGAAATTTTTATAATCTCGCTTTTTTCAATTATTCAGATTCGGGGTTCGAGAGTATAAACGTTTTTTTTTGCAGTTTTTGGTTGATATTTTGGCCCTTGGATCTTTGTGGATTCAACGGACCCGCATCCTAAGCACTGAGTTAGAGAATTTTAGTTCTAAGACTATTGTATATTTGTCAAATTTTCTAATTTATAATGGTTTTGTGCTTGTTTTGAATCTTGACTGTATCTGACAACAGTAGAATCATTTTTTTATTTGACTTTAATTTTGTGGTTTTCATTTAAAACGTCGCAATTGATTTTGTCCCATTAAATGGGTCATTTTCGGTCAAATCAATAAATTCTCCTGTGTAAAAAATGTATGGGTTTTAAACTTACATTGCTCCAAGATTAACGTAACCTGAACTATGCTTTAAACACTGGAGTCACTGGATAGTGGATTGTATCAAAGTAATAGTATTTATTCACTTTGGGATTGGATACACACAATACAGAAATCCCCAAAAATGTCTTATTCTTACTTCTAATAATGAAATTTTGAAATTGGAAGTTATGTGAAAATTATTTCAGAAGAGGTTGATTGAAGAGTTCATCAGACAAAGTAACACATTCAAAAACATAACACATATACAGAAAAATCGTGATATTATGATTCTGACAAATATCTAATTTTATTTTCAAATTAACTAAAAAATATTGGGACAATCAGAAAAATATTTACATGTACATAATCCATTTAGTCTGTTTTCTTACATTCTTTGTTCACTGCAACTATTCACTTTCAGTACAGGAAAAGAAATGTGTACCTCAAATAGTAAAGTGATGGAATTCTCGTTTTTTTACATTTATATATATAAGTGTTAAAGGATTTTGTGGCTTGCAACTAAACTAATTTTGAAAATATATCTGTAGCAAGATACAAAATCCTCATTGACATATCTTAATCAAAATAGACTAATTTTGAAAATATATCTGTAGCAAGATACAAGATCCTCATTGGCATATCTTAATCAAAAGAAACTAATTTTGAAAATATATCTGTAGCAAGATACAAAATCCTCATTGACATATCTTGATCAAAAGAATAGTTCATTCCTCCTCATGGAATCTCACGACTGTGATGGTGTGTAAGCTGATCAGAATGCACTGTATAAGCGGAAAAGTATTTAAATGTGTCGAGTCAATATCGATAAGTTCGTCTTGACAATTTTTCAATGGTATATTCTTTTTTACGTAAATCTCAGTATACATGAACAGTTTTAATTAAAAGACTAAAAATCTGCAACATTCCATAATTAGAAAGTGAAGTCCCTTTAAGAGGGTTGTATTAAATTACATTGACAGTACCTTTAAGAGGGTTGTATTAAATTACGTTGACAGTCCCTTTTATTTCCGGTGTTTAAGCTGTGTTCTCTGTTTTCTTTAGTTTTATACAGTGATGAGCAGTGAGAGGAAAGAGAGGGATGTAATATGGATATATAGTTACCCCTCCCCGGGGCTTCTGCACCCCCCCTCCCCCTCCCTCATGTCTAGCGGAAGCACCTGTTGAGGATGTAGCGAGTTGGTACCTCTCCTTGCCACTTCCCCTGCTCATACCTCCTCCCCTTCCCCTTCAGGATGTTTTTATGTTTTCCATATTTTTAATAGAGTTTCATGTACCCCCTCAAACCATATCCTTTCGTTAACCCCTTTCCAGTTTAAATATTATACAAAAATTTCTAAACATAGTTCAAATGAATATTTTAAACTTAGAGTATTCGATATAACAGAATTCATAGTTTAAAATATCTAAGGTTTAAATTGTACAAATATAGGGATTAGAAAATCAGAATTTGAGGTAAATACTTAATTTCTTTGTGAAGTATCTAGTAAAGTGCTTGCAAGGGCCAGTTTCTGTCTCTCTTGAAATTACGAATTCAATTATACCCTTGTTAGATAAAGTTTTACCAGCCTCTTAGAAAATACCTTTAAAAACAGAAGCTATGGCTGACTTCAATTGACCCTATTTTAAAGCGAGTGTTCGCGAAAAATGAAAGGGCCAGCTGGCGAAACATTAGCGCTTTTGATAGCTACCAATCTTACTTCTATCTGTTGCGTCTACTAGGAGAAAATGTTAAAAACGACTCATACCGAAGTACGTAGCGTCTATACAAATTCAGAAAATTTCAACATTTAACTCGGATCGTAAAATAATCAATTTAATTCCAAACAAATCATTCAGATATTACCAACAATAGTTATCGATTATTTTTCGATGCATTCGTATTAAGTTAATATTTCGTTAAAGATTTAAAAATCAACCGTTCGTTTACTAGACTCTGCTGTTAGTTTTCGAAAATCTTTAGTTTTCAAGAAGTAATTGTCAAAAAAATCATCTATTTTAGCGAGAGATCTTGCAACCTTTATATCACTGTGCACTAGATAATAGAAGACGATTTATTATATTTTGATTGAATTTTACTTTAATTTTAACGTGAAGAATGATTAAGATATCCTTAGTGTTCCAGTCTATAAATATTTAATTTTTGATTGTGGTATCTTTATAAAAGTGACTTCCGGATTTAAAGCAACCAGGGCAATGTAAGAAATTTGTCAGAATTCGGCATTTTTAAGATAAAAAGAAATGGCAATATTTCACAATTCAGTTTTTTGGCTTTATTTTTTTACGATCTCAAACTGATCTCAGTGTTTTAATATTAATCTTTTGATGCCCATATCGATGTAGTTTTAAGAATTCATTTGGCTTGAAAAATCGAATTTTTTTGTAAATTAAATTTCATAAAAACTTGTCTCCGAATGACAATTTTAAATTGTGAAAAAATAGTTGTTTTAAAACTAATCCTATACACATAATGGATTTGTATAAATTGATCACCATGTATGCCCCCTGGCCCTCCCCACCAGTAATTGCACATTTTTTATCGGAAATTACTCTTAAATCAAATTTTTAGAGTCAAGCATAACAAATTCCAATTGCTAGAAAATATTTATATTATTACACTTTTAATTAGTAAGACTACACTGCGGGAGAAAAAGCGCCCTTAATTAGTATGAAACTAAATTAGTAGTGAGACTAAATTAGTAGTGAAACTAGATTAGTAGTGAAACTAAATTATTAGTGAAACTAAATTAGTAGTGAAACTAAATTAGTAGTGAAACTAAATTAGTAGTGAAACTAGATTAGTAGTGAAACTAAATTAGTAGTGAAACTAAATTAGTAGTGAAACTAAATTAGTATTGAAACTAAATTAGTAGTGAAACTAGATTATTATTGAAACTAAATTAGTAGTGAAACTAGATTAGCATTGAAACTAAATTAGTATTGAAACAAAATTAGTATTGGCACTAAATTAGCAGTGAAACTAGATTAGTATTGAAACTAAATTAGTAGTGAAACTAATTAGTACTAAAACTAAATTATTAGTGAAACTAAATTAGCAGTGAAACTAAATTAGTATTGAAACTAAATTAGTAGTGAAACTAGATTAGTAATGAAACTAAATTAGTAGTGAAACTAAATTAGTATTGAAACTAAATTAGTAGTGAAACTAAATTAGTAGTGAAACTAAATTAGTAGTGAAACTAAATTAGTAGTGAAACTAAATTAGTAGTGAAACTAAATTAGCAGTGAAACTAAATTAGCAGTGAAACTAAATTAGTAATGAAACTAAATTAGTAGTGAAACTAAATTAGTAGTGAAACTAAAACTGGTAAATTTAAAGTTTCTAAACTTGTGAAATATGTGTGGAGAAGGAACACACATATTACTCAGTTTCCGCTGGAAGTTTATAGATAAGGTTATTAGACGCGGGGGACAGGAAACCAGGAAAATTGTCAAATTTAACAAAAATTTTAATTGAACAAAAATTTTCATCATCTTTGCATTAATTTCACAGATCCTATGCTCATTTTTTTATTAATGCAAAATTATCTTTCCTTGATTTTTTTCAAAGTATGTTATTTATAAACTTACTGATCTATATGTTAAGTTCTGAAGCTTTTCCTTATAACTGCTCTATGTAATTCTTAATTTTGCGTAGATTTTCAATCATAAAATATCAAATCAGATAAAAATATAGAAATGTCTGAGATTAGCATAGTGTTTTGTTCGCCTTTATACTTAAACTTTACACTAAGTAGTTTTGACTTTTAATTGAGGCTTTTAAATCTTGATATTTTTCATATTTTAAAATTTTCTCTAAATTTGTAGTCATTATCTTATGCAAAATATTTATTTTGATAAAGGATATAATAGCCAAAACGCTAAACATTTTTATTTTTCCCTTATGTAATGTCAGATTAAACTTTTTTAACAATGTACAGTGAAACTCATAAAACTGTGGAATAGGAAGACGGTAGTTAAGTTTTTTTTTTTGTATTTAATGTTGATATTAAGCAAATACTTTTATCACTGGGTTGGAAATAAACTTTTTAAGTTAAATTAGTGCATAGTACATTGCAAGGGAGGGGGCGCAGGCCGCAGGGCCACCGGCCATGAGCCCCGCGAAATGGTCTCCAAGGCTTTTTAGCAGATGAGAATTTAAAATGACCTGGCGCTACCCCTGTCCCCTAAACGTTAAGATAGACATTAAGGAAGTTCTTGAGTATCCAAAAACATTGAATAACTCTATTAAAATATTTAATATTTTTTTCTAAAAATTTGTATTATCTGTTCTAAAGGATAGGGGTAGCGCCAGATGATTTTAAAATATCTATCTGCGAATCTGGCGGCTTGGAGACCATTTCGCGGGGCTCATGGCGTCCCTGCACCCCCTCGCTAACACGTAGCTGAAGTGCTGTGTTATGTTCATTGGACTATTTAAAATTTTAACTTGAGTTTAACAGTTACCAGATAGCCCGACTATCTATTCCACAGTTTTTATGGGTCCACGGTAATGAAAGAAAACTTTTAGAGAATACAATTTAAAATGAGTTAAACATTTCCTACTCTTGTGGAGTTTAACAAGTATTGCTCTTGTTGAGTCTCTCAAAGTTAAAAAATGTTGAACCAACCCAAGAACACGTGATCCATCTTAAGCTTGGGCTACCTTTGTCTAATCCAATAATTCTGTGATATTCTTGCTTAGGTTCCGCTTAAATCTGGGAGAACTTTGATTGGATGAATTGGATGCTGGGTTCATCCTAAGATCCTCCCATAAATTACCTCTAACAGAAATATTTTGAACCAGCACGCCTTGTTCCTACTCTGTGGAGAAATTCTAAATATAATGGACGCGTCCCGACTATCCAGCACGGGTCCGACGCGCACACGAGCCAACCCTGCGGCCAGTGAGCGCCGAGGGGTAAGGATCTACAAATGTGAAATATTGTAAAGTGTGCGTATACCCTCCGGTCAGTTACCCGTCAGTCTCCGTCCAGTGCAGACGTGTCCTTTAAACCATGACGAGAAACTGAAACAATGGAGAAAGTTCTGATAATTCTAGTTTGTGCCACATATCTGGTGCAAGGCATATGTTATTTCCCAGCTGTTTACCAAGGAGTTTATGAAAGTCAAACTGTTGGAGGAAACTCAGATGTATCATATTCATCAATATCAGTTCTATATGATAGTATTCCTGTCTGGGGTTACTGTTATAGAAGAGTAGGATCTAATGTTATATTAAAAGAGGATTCTGGAGGAATAACATGTTATCGATGTTTTCATCTTTCTCTCAGATCATCTAATATTCTACAGATACACACCAAGGGTTTAAACAAATGTTTTACAACTGAAGATGCAGCTTTATCAACCTGTGTATCACAAGATGAGATGATGCATCAGGATGCATCAGAGATTATGATGTATAGAACTAAAGGATTTCTAGGAGAACCTGCTGTTAGTCCGACCTACTGTCCGTTTAATGGAGAATATACGTTTACATATTCAGTAAATGATGGTACAGAGAATACATTAGAGTGTCCTACACCTATATCAGAGATATCAGATTGTCCCTTCGGGTTCGGGTTCAATCTTCAGTTTAAACAGTGTTCCTTTGGTGATCTAGAGATATCCTTCCACTGTCTTGGAGATTGGGAGGGACGGGACGGAGAGAGATTTGTTGCTCTCATGGATACAGGAGCATCACTTACTCAGGGTAGACCTAGATATAGGTGTGCAATATATAAGGAGGATAAGATAACTGGCAAGGTTAAGATGGCTCTATCCTCAGATTCAACTTGTGTTTCAAATCTTGATTCATCAGAGAGAGGATATGAGACTATGGTTCTACATCCCAAGGAATCTCCGTCCTGGCCGGAGTTAGATTCATCCTGTATATTTCCAGACTGGATTCAAGGTTCCTGGGAGCATGTAGATTTCCAAGGAGATACCATGGTCTACAAGGATCATAGAAACTTTAAAACCTACACTGGAAAATGTATTCCTCATAGTTCAGGAGACCCGGAGAGATTTCTTGTTTATACCAGAACCCAGTGTGGAGATGAAGTTTACAAGTGTATATGGATAAAGGAACGTGGATTAAATACTATGGAGATACAAGTGAGTTTATATGATTCATCCACCCCTGATAAATCCTTGTGCAGGGATGAAAACTTCCTGGATAGAGCTTGGACTACTCAGGGTAGGATGAGAATAGGAGAGAAAGCTCCATATATGTTTACTGGTGAATATACAGGAGTAATACCGGATACTGATGGTTTATGTGCTAAACTTTACTCTGACTGTAATAATCCTGAAATTATGTTTTATACCATCTTTAACTGTTTTAACAGAACAGAAGTGTTTGAAGAGAGAGAATATGAATGTTTGGGACAATGGGAGGAGAATGGTGTTATCTATACATACACAGAAAGAAGAGATATGATTGGACATGAATGTTTTGTCGGAGCAACAACTAAGAAGGGAGAAATATATCTTCAAGAGGCCGGGAATAATTGTGAAAGAGGTCAGGAACCTCTCAAGGATGGGATGAGGATGAGTAGGGTTGCAGAATGTTATTATCATAGACAAACCAATCCTAGGTTCAACTGGAGAGAGAAGAGCATGGTTGAACCTGAACCTGAAATTGAATCCGGAGCTAGAGATAAGAATTCAAATATTCTTTTACTTCCCTTCCTTATCCTCATCTTCATCTTCATCTGAGCCTTCTCATCCCTTGGTTAGCAGCAGTCCTGGAGCTAAACCAGGGTTTCTCCGGGTATACGCTCATACACTGTTCTATGTACACTGTACATGGTACATATACCAAAGAATAACTGTGATAATATTAATCTTTTGTACAGAACAATCACCAGTTCACGTACGGACAAAATAGTACATGCGAATACGGAACAATAACCAGTTCATGTACGAGCAAAAAAGTACATCCGAATACAGAACAATCACCAGTTCATGTACGGACAAAATAGTACATGCGAATAATGTTTTATGTCTCAAAGTTGAGAGAAATATGGAAGTACGACTTCCTAAAGTTATTTTATTCATGTGAAAAGACGGCTGTGATTATGTTAAAAATTTAAATAAATTATAATAAATTGAATTTGTTCTTAATCTTTTCTCATTTCCTTCTTGATTTCCCTAAAAACTAAGATTTGAAAAAATTTAAAGATTAAAAATTCATCTGCCATTATTTAAAAATTGAATAGAAAATATTCCCTAGTATTTATTTAAGACATATGCTGAAAAAGCTTGATTACAATACAACATTCCTTGGAATACAACATAGACAAGAAGCGTCGAAAGGAATTGATTCCCTGTTACAAACTTTGATTTTCTGATCACTACATCTCTGCAATTCCCAATATAGTAGACCTTAGATATTTCAAACTATGAATTCTGTTAGATCTAATAAGCTTGGTTTGAAATATCAAAGCTTCACACTATCAGGTTGCAAAAATATAAGAAATAGAAAATTTGAGTTTGTGGCAAAAACTAATTTCTTTCTAAAAATTGCAGATCACTGTTTACAAATATGAAGAGTTTCCAGTTTACAAGTTTTCTCATAAAGCAAACTTTTAATGAGTAAAATTTTCCAAATATTGAAAGAGTTTCGCCGGATGAGATTGCCAGGAAAAGTAAACTAAAAACATAGTTGATATTTTTTTTTGAAAATAGAAAAAAGTTTTTGGAAAGAAAAGTTTATGCCATTTAAGAATAAACAAGAAGAAAAATCTTCTGTTCCTTCAGAACTTGTTAGTCAACATGTTCTCATGCATGGTTCAATTCTAAGATATAAAAATGAAAACCTACAAAATATTTACTATAGAATTTAGAATTTAGATTGAGAAAAATCCTTTTTTCTGTTACAGTATATGTCTCTGAAAGTGACAATATATGTCTTTGAAAATAAAAATATATGTTTTGAAAGAGAAATCATGTAAACATGAGAAAAGTTGTGGATTTGTAATTTCTACGCAGGTCTTGTTAATGCAATACAATGGATCTTGCAATAAATTCATGCAATACAATGAATCTTGCAATACATTCATAAAATACAATTTATCTAGCAATGTATTCATGCAATACAATATAGTTTATCTAGCAATACATTCTTGCAATACAATTCATTTTACAATATATTAATGCAATCCAATACATCTTGCAATACATTAATGCAATATGATGCATCTTATAATNTATGTATAACAGAGCACTGCTTCTACAATTATCCAGAAACTGATTCTTGAAACTGTTTAATTTTCTAAGATTACATTTCTTTTCAAATATATCATAACTAAATGTTTACAACTTTAAAAGCAAGAATTCCTTATCGAGAGTTCAGCATTTTTGAGCAAATATTATAGGGTATTCACTATTTAAGCTTATTTTGAATTAAATTAATGATAAAATGGGCTGTAGACGTAATTTCAAGTAAACCTTCATTTAAATAGTGGATTTACATCAATACCCTTGAAGAATTTGTCTTCTAAAGTATGAATAAAATACCCGTGTGTTTTCATTTCAGCTTTCTTTACAAAAATTACAGTTTGTTTTTTTGCGATTTTTTTGCTTCTGAAACAATAGGAAAGTTATCAAAATTAAACACTTTCCAAGCTAGAACATTCCACATATAGATCAGATTTAGGTTATAAGGAAATTCTAAATTCTTTTCTGATTTCTGATTTTTCACTTCTGATTTCTCATTATTCCAAGTTTTATTTTTTGTTCCAGATAGCTTCAGTGCTAGTGCAATTAAAAAAAAGATTTCTGATAATTGCATGTTTGATTTCTGGCATTTATCTAAGATCCTGGTTTCTGTTTGTATGATTTTTAAAATTTCAATCTGATTTCTTATTAACCGTAGTCTGATCTTTGATCTGATATCTGATTATTGTAATGCAATTTTAATTTTGGAATTCGGATAAATAACAGATCTGCTTTAATCAATACTATTCCAGATTTTTATCATCGATGTTTATGTGTTTATGTGTTTTTTCATTATTACTGATTGTATACTGAGAAATCTTATTATTCATTTTAATTCGTGTTTTCAATAGTTTCGGAGTTCTGAGGCGGAATTTAAAGAATTTGAACCATGTCGCTGATCTGCCAAAAACCGATTCCAATCGAGCGAACGACTCAAATATCGAAACACTGAATACAATTTCATGTGGAACCAACTATGTTTGAACCGCGTCTTATATTTCCAATTCTTTAAATTCGACCTCAAAACTTTTAATTGTATGAAATTAAGCCTATTCCTTCCTTTGAGACGATAAACCTGAGCTGGGAAATTTGATTTTAAATAATTATAATACCGATCCCATTATCTCGATATCAACTGTGGGCACTTTTAATTTGAGGATCAATGCTTAACTTTTCATTCCACGGGGGATATTGAATAAAGATTAAATTAATCTGTAGATTAACAAAAGATCGATATCAAGCATTGATCTCGATATTTGACCAATTAGAGATCCATGAAATAAATTAATTGGATATCTATCCCCGACCCCAACTCCTCTCAAGGGTTTTACTTCATCTCTCTCTCTAAACTATTTTAATCATTCTAAATAAAAGTTTTAAGTGGAATTCAAGATGGTTTTTGTATTTGTTGTAATTTTGTTTGTTTTTGTTGCATTTTCATATATTGCTTTAACTGCGTAATTATTATATTTCAAATAAACTGAACAACTTGCACCAAACTCAAAGTTTTTAATCCCTAAATCCTGTGAAACCACCTTGGATATATTTCAAAATTTGACAGTTTATAATTTGAAATATCGAAGGTTTACGCCATGAGGTTGCAAAGATATTAGGTTTTAAAAATTGATGATTTATGCAAGTGTTCAGTTCTTTTCTTAATTTGTTAAAACTTCTGTCCTTACTTTGACTGTTTTTTATTAAAAACTACTTAGCCCAATTGAAATCTTAAATGTTCTCAATCATAACTAGATCCTTTTATTGAAGAACAAAGATGTTTTGAATATCTAAGATAAAATCGAATAAATGTTCTTTTCTAAAATTTTCAGAAATTTGCCCTTCTCCCTCAGCTCTGTCTAGTTTGGAGTGTGTGGCATAAACAATTGTATTTTCAATTTTCCAGAATAATCTTTTCCTTTCGCAACATTTCAGAAAACCCCTTTACAAACTTTCAGATTTTTAGAAAACTTTTCTTTAGTTTTGAGAAATTCATTTATTTTATTTTTATAAGTGTGAACCTGGTTTATAAATTTTGTGAAGAACAAAGATACCGGAAATTGAATTTATAGTTTATCTCCCGGCCGCCGCGGCCCAGCCGGGTGAAAATATTTTATATCCACCCAGCTTTGTAAAATATAATTTAAATATATGTTAATGATATTGAAAGATATTCTTAGTTAATAAACTTAGAATATGTTTCCCATTTTACTTCTTTTTAAAATAAAAATTTAAAAGATCCGCATGCATACCATTTGTCGTACTTTTTAGGCATGCGTTCTCCTTTCCTCCTTTTCTCCTTCCTTCCTTCCTTCCTTCCTTCCTTCCTTCCTTCCTTCCTTCCTTCCTTCCTTCCTTCCTTCCTTGTTGGTTAACACCTGTTTTTTCTAATCTCCCAGCACCGTTACTTATCAATGTACCGGCATATGGATACAGGGAGGGTAAGCATGTAAACAGGAATAAATATAAATAAGTTTTGATTTTTCGAATCATAATTTTTCCCAAAGTCCCCCCCCCCACTAATTCCCTTCTTTTAAAGTCAATGACATTTTTTTAAGTTGAGTATTTTCTGGAATTGGACAACGCGCGTTTGGAATTTTTAAAATTTTATTGAGGAATAAAATGCATAAGCCATGGGGGTACTCTGCACCCCATCCCTGTCCAGCCTGTCTACGCCCTTGAGAGAGGGGGGTGAATGTATTCATGATATGTTTTCCTAGTTACTGTGATGGTTTGTGGTAAACCTGGTTTTCTTGTAAACCACGATACAACCATCTGACTGCTACATCCTTTACCGTTATATACTCTCATTAGTACTTTTAGATAATTTAGTTTATGATAAAAGTTAAGATTACGCTAAACAAACAAAGATTTGTAAGTCCTGAGGTTAAAACTTTTCAGTTTAAGCATTTATCAGTATTTTTGTACGCCAAGTTTTTGTGTACGTGTACTATACTTCAGAAATGTGTACTGCATTAGGGGTGTTAAAAGATGTAAATATTAGTATTTAATATAAGAGATAAATTATAATATACAGAAAAATAAACACTCCCTTGCAGTATACATTCTGCAGTATGGAATTTTTTCTGCAACTTGACATTATACTTCCAATTGTTTACGATAACAACATGGTTTATTTCTGCCCCTAATATCAATCAATCAACATTTGGGATTGATCAGATGGAATATGGTCCCCTGAACCCAATATAACATAACATGGTGCAACTTGATTTCTTTAGTAGTTTAACTTTTTTAAAACTGTTCTAGGGTTAAAAGTATTTATCGGTATCTCGGATCATAGAATTGGAAACCATGCGGGGATATAACAGTCAAATAAAATCAAGGGATCAATGAAATTATCCTTAAGTTAAAAGTTTTTACAGTGAATATCGAGATCGATCAAGCGTTATTGATAGCTAATACTCCAAAAGTTTTGCTCATTGGCTGGCTGTGTCAAATTAGGACAATATCTTAACCAAAGTCACCACAAAAAACTTAATGAACCGCGATTTTTTTTCATTCGAAATTTGTCGCTCCCTAAAAATGTATACTATAGAAAATGTATACTATAGAAAATGTAAAAAATCAGAAATAGTTTGAGTGAATATCTTGAGGAATTTGATATATTTCTATTAAGTATTATTCTATGTTTATTTAAGTTAAAGAATTAAATAAAATGGTGCAGTAAAAATTTGTGCAAACGTCATGGTTTTCATTTTCTCAGGCCACAAAGTTTATTAAAGGCAGTGTGTCCAAACTATGCAAATAAAATACCTTGATCAAGTCATCAAACGAAGGAACTGAGTTCTTGCAACAAACTCTGATTTTCTAATTCCTATATCTTTGAAACCCAATGACAGAGACCTGTGATATTTCTATTTGGTCAAATAATCTAGTTTGAAATATCAAGG